ACCCTGCAAAACGAACTTCGGTGCCAGTGCATTGCCCTTGTTCAGTCGCGTGTTTCGCCGCGTCGTGAGGGCCAGCTCCTGGGCCTCGGTGCGCTGCAAGAAGACGAATTCTGTGCCCTTGGCACGGCGCAGTGACAGGGTATTGCGTACTGCAGCCGCAGCGGTGATGGTCGTCAACAGGTTGGAAGAGCGAACGGTGCGAGGTCGAGTGCTGCGTCGAGGGCTGGATGGCTGCGGGCTGGCCTCATCTTTCTCCTTGGTAGGCGACAGTTGAGGCTTCTGCGGTAAGGGCGAGTTGGTGTCAAGGTCCTCCAGCGCGCGGCGCGCCGGTGGTGTGGGAGACGCAACAACAACCGACACCTCGGGCTCAGTCTTTTCGGGCTCCTGGGCGACCATAGCGGCTTTTGCCTCGCGCTTGGCTTTGGCCTTGGACAAGAAGTTGTTGAGCAACTCAGTATCCTCTCCGTCCAATGAGCTTCGGAGTGCCGACCGAACGAGCGTTGATTCCTGCTCGGTCGTCAATTCCTGCACAGGCGCGGCGACCGTAGCCGCTGCCGGTTCCTCCAGGGTTTCTACTTCGACAGGCACAGTCGGCTCTTCGTCCGTGTGCTCTTCACCGATCATCGTAGATACTGTGTTTTCAACGTGGCCATCATGCTCCGGAGTCGCAGGTTTCTCTTCACTTGCGTCGGAGAGCTGCACAGTCGGCTGTTCGACGTCTTCGCGGGTTCTTAAGTCTGGGGTGCCGACCACCATGCCACCAACCACTAGCGGCGACTGGCCATGTAGCGAGCGGCTATAGGCTGCGTCGGACGCCAATTTAGTGGGGGTTTCCGGGATCGGGCTGGAGGATTCGTCCATATCGGCAGGGTTCTCCGCGAGCTCTTCCAACGTCGACGTGGGCAATTCCTGGTCGTTCTTCACATCGTCACACGACTCTTCTGGTTGTAGGCTGTCGTATTCAACCGGCTCATCGGGGATGTCGACAAAGTCACTGTAGATGAGGGGAAGTTTGCCTGGGGTTGTTAGCCCAACGAACTGGGTAATCCTCTAAAGCAGCTGGTAGGAGAAACTCACGCCGCCGCCCATTGACCTCGGACTCCCACTGCGTCTCCAAGAAGGAGCGCCCGCGCACACCATCCTCCAAGTCGTCCGCTTCCAGAGCGAAACATCTGCGCTTGACACCGCGACGGAGGCCGGGATTCCGCGACGTGTTGATTTCCAGATGGAGATCGTCGTCGACGGTATGACGCTCTGCCGCAATCAATTGCTGCAGAGCTTTCATGCTGTTGAACGAAGTGCGAAAGCGCTTCCAGACCTTACGCGACTTGCCGCGGGCGCGGAATGCGGTTGATGGTTTGCGTTCCCAGGGGCGGGGGGCGGCTCTAGTAGCTTTGACGGGGGTAAATCTGAATCGATCTTCTTGAGAGAAGGTGGTCCGTAGATGTGGAGGGCTGCAGACAGAGTAAGTTGTTAGTGACGCGACAACAAGACATCGATCACGGCTCAGCGATGTTCATCGGAGAACTGGCGATAGTGGGAGAAAAGGGGGCCGCAACATGGCGGTGGCGCAACAGATCTCCCACATTGAGTCCCAAACAGACAGCGGGCCTTTAGGCCGTCCAAAGAGAAGGTTGGACTCACCATGCCTGGAATGTGTCGGAAGGACAGACAAAGTCCGCCATCTTCATGGTGAATCCGCGGCGGAATGTGTGTTCGGCGCTGACGTCAAGCGAGACTCGGGAAGGAGAGACTTGAAGCCGGTAGACGGTGAGTTTGTAGAATAAAACGAGATAAACTACCGGGCTTCAGTGAGATAAAAAGAAGATACTGAATAGCGATACTGAGTAACACGGGAATATTCCAACGCGAGCAGGATGGAGGAGGAGAGTGAAGTGGATTTGCTGTTGTGGTCCGGCCGCCGTTTGTTACGTTGCCCTGCCAACCATCAGAGTTATAGGGAGGATTGCCCTCATCTCCGCTACTTGCAGACTAACACCATCTTATTTAAACCTTCAGAACACCGATGATTGGCCAGCATAGTAGACGCCATACAGTTGAATCTATTTGATAACCCTTAGCTTAGCTAACGATCCATACGTTAAGATCATCTAGTAAACCCAGGGGAGGATTCTCCACCGGACCGCCCGCCGGTACTTCTCCCAGTCTTCGCCATACTTTGCCGCACACATAGCATCGTCTCTGCGTTCCCGATGCATCAACAGGATTGCAAAGTACAGTACGTAGAAGTAAGTGAAGATTATTCCCCAACCTTGGGCTTCACCCTGAACGACCTTGCGCCCGTCTGTCATCTGGAAGCTCTGTGAGGCAGCCACAAGACTCCCTGCCGGGTAAATCAGATATCCTGCCATCCCCGTGGGCAAACTAAAGGGCAATGCTTGTAGCCAGTCCCCAAAGTAGTTGATATGTCGAGACATGCCCCACCATCCAGCTGTGAGCAGTCTAGTTCCGCGCTTAGTTTGAATGTACGACAGGCCTGCCACACTCGGATCGTTGGGGCGCGTGCGGAACATGTGCTTCTGGTCGTTGGCGGCCCGGAAGATATACAGTCCCAGGACAAAGACGGCGCTCACAGCTGCGACGTTGAACCACCCCAGCTGCAAAGGGTAGACAGCCAAATAACGGCATTGTGTTGAGTATAGAAAGGGCACCCAGAGAAGATCGCCAAAGGAGAGCATAAATCCCATGCCATCAGTGGTGGTATCCATCATAACCAGAAGCCCTAATTCATTGTAATGGCTGTTGAGCACGTAAAATCCCTGGAAGAAGGCGATCAACAGAATACTGTCGGAGGCATAGCCATAAGTGCGATACTGCTTGGCGACAAAGGCAAGATCAAGAAGGATCCAGCCGGTCAAGCCAGGATACATCTCGCACCAAGTCTTGATGTCGATCTCCCCGAAGAATGGAAGAGTGACACGGGGGTTCAATTCCCGCCCGATGTAGAAATCGTAGATAACATTGCCTGTCTTCCCGCCGGCTGCTAGTTCGCGAAGATCTCTATTGGGGTAATTGGTGTCCACGCCGAAGCTGCGGATGTAGAGGTAGGTGGCGAGTGCAAATGATATCAATAAATTGGCCGTCAACATCTGCACATAGTGATCTGCAATATACGTCCATACAGCGAAGTCGGCGCCTTTAAAGTATGTGCCAATTGCACAGAGAGCAAAAACGACAACGCTGGTCGGGAACGCTGTTAAGTGTTGTGGTCAGCGCAGTTCAAGTGAAGCATATGGCAGCCGGGGTTCATAGATAGTATAAGTATATTTACCATTCATGCGATATTCAAGCGGACGGCCATGATGGACCAGTTTGGTTCCATGAACCTTTTGTGCTGGGAGGAGCCTCCAGAGAAGCAGGATAAAGAAATAGTATGCCAGCACTGCACCGGTCACTTTCCAGTCGAAGAGCCCCCATATTCCACCTTCAGGCCACCCGGTCTCCGCGGTCCATTTCTCCCAAGTGAAAGTACGAGGGCTCAACAGCGAAGGCACAGGACAGCCCGATACATCATTACAGCCGAAGGCAAAGAAGTACAGGAGCAAAGGTAGGCCAATGGTGATGGCAGCGGCTCCTAGGCTACCGGCAATTCAGTCAATATTGTCAAGGCAGGATAGGGTCTGGGGTAGGTACGTGCTTACGGTCCACCAAACTCATATTCAACCACCGTCGAGGAAGCCATTGCAACAATTATACCTCCAGACAGGTGTAATTAACCGCCAAAGGAACTGATATGCTTGAATTTGCTCATTTTACAACTGCAGGGTCAAGGTCTCTTTATAGTCTCACAGAGTACTGAGCAGGCGACAACTAAATGCCCCTTTGGGACTAGCGGCACCGGGTCGGGAACGCAGAGCGCGGCGTGATATCATCTTGGCAACCAGCAGTCCATCCATCTTTTGGCCGATTACAGAAAGATTCAAAGCAAGTGGTCCACAGCCATGGCGGAGTATTGGAAATCAGCGGTAGGCAGAAACTTTTTCTCTCATCTTTCGTGTCTCAGCACTGACTCCGACACAGCCCAAGTTTTGGTGCAAGCAATGCAAGATCTTCATTCGCGATACCGCCTTCGAAAAGTCTCAACATGAGGCTACAGCCAAACATCAGGGTAATCTAAAGCGCTTCCTTCGTGACATCCATCGGAACAATGAGCAGCAACAGCGCGAAGCGCAGAGAGCGAAAAATGAGGTTGAGCGACTTCGCCAGACCGTGGCCGGGTCTGCAGGTGGAAAAGATGGGGATGCTGCGCCCTGGAAACGTGGGCCCGCCCCGGCGCCCAAATCCCAGGAGCGACCTGTTTCTCTGGAAGAGAGAAAGCGACAAATGGCTCAATTAGCAGAGATGGGTATCGCTATTCCGGAAGAATACCGCAGTGAAATGGCCCTGGCCGGAGAATGGCAGACACTGTCGGAGAAAGTCGTACAACCTTCGGAGGAATCAAAAGCCAGTAAATCACTAGGGGTACGCAAACGAAAGCATGAAGAGCGGGATGAGGAGGAAGAAGAGGCGAAACAGGAAGCCGAACGGTTCGTTAGTAAGGGCTGGGGCTCCCGGACACGAGTGTATCCGGGTGCCCAAGAGGACACTGACCTCGACGCTCTTTTGGAGTCGACGAAAGATATCAAAAAGGGTAAATCTGCAGCTCCTGCGGAATCGGTGCCGGAGCCAGAGCCTGAGAAGGCGTCGGATTCCGTCAAGAGTCAGTTCCTGCCGGTCAAGTCGAAAGGGGATGCAGCAGCTCCTGAGACCGGTGAGCCGTCTCAAGTCAAACAGGAGAGCGAGACTGCCCCCTCCGAGGCGGCTCCTGTGACAAAGGAGGAACCGGAAGATGCCCCAGCTACCGGGGTTGTTTTTAAAAAGCGCAAGGCTAAGGTTATGAGAAAGTAACGGCAAACATCACGATCAGCATTTTACGATAGTGCGTGGTGCTGTTATGTGTCGGCGGTTCTCGTTACTACTCGAGTGCAATATTATCTGACGATGCATTATCGTCAGCGAAATACAACTGGTTGATCACCGTCTGCCAGGCGGTTGAGGTCCAGCAAACATTGCCGAGAAAGGACGCATAGAAATGCAACCACGATTCCGTGTCCAAACCCTGTCCAAGGCTCTGAAGCCGAGCAGCATACAGATGACTGAATCTGGAATCTACGGAGTTACAGGTGTGGAACCTGAAGCTGGATATCAAGAGAACGGCTGGTCCGATTTAAGCACAGATCTGAGACAGAAGATGGACTGCTTCCATCGGTGTACGTGCAGTCATCAACAAGGCTGATATGCATTTGCAGAACTAATATTGACATCAACAGCATTCAAGGCAAGGCAATACTCATCAGAGAATTACAAGTAGATATGCCTATTCGTATGTGAGAGGAAACGCATTAGAAGACCAGCTGAGGCTTTGTCAAGGCTCCTGAGATGGGATGATAATGAAGTTATTTGAAACTTTATAAGGTCATGTAGTTTGCTGTCAATATTATCAATTAGTATAATCTCGATAATCTTTAGAATAAGAGATTAAATGATTGTTGCTGTTAAAGAAACGCGTAGCAGCCATTTATGGTTGTCGGGTTGAGTTGCCACTGGCTGGTTCCCTTTTTTTTCGCTGCCGATGGAAATTTGGCGCAAAACTGGCAAGCGTTGGCAAAAGTCCGGGGGAGAAAAGAGACTCTTCAAGCGGGCCCGAAGCTCTTCTCTCTTTCTTTCTCTTTTGCGGGCGCAACAACATTTTTTAATCGCAATCCCAGCTCCAACCCCCACCCCTAATGCGGAGACTGTCTGGTGCCGAATTGCGTGTTTTGGTGCTATAGTCATTCGGCTCGCTTCTTTTCGCTTATCTGGCCCAGTGCATGGTAAGTTAACGAGAGCTTCTTTCCCATTTGCCTGCCCCGATCTGCCTGCCTCCCGAAACGCGCCCGCCCAACTCCGCTGCCTTCCTTTCTCCAGTTGGGGATTTGGCCGCTCGCACAAAGGTCAACTCTCGCAGGAAAGACAAGATGGTCCTGGATGGCCGTTGGATGTTACGAGATGGCAAACCCCAGTGGTGGTTGCGTCGTTGAAGTGCCACGTTTGGGCGACATGGAGGGAATTCCCTGACGGTCGCATTCAACGTCACCTGGGTTCCGATACCAGCATTGTCATCGGATCTGCAGATTTCGAGAAAGATCATCTCGCAGACTACTCCGTTGAACTCCTGGTCATCGACTCGAGAGTCGTGGCCTATGAAATTCCTCCGATGCGCGGCTCAACCGTGGAGCATCAACAGCAGCTCACTCCGTCGCGACCATGCGCAAACCCAGACGTCGGAACCCGTTGAATGTCCCTTACATTCACAGCCGAATAACACTCGGGCGGCAGTTGCGGTGCTTTGAGGGTGCATAGAATTTCTGGGCCGAGGTCTGGTCACTAACACGCCTATCTTCCAGACTAGAGAAAATAGCACCTCGCGATCGTTGCACCCCTGCAAGTTCTATCAGCCGCAGAGTTCTACGTGTCCTCGACAAGTCCCTGTCTACAGTCGGTTTAATTCTTCCGCCACATTCAGTCATCCAGTTTCCTCGAGTTTCCAAGGGAATATACTTCACCATTGAGATGGCCGACACGACAGAGCCGACGAACACGTCGGGCGAGCTGCCTAACCCGGCTCCTGAGTCGACGGAATTACCATCTGTTGAAACCACGCAGCCGACCACAACAGATAATTCCCTTCCACCGATAGACACATCTCTGCCTCCCATCGATTCTACAATGCCGGCAATGGACGATCATCTACCCAACCTTGACCATACGCTGCCCCCGATCGATGCGACAATACCCTCCTTGCCGCCCATTGACACTTCGCTGCCACCACTGGACACTACATTGCCGGCTGCAGATGGGCATTTGCCGGGCGGGGAGCCTGACTTCTCCTTTCCCGACACCAAGTCGTTGTCCAACGAAGGTCATGCATCGGAGCCTACGCATTCAGGGCCAGGAACGAGTTTTGATTTTACGGAGCAATCCGTACAGTCGTCTACACCTGCTCCTACGTATCAGTCCCCCGTGAATGGCACCCCACTGCAACAACCAGCCCAGCAACAGTCGCAACCACTGCAGCAACAGCACCAGCCGCAGCCAGGGCAGCAGCAGCAGCATCAGACAACGCCGGGTCAGACCCCACAACCGCAGCCGCCATATCATCAACAATATGCGCAGCCACCGCAGCATTCACCCTCCCATCAGTCTACGCCTGCGCCACAACATACGCCGTCGCAGCAGTCCCAGCAATATACGCCGGGGCAGCCACAGCCGCATCAGTATCAGCAGCAGCAGCCGCCGCAGCAAGGATCGGACATGTACCACAACCACCAGAGTCATTCCCCCTCAATGAATGCGCCTTCGATGCAGCCCATGGATCATCATGCCGTTTCGGGACAATCGTCGCAGATCCCTCAAGCACCTATTGGCTCACCGATGCCATCCAATATGCCTCCGATGCCGTCGGTGGGCCAGTACATGACGGGATACCCTACCAATGTCGGGCAGATGGGCATGAACGCAAACGCGCAAATGCGCTATCAGTTACCGGGAGATCCCAATAAGCTGTTGTCGGGCGGACGGCATAAGAAGGAGGTGAAACGTCGGACGAAGACGGGGTGTCTCACCTGTCGTAAGCGGAGAATCAAGGTACGTACCAGGAAAATATGGCAGAGAGAAAAAAAGCATGACCCGTCAGCAATAAGTGAGATGGGATTGGCGGGAGAGAAAGGGGGAGAGATGCAGTTGGAAAGGCACAGAGAGAGAGAGAGAGGCGGGGAGCGAGGGAATGGCGGAGGGGCGGGCCTTTCGCTTGTGCAGCAGCAACCCCGCCGGTCGCTTGTTGTTGTTTGCGCCCACTCGCCTATCGCTGTGCTCCCCGCCTGTCTGGGCTGCCTTTTTTCGCTGCCACCCCTCGACCTCCTTCCTCGTGCTTATTCTTTTGCTTTATTATTTCCCAAGCTCTAGCAGACCATTACCTGTCGGCTGAGTCTTGCCACTGACCGATATTTTAGTGTGACGAAGGCCATCCTGTCTGCCGCAACTGTGTCAAGAGCAAGCGCGAATGCTTAGGTTACGACCCCGTATTTAAGCAACAACCCACGCCCTCGGCCATCCAGCCTGCTCCTAATCCCCATCCTTCCCTGGTGGTCAATCCTCAGGATCCGTCCACTTCGTATCCCGCTGCGCCTCCGGGTTACATGCCAGCTGCGTCCCAACCGTTTGCTCCGTCTGAGTCGCCTGCTCCGCCAAGTGAACGCTACGATTACGGCACTGCAATTGACCCATCGCTGGACGTGAACAACTCTAACAACATGGCTAGCATTCAGCACGCCGTGGAGGGAGGCCTGCAGCCGACGGTCAACCCCGCCATGACCAGCACCAGCGCTACCCCATCAGAGCCGACCAACGTCAGATGTAAGTGTCATCCAAGGGTGTGTTAGGGTACATCTGCTAACCGTGAGCAGTAAAACAAGTTCAGATCAGCGACCTTCTCGCGCTACGCGGCATTCCGCCTCCTCCCCCTCATCCGATCACCTCCCTCCCGCCAAACCGTCTGGAAGAAATTCAGGCGGTCTTCCTGGCAACGTACGCTCCTGCCATTGACAAGTTCTTCGAGACTCGGTGGTTCCAGGAGAAGGCACTGACACATCTTCTGGCCAACGCGCAGCTCATGGCTGAGTACTCGGCGTTGATTGATGCGTTCAATGATCCCAACCTTGGCGATCCCAATGTGCTCGCTCGGTTGGAGAGCTTCGAAGCGTCAGTCGTCTGGAGCTCCATGACTCTGTGTCGCCATGTGATGAACGTATCTACGGGAACTCAACCGGAATACGATCTTCTGGCTGCTGCTAAGCGGTTGGATGTCATCGAATCGATGATCACTGGGGAACACCTGGACTCGAACCCGCTGGCGCAGTTTCCGACGCGGGAGCCAGCGGCCAACCCTCCGTTGTTGCCCGATCAGCTGACGCAACGGTCGTTGGATTTCTGGAGCTCGATCGGGCATTTCTTGACGCTGCACGACAACGAAGCCAGCTCGGCCAAGGAGATTGACGACACACTCGCACGGTGCCGTACATTGCTGGATACCTTTGAAAACCGTGACGTGATCTACTCAATTGCAATTGCCCGGCATCTGGGCCAGCGGTGGGCGGACTTCCCGCGCAGCTTCCCGCAACCGATCACGACCAACGAGAAGGACGCGGGGGCGAAGCTGTACGTGGCGCAGAAGTTCCTCGAGCAGGAAGCGGGTGGCAAGGGCACCACCCAGGTGATCAAGCGCATATGCGGCATGGTGGTTCGGTCCTGGATTGTTTCGCGGGAGTAAATCCGAGCCGGCTTGCATGCACTGACGATATCTATTTGCGACCTGTAATATGAAAAAGCGATTGGCGACTACCTTTGACGATGTTTAACTAGATCTTTTCTTTCTTCTTTCCTCTGCTTTGCTCATTCATTGTTGCCAGCTTATTGTTCACATTTTTCCCCAGCTTTGGCCCAGATTGGATGGAACCGGTTGGTGGGCCATGCTTCTCTCTCTCCCGGACTGCGGAAATACGGGGAAGCCGTCGCATCACGACTCCGGAGTTGATTCGCTTCAGTTTCGCTGCAGCTGGATGGCAGTTATCATGGCGTTATTACGGCTGCATTGCTGATAAGGTGGTGGTTTACATTCTTGTCGATTATCTATCTATATCATGGCTCAATTCGCCTGCTTGAAGGGGAACTGCCCTGACAAGCTGCGAGTTTTTTTTTTTTTTATCCTTTTCGCAGAAGAATGAATAATGAACATCTTGTATATATGTATTTGCGACTGGCACCATCTATCGTAGTCTAGACGTACTAATATGTACAATATGAAATTCATAGATCCGCCTGCTCTGGGATCGGACTCTTCAACTTGCCCGTCTCCAGCGCCATGCGGACATTCTCGATCGCCCACTCCTCCATGCCAGTTTGTGTCTATAGCCGTATCATCAGTACTCAGCCCGATCACCATAATCAATCTACGTTAGAAACACTCACCTCAACAGTCCAAGTGCCCATATGCGGCACCAGCAAGACATTCGGATTGCGGACCAATCCCGGATGCACCGTCGGCTCCTCCTCAAAGACATCCAATCCAGCGGAATACACCTTTCCACTATCAAGAGCCTGCACGAGCGCCTCTTCATCCATAACAGCACCGCGAGCCGTGTTAACAACCACCACACCATCCTTCATCTTGGCGAACTCGGCCGTGCTGATAATGTGGCGGGTATGTTTCTACCATAGTCAGCATATACTTCCGTCCACCACAACCCAAACAACCATGGGGATAGGAATACTCACATTCAACGGCAAATTTAAACTAACCACATCACTTTCCGCCAACAACTCATCAAAACTCACATACCTAGCCCCATCCGCCAATTCCTCACTCAGCTTTCTCCGATTATGATAAATCACCTGCATTCCAAACGCCTCCGCCTTCTTCTTCAGATTCCTACCTATTCCTCCCATCCCCAGAATCCCCAGCACCTTACCCTGCGGATCATGTCCCAGTCGCGGCGCAGGCTGACCCCGCCACTTCCCCTCGCGGAGGGCGTGCATGCCCGCGTTGAAGTTCCTCAACGCCCCGATGATCAGGAACATGTTGACGTCGGCGGTCGCGTCGTCCACTGCTGTTGGGACGTTGGAGATCCGGATGGGAGTCGGGGTGCGCGCGCTGCATGCGTGCGGGTCGATTTGGTCGTAGCCGGCTCCTGCATATTTTAAGCCATTAGCATTGATCAATCATTATTTGTTTTGTTGTCTGGAGGTTTGTACGGAAATGTAGGGGTGGAGCTTACCGCAATGTGCCAAATAAACTAACGACTTAGGCAGCGCGTTGACGAGTTCCTCGTCAATTAGACCCGTGATTCTCACGCTGTCGAAGGTGCGGTATGCGGCGATGACGCCGTCCAGGGCGCCGGATTGGCATTCTTGGATGAATTCGGCGCGGTTGGTGGCTGTCGGGCGGATTAGGTCGGCGATGTCGGAGAGGGAGGACCAGGTTGTGTGGGCGCTGTTGTTGTTACTCTTATTAGTATTGGTGGTTGGAGGGGTAGTGTTGTGGTGCGGGGAATGATGATGATGATGTGATTGATATGTGTGGTGGAGGTAAGCAGTAGACGTACTGGACGATGTCTCCTAGGAGGAGGACCTTGGGTTTGGGGTCGCTGGAGCCCATTATGTGTATTTGTGTAACTGAATGATTATAGTTTTGTTAGAGAGTAGAGGGGTGAGGAAGATAAGTGAGAAGAGTACTGGAGAAAGTTGGATGTCGTGGGGGTTGCCGAAGATAGTATCCTCGGGCGGTTATATACCGAGTGGGGGTGGGACTCCACGAGGAGACTCCTACTTGTGGACGGAATTTGACTTGCGGGTGTATGGAGTACTGAGAAGAACAGAGACTGGATGGAGTCCAGATAGGAGAAAGAAGGCAGAGAGAATTGAAGTATTAACAATCTATAAGAGACCAGAGATAGGGAAATACCCTCACGGCCCCGCTCCCGTTATCGAGTTTACACTTCGGCTTCATCTCCGGTTGGTGCGATGCAGAGTATACAGAGACATCAATGGTTATAAGTGAGTCATACGAAGCTCGCGGATTATACAAACTAACTACCGAACTCCACGAAGAGTTTAGGGTGCGCCCTCTACCAACACGCGCGTCCAGTCGAACTTCCTCCAGCGCTTTTGAAAGCCAGCCACCCGCCGATCCCCACCGCGATGCCAGCGTCCCTGCCGCTTAATCACATCCGGCGCCAGATCCAGCATTCCTCCGATGACTTCTCGGGCGAAAAGATCCCCCCGAGGCCAACGGTTCTCATCCTCCACCACATGGCCCAGTCCGCCGTCCAGCTCAAACCAGACATGGAAGTAGGGCATTTCCCGCGCAATTGACCGCCGGAACGCACTCCGTCCCATACCTTGCTTGGATTTGGCAAGGGTATCGATAAGCTTGCGATGCTGCGACCACTCCGCGTCTGAGGAGAGGATGGCCTCCTTGAAGAAGGCCGGAGATGTCTCTCCGAGACTGTAGGGCAGAGGTACTACTTCCATGGCTGCGTGTCGCTTGCGATGCGGCTGAGCCGCGTTCTCGTAGAAGATCACGTCGCGGCCCTGGTCATGATACATGCGGGTCAGACTCTTCATGAAGTTCCGGATTTCCTCCCATTCGTCGTCATCGCACTCGAGCAGGTTCGTGCGATGCTGGATGGGAACAATGGTGGCACAGCCCTCGTTGAGCTCGGGCTCCGTGGGAAGAGTGAGGAAGACCCGCGTTGCTAATGCCACGACGGGTGCAATGGGCGGCGTACTCGTGTCTTCGTGGTGACAGAGAGGACAGTTGTCGAGAATGCGGTTCATCTTTTGTAGCTCGTTGATGGTGATGTTCTTGATGTCAATCTCTGATCGGTGTACTCGTTTGGCCAGCTTGGAGGCATTGTCGTCCATATATTCCAGGTCATTCTGCGCTACATTAGCATTGCAGTCAGAGAATCAATGCACAAAGTACTCACCTCAAACTTGGAGTCTTTGGCGATTCGCTCCGCCATCCGTCGTCCGTCGCCTCCAAATTGCCCCCTGGTGCGACGCTCTTCCTGAACCATGTCCTCGATTGTCATTTCGTCGTTCTCCTCTACTTTGCCACGTTCACGGCCACGCCGGTTCTCAACTGCCTTCACTTCGTTTCGAGTGCCAGCCAGCATCCGGTTCTCCATGACGCCCAGAACCACCACATCAGATTCCTTCCGGTTTGACATGGCCGCTGCAGCTGCATTATAGCGCTCCTCAAGCTCTGCTGCGTCTGGCGCGCCCTTGAGCTTGGCCTTCATCATTTGTGCCTTCAATCGGTTGAGAGCCGTCAGGTCCAGATGTTGTGTTGTGTTTGTGGGTGGCACAGTTTCCATTGGCTTGCCCTGGCCCTGGGCATCAAGTTCCTTTCCGGGACTGCGGAGATTTTCATGGGGATCGCGGTGGACACCCTCATCTAGCTTTCTCTCCTGGAAGAGTTCACCTGTAGGCTTCTCCTTGCCCACGTAGCCTTCACCGTACCGTTCGCGGCGGTCCAATTCTGCTTCCTCCTCTCGTGCATCATCAAATGAGCGTAGGTCTCCAAACCGGTTCAAGGCAACCTCCTCGACAGATTTCCCCGTCTCTTCAGCCTCCCTATAGACGGCCTTGAGCCTAGTCATTCTCCACTGAGCGCCCGCATCACCAAACGTGTAGTCCACCTCATGCTGCGCAGGTTGTTCTTCAATCTCTTCTAGCACTTTGCCCTCCTTCAAATCGTGTAGATGAGTGTTGAGCTCCCTGCCGTGAATTTTCAGCTCAAAGTCCGCCTGTAGCATCTTCGGCTTCGGTTCCTCCTCCAAACGCGTCGTATTGCGTCGCTGAACGTAGTCAACATCGACTCCGTCCGGCTCCATCCAAGCATCTCTCTTCAAGCGAGTAGGCTCCTCCTGCACGACTTCCTCCACTGGGGCAGGCGCGTCCGCCTCGTCTCTGCTGTCGCGGTGTCGGCGTTTGTGTGCATGGTCACGATCATCTCCATGGTCGGTCGAATGGCGCGATCGCTTATGACGGTGTCCGTCGTCCTCGCTACGCCGCGAATCCCGGCGTCTCTCATGGTCGCGCTCCCTCGACCTGGACGAACGGTGACGGCGGTGGTGGTGTCTGCGCTCTCGGCTGCGGTCACGGTCACGGTCACGATCACGGTCACGGTCGCGGTGATGGCGATGCCTACTCCTGTCGCTCTTCTCGCGTCTTTGTTCCTGCTCCTCCGCTAGCGATTTTTCAAAATCTTCGAGCGTCATTGTGATGGTTGAGCTGCTGAGGAATGCAAAATGAAGAAGAAGCGAGGAAAAGGCTGCGGACGGAATGACGTCTGGGCGGTCCAGACTCCACCGGAGCCGATCTCTCCATCCCCGCGACGCAACATTTTCCTTTTTCTTCGGGCTCCCCGCTTCACTTGTTCGCCGTCAACACCATCCTATCGGGACGTATTCTGAAACTTGCCGGATTGTTGACTTGCACTTATTCTACTTCTAGTCTGCTAGCTTCATCATTATCAATCTTACACCATGGCGCAATCACCCGTGGCCGTCGTCTGCGTCGGCATGGCAGGTATGCCGATACTGCTCCCATCTCAACTTCATCTTCTCTGACAAGCGCTCCTACCTAGGCTCCGGCAAGACGACCTTCATGCAGAGAATCAACTCGCATCTCCACTCGAAGAAGAAGGTTCCCTACGTGCTGAACCTGGACCCCGCTGTCTACTCCGTTCCGTTCGAGAGCAACATCGACATCCGCGACTCCATCAACTACAGAGAAGTCATGAAGCAGTACAACCTCGGGCCTAACGGCGGTATTCTCACATCCCTCAACTTGTTCGCTACGAAAGTCGACCAGATCATCGCCCTACTGGAGAAGCGTACCGCACCAAACCCGAGCAACCCCTCCGCCAAGCCGATCGAGCACATTCTTGTCGACACTCCCGGACAGATTGAGGTGTTCGTCTGGAGCGCATCTGGAAGCATTTTGCTTGAAACCTTGGCCTCTTCATTCCCTACCGTCATCGCATATGTCATTGATACCCCCCGCACCAGCTCCACGAGCACCTTCATGAGCAACATGCTCTACGCCTGCAGTATCCTGTACAAAACCAAGCTGCCGATGATCCTTGTCTTCAACAAGACCGACGTGCAGGATGCCGAATTCGCCAAAGAATGGATGTCCGATTTCGATGCGTTTCAGCAGGCGCTCCGGGAAGAAGAGGAGTCGGGTGCGTTTGGCGCTGAGGGCGGAGCCGGTGGCTTTGGTGCTGGAAGTGGATACATGGGATCGCTACTGAACAGCATGAGCTTGATGTTGGAGGAGTTTTATCGCCATCTGAACGTCGTGGGTGTGAGCTCCATGACGGGTGATGGTATTGATGAGTTCTTCGCTGCTGTGGAGGAGAAGCGCCAGGAATTTGAGCGTGACTACAAGCCTGAGCTGGAGCGCAAGAAGAAGGAGCGCGAGGAGACCAAGGCTGCACAGCGGGAGCTGGAACTGGGCAAGCTGATGAAGGATATGAGCGTCTCCAGTTCTAGTCGTCAGAGAAAGGACGAAGCCGAGACCGTCAGTGAGGCGGAAGAAGAGGCGGAAGATGCGGCTGGCCAGGGAGGGTTCGACGACGATGATGATTCCGATGAAGATGGATATGGCGGTGCTCCCCCAGCGGGTAACGATGAAGGGCTGTCACAGCGGTACAAGGATGCCCTGGCAGATCAGGCTGGTCCTTCGGATGCGGATCACAGTTTCGCCAGATACTTGCGCAAGAGCAACATTAACTAGGATTTTGGGGATGATATCACGGGAGATGTGCATTCTGCTACTTCATATATTGGTGTACGAAGGCGTTGATATTGGCTCACTCATCATGAATAAATGATTAGAATTTAATTTAAAAGCATACTGTTCGACTCGGATGAGATCTTCAAATCAGTAGATGTAATTTCTGGTACCTGGACAATAAAATGCAAACTGATCGACGATTTTAAAGACAATAATCTAGCAGTTCGTCAATGGACAAATCGATGATGTGGAAATGCATACCATTGCAGATCAAATATCCCGTTGGTCTTGGTTCTGGGTTCTACCGATGTCCGTGATCAATCACACGACCAGCAGTCAAACCACCGTCACACAGCCAACACCTTGAATTCATTCAGCCTAGCAATTTTCCATGCGTTCAATTAAACCCGGATTAAATAACCAAGCAACGGTGCCTGGATTGCAGCACTGGATGAGTCAGCCGCAGATCTGCCAGCTTGGAATGGATGACATCATGGGCGCCTGAGCTAGGAATGACCTCACGAGCTCTGCCTTATAAGACAAGAATCGCTAGGCAGTTCTCAGCTACTTCTTCAATTGTTGGTTCCTCTACTCAAAACCAATTCCAATCTTTGTATCAGATTCCCTCACGAACCACAACCGGAGATATATTCGATCTGCAACCATGGACGTAAGCTCAACCATTCCCCAGCAACCCCAATCGCATTAATGCTAATACCACCAACAGGTATTCTACGCCTACACCTACTCAACAGCGGGCTGGCTCTCGCTACAGAGTATCGCCCTAATTACCGTCCCTGAAATGATGACCACAATGCTCGAACAAGAAAGCAGACAGCCATCCTGTACTTCCCCTCTTCACCTATCCCCAACATTCCCCAATGACCCAGACTGACTCCATACAGCAATCGAAACCTACCTCTCCCGCTGCCTCGGCATGAGCCTCCTCACAATCGCCATTCTAACCGTAATGCTGACTGGCTCTATCCCACTCACGGCCTCCATCACCGACCCCGTGACAACCGACGACTCCGATCCCAAGGCGCCCTACGCTGTGCCGACGATGCAAGTGACCACCATCTTCCATTTCATTTCGGCCGGGTATGCGTACGCCTGGTTCGCGGATAAGGGCCAATTGGCGTTTGGAGTGGGAATGGTGGTGTCGGGAGCGCTCGCCTCGTTGGGTATCTGGTGTGCGCTTTTTGCGAGCAGTAATGGGAAGATTAGTCGGAAGACGGGGGCGGATAAGAGAACTACAGGGTTCCCTTTTAAGAATAAAGAGGCGGAGAAGAAGCATGGGAAGGGGCTGTAGGGGTCTTCCTTGGGTTAAGAAGATGGAGAATGAATGTTGATAGTGACTGGGGGGTACGTTTGTCGGCTGGGCGCAATATAAGCGGAGACAAGTGGATAGAGTATCTTGGCTACATGATGTATGCATAGTACTGATATGTGCACATAAGACCAGAGAAATAACGTGATTTGATTTATCAGCTATGCAGCTAAACAGGACTTATCAGTAACTAGTAGTCGTATAGGTAGACTCAGCCATCCACTGACTGCATCCTAAACCACAATAAACTAGGGACGCGTACATACCGAAATCCTCTCACCAAACAAGCCCGAGCATCAGATACGTCTGACAATCTCCGCAACCTATCAATGGGGGCATTCCAGCTCTGATATACCCTCCAGAATCATAATATAAATCACGCTAAACCTAAAGCGCATGAGATTTTGGAATATCTGATTGGCTCACTCGCTAATGACATCATAGGGGCCATACGCTATACCCTTTCTGAGATGGTGCGATATCTATATCTCAGAATAGATCGTTCGATAGGGTCTGTTTTCACGGTGAGAAATAGAGGATTTGGGTGATGGAAGGTATAAAGAGGTGAACAGGGGAGGGAAGATGGAGGGAGGAAAGCAGACTTCTATTCTTTCGTTCCTCATCTATTGTCCTTCTTTTCATACCATCTCTCGAGGGTTCAGTGTGCAGTCGCTCGTTACATTCATACTTTTCTAGTATCTTGATCACTCTTTCTACGTCTCTAAGAGAGTTATACTACAGCTGGACTATTTTCATCTTCATACTACTGAGCATATAGACACAAGAACAGCATGTCTCTCACCCACTCACCCACAACATCATCTCTAACTAACACCTCTAACAGTTCCCACGATCACCCTCCTCCACCACTCTCCCTCATCCACAATCGAAACAGCAAAATGGTCTACATCGCCAAAGAAGCCATCATCTTCTTCGTCATCCTCGGCTGTGTGGTAGTTTCTGTCTTCGGTTACTCCATCCATTACCTTATGACCAATGGGTTCTACGGCGAGGAGAGGAACCTCGACTTCCCACCCGAACAGCGGATATACATGCGGCAGTTACGGCTACGGGATCTGCATTGGATGGCAAGAGATCATGGGATTAAGATTCAGAGCAATACGTCGCCGGTCTAGGTTATGTCATATATGTGTGATGGGATATTGATGGCGTTTGTTTGGGGTTGGGGTCTATACTTCTTGCTTATTGGATTTTGTGTTGGTATCTGGTTGGAATTGCATACTTGTTAGGTTACTAGGATATGATGATTGGATCTATTGAATTTGTTGCTAAGCGCTATCTCTTCACTATATAATTCACACTGACGCCGAATAAAGCATGTGTTCGTTGCAACTCTGCTTGATATCGTGTAAATTTGATTATCTATCACTGTTTGACTATTGTAGCGTGTTTCCTACAAGAGTTTCCGTTAATCCTCGCCTCGTTCTTCCTCCAAATATACCGTCGGGCTCTAAACAGTATATACCTATCTACTATGATAATCACGAGTTACTTCATACTAAATATAGACACAAAGCATAGATATACCTTACTAAAAGATCTCTACGATGGTCACCAATCCTCGGTTAAGAGGCCATTTCTTCTTCTGGCTATTGCTCAATGCGCACAGATCATACCAGCACCACGCTCCGAGAGGTCATAGAGAACCAGCCTCTTAGACGTATAGGCTGCCAACATATACTGGAACGACTCATATCCTCGACATTACCACTTGTTTGATGATCAATTGCCCCTAGTATCCATATCACCATGTTCCTGCAGTGAATCCCAAACTAGACTTCTCAAGGAACGTCCACTAAACTGCTTGTACAAACATACAAAGAACCACTATGTGATGGAAAAGCATATGCAGCTAGCCGGAAACAATGCTCGACCGTCACACCCCTCTACATCTAGACTCCCTCCCTGAGACACTATCCTTGTCATACTATATCAGAGCACTCATAAGCAACCCTCTATCTCCAAGCCTACCAAAATGCCACCAACCAATTCCCATCCCATAATAATATCCGGCCCCTCCGGCGTCGGCAAAGGCACCCTAATCCACAAGCTCATCACCACGCACCCCAACACCTTCTCCCTCACCAATCTCGCACACAACACGAGCACCGCGCGCCAGCGAAGTCCACGAAAAAGACTACTTCTTCGTAGACTCACCCACATTCAACACTCTCGTTTCGCAAGGTGCGTTCGTCGATAATGCCACATTCAGCGGACACCAGTACGGCACGAGCAGGAGAGCCATCGCGGATCAACTGGACAAGGGGCTAATTCCTGTGCTGGATATTGATGTGCAAGGTGCGAGGCAGATGAAAGCAGAGTCATCGGGGGTGGAGGCACGGTATGTGTTTATTAGGCCGCCGAGCTTTGAGGTGCTGGAGAGGTTGAGGAGACGGGGCACGGAGAGAGAGGAGGATGTGAGCAGGAGGTTGGAGAGGGCAAGGGCGGAGGTTGAGGGGGCTGTTGAGTGTGAACTGTATGATACGATTTGGAGAGGGCGTTTGGGGAGTTGGAGGAGTGGGTGCTTGGAGGCGAGGGGGGGTGGTGAGTAGGGATGGGATGTGTTGGATATGCTGTCATTCGGGTCATTGGAATTGGTGTTGGTTGGCACTGAAGACCTTGATTGCAGAAATAGTCGTTCCTTTTTCATATCATGGAAATGCGGTGTTTCTGGCTCGACGATAGATGTTGCTGCCGCTACGCCTTTTCATGTAGTAGGAGGTGCCAAGTCCGTATAGCGGTTGTGGTATCATTTCCCTGATTGCCATCCTTGCTACACTGATTAGGGCTGAAGAAAGTCGGTGCTGGAGGATGGCAGAAGGATTCAACAACCTTACAGTGACGAAAGGCCTTGCAAATCCTATTCATCAGAACATACTACAGACCCATAGGCTTGAACCTGGTTCAAGGCACCCAGTCCAAATGCTATCTTGACTATCCGTCTCAATTATCATCCCTCCTCTATAATAACCGAAAGGAATAGCAATCCAGATGCAATAAACTCATATCTCATGCTCATAGCTCATGCATACACCCTCAATCCCCAAAGCACAGAAATAAAAGTAAGAAGAAACCACCAACTCCCCAAACACCACCGCTATACCCACACAATGCAAGATCCACCCTCAAAACAGCTTCTCCTCGACATCCCTCTCATCAAACGGATCCCCGAATTCATCTACACGTCCACTAATTAGCACATCCCAACCCAACCCATACCAAAGCGACCATGGAAGAACATATATCAGTAACATACCCAGATTGAACTCCTGATCAACCACATACTCCAACGCGCGCTGATACTCCTCCTCCGCCCTTTTATTCATCCATGACGCGCCCGGCGCATCCATCTGCTCTCCCTGTTGTTGCTGCTGTTGTACCTGTTGAGTTGTCTGCGTCGCGAGCGGGGAGTCAATTAGGCTTGGGTTGAAGGACATCTGTCCCTGCGAGTTCAGAGTAGCGGTTTGCGTTTGTGAGCCGGGCGGGGAGAGTTCTGAGCCGCCGAAGGGAGGAGGACGCGGGTTGGTGAGCTTGTTGGTTGGAGTGCGGGTTCCTGGATGGGAATCTTCGGAGAGGCCGTGGGAGGATTCAGGCGAGGAGGCCATTTGGGAGTCGCCGTCTGGGTCTGTTATGGTTGGTTATGGTTAATGAGTGAGTTGCGTGGGTGTTGGTGGTAGTGGGGAGATAGGTGGAGGTTGTTTGTATGTGGTGCAGCGGGGAACTGTGTGGAGTAGTTGGGAAGGGCACAAACCGGTAGCCATGGTATATGAGTTTATCAAATCGGTCAATCAATCAAGGAATAGACGAAACAGAAAAACAACCAAGCGAGACAGTCTGTCGATGTTGCATTGAGATCGATGGAGGGATCGGGGATAAGGTGAGGTCGGCGATCTTAACTAAGCACAAGGCGGCAACCGCCATTTTCCTCCGCTTTTCTGAACTCCTCTTCCAAACTAGACGATTTTCTTCCCCTCGTCTTACTTACCCCTCGGTCATTCTCTCCTTTAAACTAAGCCACCCGGCTAATACATTGGACGTGTCTTTTTTGGTTTACTATCTAGACCCTACTGACTCTGGGTCACGTCGTTCACTCGTTCAAACACTGTTTTACGCGCTATAGCGATATCCCTTGGCCATGAGCGCAAAGCCCTCAAGTGGCCCCGACGCCTGGGAGGAGGACTGGGAGAGTCAGGCTGATGTATGTGCACCACTACGTCTGCATTCCGCCATGCGACCACCTCAATTCTCTGACTAATCGCTCTCCTAGTCTTTCGCTGCAGAATCCGCCCCGCCTCCGCAGGAGAAAAAAGGCTCCTCGAAAGTTACCAAGGCCCAGCGCAGAGCCCAACAGGCCGAATTCAACCGACAGCTATGGGCCGAGGCGTACGTATACTACAATGATGACTGTGCCGATGTTTGCCTGACCGTTTTTCGCTACAGAGAATCACCTCAGACGTTTCATTATCTAGAAGCGCGGTCAAACGTCCCGCTCAAGCAGGAATTCAAGCCCACCGTCACTGTTCTCAGTCGCAACCCCCAAATAGCTACGCGTCAATCGTCCTCTGTAGACGCTGCGAGTGCTGGTATGAGAAGACTAGGGTTGAACGAGGATGACGACTCTGATGAGGATAAACCGCCTCAGCCTACACCCGAGGAGCGGCAGGCTATTGCGCTGCGCAATCTGGAAGAGAAGCAGCGCAAATATGAGGAAGTCAGGGAGAGGCTGTTCGGTAGCCCGTCTGCCCCTACTTCCGGCGCGTCCTCGCCACGCAGTGCTACCCCGCCTAAACAACACGAGGGCCGAGGCAAAGGGAGAAGCCGTGGGAATGGGCGAGACAACAACCGTGACAAGCGTGACTCGTCTGCTGCATCAGGGAAGTCTAAGCAACTCTACGATCCAGGGTCTCCTAAACCGAACTCGAGCTTTGGACCGCGGAGGGAGAAACAGAGCGGTGTCCGAAGGGAGGATGATTCGCAATCTCCAAGACAGCCGATCCGCAGTCCTCGTGGCCCTGATAGTAGCGGAAGGGGCGGGTTTAGAATGGGCAACAGGGGTGCCCGTGGAGGCTAGACTACGAAAACGACAGCTATACCTTCACCAAGGATTGGCGCATCGCGCCTGTCTGTGTTGGTGGGACGCGACTCCGGGTCGCTGCTCAGAGTAGTATTCAAACGCTAAATGGTATAGCAGTGACCTGCAACAAGCTAGGGAAGACCCCTTCCGGAGTTGATCGCATTGGCAACCTGGGACGTGTTGGGGCGGTTTTCTAGAGACGTCAGCTTGTGATCGCGTTGTATCAACAATACACTTACGAGCGTATCGCTCATAACTATCCAGATAGAGCTCATCGGTGCTCGTGGTTGCCTGGATGTGCTCATTGTTCTCAATAGCGTCGACCCAGGCTCCCCAGCGACTGCCAGGCTCCGGGTCTGGCCACCCGCGATAAGGCTTCAAGGCACGGCGCAAGCGGATGATCCAAGGGGCGACCTGGACATCAACGAACGAGATTTGAGCGCCCAGAAAGAACGGGCCCTGCGCATCTGCGGCGCCAACCAATGTGTTGAATGCATCTCGGAGCTCCTGCGCGTTGGTTATTTGCTTATGTGTGTCTTGCTCTTGAAGGACACGGTAGAAATTTGGGACGATGTGGCGGTTGATCTGCGAATGTCAGAGGTGAAGGGGACGATAATCATGGGGTGCATACAAAATCCGTCCACAGTCGGCAATGCGCCCTCAGCTTGGCGTCTCCGGGCGGAAGCAACGGTGTGCCGACATTCAGATCCTCCAACTAGGGCCATGTTAGGATTGGATCAAGTTGGTTCAGTGGGGCAAGGGTAGACTCTTACGTATTCCAGCAATACGGAACTCTCATATGAGCCCCAATCCCCGTGCCGCAAGGCTGGGACAAGACCCCTGGGGTTCACGTCCAGCAATGACTGGGGCTTCTTATAAGGGTCAACCTCAATATATTGATAGGGGATGCCCTTGATCTCCAGGGCAACCCAGACGCGCTGCACAAAAGGGCTAGCAGTGGTCAGCACTAAAGACGATGTATATATGCATATAAACTAGAGTGAACGTACCAAAAGCAACTTCCATACAATTTCAGTTCATTGTCTTGTGAGCGGTGCGCGACTGTCTGGGCAGCCAGGCCGGTGGCTTTGGTATGGTATTGTTTTTGGATCTGGTTCTGAGTAGCCATTACTCTAGTCTGTGTGCGGTGGTGATTAGAAGGAAGAGCAATCAATCGTGTCCTAACAGCAGAGGACACACGCCTGGATAAATTGCCAAATGGCAATGGTTTCAACAACAGAATGGATCTTCGGAGCATGGTGGACGGGAAGTGAAGGTGCAGTTGACGAGCGGGGAAGATAGTCGGCGATAGGCACTTCTCCGCCGAATGACGTAACACGCTTGTGCCAGGATCAATCAACAAACATAAAGAAACAAACTTACATTCAGCGACCTCTTCTTCTCTTTCACCTCCTGCAATAAGAACCGCTGCACACTATTCTTCTTCACGCGATCACTGTCCTCCAGCGTATGACGATGGCCCCCACTCACACCATCGTTCTTCCCGTTCGCCCCGTTCCCATTTACTCGCTGGATAGTAAAGAACCGCTGCCCGTTGACCCCTGGATGACCCTCTGGTAGAGGTGGATTCAAGCTTGGCGTTAATAGACCAAACTGCTGGTTTTGAGTTTGTTGTTGCTCCCTGACAGCAGACTCCTGGAGTACTGGGCTAGGAACCCCAAGCCCATCAAGGACTCCAAGATCTGATCCCATAACATCGTGGCCCGGGAAGTATTCTGTGATCTTGATCTTCACATCACAGAGATCCCGCTGACGGGCAGTTCGTTTACGTTTCTTTTTGTTGGGATCGTTGGATTTCGGTGTTCCGGGAGGTCGACCTTTCAGGCGACAGTCCCAGTAATGGGAAATTAGTGGTTTGCGTTTGTAGTGTTGAGTTGAGCGGTGGGAGTAGACGTTGTCAATGTGTGGGAAATATGTTAGGAATCTGGAGCATGTCAACAAGGGCATTTCATCTGCAGTAAAGTAAAAAATACGCACTGCTCCTCACTTAGGACTATCATCTCGTCGACATTGAAAAGCCGTTCTCGCCATGCGTCGAGATCCGGCGGATCGAGAATCGTGCGGATGTCGATATGCTGGTCAGGTCTTTTTACGAGAGATTGAAGATGCGTATGTTGATGATGGTGTTGATTTTGAGACTGATGAGTTTGTCGAGAGTAGTCGAGCTCTTCGACGGCACATTGTAGACCATGGAGCGAGTCCTCGTCAATGCTAACTTGGCCTTGTCGATGGGTTGGAACTAGTTGCGGGTCCTGGTGGGCAGCCAGCGTCGACGCATCTTCAGCGACAGAAGTAAGTGAGGGATGAAGGAGACTCGAGGCTGTAGAGTGTATTGTTGTATCAACTTCGGAGGAAAGGGATGGATGGTCCATCGTGGTGGACACACTGTTTAATATTAAATGCTGGTGGTGACGCTGCTTTAACAGTGTGGAGGACAAAAAGGCGGGGGTTGAGGCGGCAATAAGGTTCAGTTCTTGAGTTGGTTGCCGGTTGGAGATTAGCGTTGATCGGCGTTTGCTGATCAACAGCGGGTTCTGGTCCAGTCGTAAGTGGGCCTCGTATCATGTTAACTTTATTCCAGATCTACTTGATACTGCCACTGTCATCTTATGTTTTGGCAAGAGATAATGTGCTCTTTTTCGCATCGTTTTAGCCCAAATGAAGTCAAGCGACATTCCTTTACTACTCTGTACTCAGTCAGATACCCTCTTAACGTTACCCCCACGCGTTGATGTGCGGAGTTCATCGTTCTGCCGGCAGAACTCAATGTCCGCGAACCCCAAAGCCATCGAGGGATGTCCTGAGTAGACGAGACAAGCTAAGTAATATCTACAATATGCTACGTGAGAACCTTCCCAAAAGAGCAACGATATGACAAAGCCCAATTTCACTCTGAATATAGGAGATAAGCCCTTTTCAGGTTTGTGCTCGGCGTGAAACCTAGTAAAACTCAAAATAGCGACATTCATTCTAATAGTATTAGTGCATGTATAATGGTATCTGACCTATCCGCATGGATCCTGCCTGCGTGTCTGCTAGGTTCACTGTGTATATCTGCGTAGCAAAGTCGACTTGCATTCGCAATAAGTGTACTCGAAGTTTCGCTGGGGAGAATTTGCGGTCACCAAGGCGGTAGATGGCCTGGGAGAGAGAACGTATTGACTCCGCCTTCTGTACACACTCGCATCGCTAGCAGTTGGTTCCCCCCACCCACTACCGCCAGATGTCTGGATGATCAGAGTGTCACCTTTGCATACGTTAGTTGTGCTTTTCGGACCAAGATTGACAACCTGGTTTGGCTCTCGGTCGGAAGTGACCTTCTTAATCAACAGATTGACGCCGGCCTCGCCGTGACAGCCCCCGTGGAAACCATCCGAGCTTGGGGGTTGACACTCTGACATGACCGTCAAGCTGACTGGCTTTAGGAACTCAATCACTCTGTTGCACCCATCACCACCATAGAATTGACCCCGTCCACCACTGCCATGCCGGACACTGAACTCCCACACCAGGCAAGGGTACTGTCTTTCCAATAGCTCGGCATCAATGATTCGTGTCTTCGTTGTGCCTACTTCCATAGCGTTCTTCCCATGCCAGTCAGGACCAGCGCAGGAGCCCCCCACAATTGTTTCTTGATGCATAAAGCCTGGTATGTACGTCCCATCGGGAGTGATCTGGCCCCTAACGCTGAACATCAGGTTATGAAGACGTCCACTGGAATAGATGTCAAAGCACTGCAACATCAACTCGAGGACATGATGCGAGGCGACCCGTCTGTTGCTGATGGTATTATCTGACTGGGGGTTTGGCGTTGATCCAGCTTGCGATGGAAGAATGATGTTAATCGGGTTGAGTAAACCCTGGCTGAACCGGATTTCTCCCTTGATCCAATGATGCAACAGGTACATTATGGCAGCTTGGGCCACATGCGCAGGAAAATTAGTCCTGGCTTCACGGAGACAATCAGCCAAATGTCTTATAACACATGAGAGGGAAGCTTGGAGCGTACCAGTGCCTGTGAAATCAAAGTCGGCTTCTCCCTTGTCATAATCAATTGTGATTTTCAGACAAATGGGGCTACCATCACTCATCAAATCGGTCGCGACTAACGGCCTACCGCCACGCTTATCATGAACAATTCTCAATAGCTGGCGAACCGCGGTCTCGGGCCTTCTTTCCATAGCTCTGACATATGCCTACCGCATTCTTTAGTCGGATTCGGCCAACCGCTGATAGGGTGTTGCTGCCACTCACCGATACTACTTTCATCTCTTGCCCCTCCAAGAGCTTCATTAGACGTTCCCTAACTTGCTGGTTTGCATCAACCAAGACACGGAGGTTGGCAAGATTGTCGGCCAGATAGCTCGAATCACTGCAGTCAGAATGCTGTTTGCGATCTGACAGGATATACTTCTCAATACTCTCTTCGTCCATGGCGCCGTCCCGCACTACTTCAGCTGGTATGATCTCTCCATCCTCTTGCCAAGGCTCCTTCGAGATCAAAGCTGACGAATCAGTGAATATGCCACTGGAGGTGCAGTAAAATACGATGACGCCGCCATGGAATACAGGGGTGACCACTGTAATATCGAGAGGATGAGTGCTCCCGCACAGTCCTGTTCCTGGTCAAACCACACTGCGCAAGTTGTGAGAAAATTTTCGAATCCGACTTACTGGGTTGTCTGAACACAAGAATATCTCCGTCTTGTAGCTTGTGCTTCCAATTTCCACGGTTGGACTGTACGGCACATTTCATGGTGCTAATGTGCGATGGACCAAAGGGGGCTAAGTAGTATGATGAGGTCAGCGATTGTATCTATAGGTTGTCCTCAACAAGGCCTTCCTACCACAGGCTATCAGTCTGCTATTTGCGGAGAAGATGCCGCACGAGAACTTCAAGTGTTTCTTCATCTCGCTGCTCATTTCTGTCCTCCGCAGCGTTCGTTTCATCTTCTTCATCATGGATGAAAACCGATAATCGAATATTGCAAACTGAAGAGGGTCAATAGCGATCTTTTGAACGACTGCATGTGCCGTTGGCGAAGCTATGTCGATCACCACATGGCTCCTCAGAATTGTTGCTTGCGCGTTCGGGGTCACGAGAATGGTTTGGGTATTGTCGACGATCAAGGCCGGTCCTTCGATCCGGTCGGCTGTTCTTAAGCTTTCAAGCCGATATACTGGAGTACGCTGCCAACCGCGCTCCCCGAAATAAACGTCTTTAGTCATCACCCTAGCTTCGCGTGATGGAGCCCGGAACTCCCCCAGACACGCAAACTGCTGAGCTGGAGATAGATCACTGGGGGGTTTCTTGAGCCCGACTGCACGCAATCGAACGGTGCAGGCAACCACCGGCCGTGCTGCTATGAAGCCATACTTCTTCTTATGTACGTCTGCAAATTTCACTGTGAGCTCCAATTCGTTTTCCGGTTTCGAGATCGCAATGATGGTATCGGAACCTTCATAGTGCATAAGGATCTCGACCTTGAACTGGATATCGTCTGCATCCCCAATCCCTCGTTCGCGAAGCTCTGATTCCGCCCTAACTCGCAAGGAGGCCTCAATCTCCCGGATCCGAGGGATGGTATCTCTGCGAAAGACGCATTCAAGTGGCTCTTCGAGATCTGAGACCAGACTCCCGAAGGCCATACCATACGCGGATAGCATAGAGCTGTGATGATGCAGGATGACCCGATTGATGCCCAGCGAAGATGCAATGAAGCAAGCATGCTGGCCTGCAGCACCACCAAATGCAACGAGGTCATGGCCACTAGCCTCGTAACCTCGTGTTTCTGTCTGCCTGAGAATAGCGCGGCACATATTCTTTTCTGCGATCCGCAAGAAATTGAGTGCCGCTTGTTCTGGGGTCAACTTAGTTGCATCTGAATTAGCACCATTGTTAATATCTGAACATAGGTCGTTGAACATCCTTCTGGTCACTTCTATATCAAGGGTTTTGTCCCCATTTGGTCCACAGACCTTGGGGAAACATTCTGGTACCAAGCGGCCCAAGAGCAGGTTCGCATCAGTGACTGTTAGGGGTCCCCCTTTCTGATAGCAAGCTGGGCCAGGATGTGCACCGACACTATCTGGCCCTACTTCCGCTGACCCCTTCGACCAGTATAACTGAGAGCTTCCGCCAGTTGCAATAGTATTGATGTTTAGCTGAGGCAACTCGACGGTATTACCGGCTAGTGTTGTCGTTACACGTTCGTATTCGCCCGCAAACCGCGATATTTCTAGTACATGATCAGCAAAGAGGGATCGTCAGGTTTTGGTCAGGCAATCAGCTCACTCGTTGATGTACCGCCCATATCAAAGCCAATGAGCGGCTTGCCGGATGATCGATCATAACAGGTCGAAGCATACCCTAGCAGGCCGCCCACCGAACTGGACAGAATACCCTTGCTCCCCACAATATCGTGTATATGAGCCATTGTTCCATCATTCTGCATAAACTCGCACGGAGGAAGAGTGGGATCCCTCATCTGACCAACAAACAAGTTTCTGAAATGCTCGACATGTTTTCGTATGACCGGTGTTATGTATGCGTGCAAGGTAGCTGATTCGGCGCGTGCTACCATTCCAATCTACCACGTATCAGCCTTATTATCACAGCACTATGGCTCAACCTTCAAGCACATTAGGAAGTCGACATACCTTTGGATTCAGAAGGGAACTGACTGTCACATTAAGACCAGCCTTCCGGGCCAGATCTGCCAGTCTAAACTCATGGTTTGGATAGACTGAACTGTGCATGAGGCAGATGCTTACACTTCGGATGCCACGGTCATGCATTTCCACAAAATGTTGCTCGACAATACCCCAATACGGTTCCCGCACGATCCGTATAACTTGCTGCGAGACGCCTGTGTCGAGTACTTTATCCGGATCAACATTGGCCGCTTGGCCTCCTGGATCGTCTGGAGAGGGTTCCAGAATGACTCGCTCGTCCACCTCAAGAACCTTCTCGTACAACGCCATTGGCTTCGGAACGGTGAAGCCAAAGAGGTCAAGCGGTGCTTGGTCACCAAGCAAGAGAAGATCACGAAACCCCTTTGTGATCACCAAAGCAGATCGTTCGCCCTTTCCTTCTGACAGAGCATTTGCAGCCACTGTTGTCCCCATGCGGATACTCTTCACTTCACTTAAGTTGAGTGGCCGTCCGCATGGTATCTGGCTCCCGCTAGCAATCTCGAGTACACGACGAATACCCTCTGTCGGTGCGTCATGGTACTTTTGCGGGTCGACGGAAGGCAGCTTCAAAGTGATATCTTGTGATTTACCAGGAATCGATGCATAGATATCAGTGAAGGTGCTACCGCTGTCAATGGAGATGCTGATTCCCGAAGCAGCCATTTTGATATGACTGATTCTGTCTGAATGTGTTCAACTCAACACCCTTCCAAGCTTCAAGGCCTGGGGGTCCTGCTACTTTAACCATCACTACTACTGTATACTACATCGCCGTCTCGAAGACCCTGTTCTCATGCATCCCTGCGCGTACGAACAAGCATTACCTGGTGTAGGGCTACGTCTATCATGCCAAGACCTGTATGCTGCGGCATACAGGTAACCGATAATTTGTGTGCCTGAGAGCCTGACAGGGGTACTGCGGCTTGCAAACAACCGACATTTCAGTGTCCGAAGGTTGCTGCGCGGCTTACATGCATCCGATGAGAGCATTTCGCGCCGATGAAAAATAGCCGGGCGCCCCCCTGCTCTTTTGCGGTAAGCATCGGCTCAGGACATACTACCGCGACACAATCTAAACGCTACGCACTTTAATCACCTGTCTTTCGCGCTTGATTAGCCTGGCATAAGGTTGCTACGAGAACGCCATTATTGGCCAATACACTATGGCGCAGCCAGCAGCGAGCATATCAGGACAAGCAGGATCGGATACCATGCATATTGCTATCGTCGGAGCAGGCATAGGAGGACTGGCTCTAGCCATTGGACTCACTAATCGGGGCGTCTCTTACACATTGTATGAGTCGGCCGCGCAATTTAGTGCAGTGGGTGCAGGGATCGGCCTGGGGCCAAATGCGCTTCATGCGATGGAATTGATAGACACAAGATTCCGACAATTGTACAATCAAATATCTTCCGGAAATTTGACGCCGAACAAGGAGCACATAGCGATGGAAGTGCTGTATGCCGAAGAAGGATTCGGCGCCAAACGGGGCTGGCAGCCGGCCCCGTTTGGGGCGGAGTTCTACACCCGAACCAGCGCACATCGCCGTGATCTCCTAGAAATAATGACCAGCTTAATTCCGCAAGAGCGTGTACAGTTCAACAAAAGGGTCAAACATATCAATCAGACGGGAGAGAACAGCAAAATTATTATCACATTTGAAGACGGCAGTATTGCGGAGGCAGATGCGGTTATTGGATGTGACGGCGTGAAGGGCCCGACGAGGCAAGCCGTCCTAGGGACACTATACCCAGACAAGGTGCAACCTATCTTTAGTGGCAAGTATGTCTACAGATCGATCGTTCCAATGGAAGATGCCCAGCGGCTTCTCGGGGACCATGCTGGAGACGCGAAGGCGTTTGTCAGCCATAAAAAGAATATCATGACGTTTCCAATTTCACGCGGCACCGAGCTCAATGTGGTAGCCATCAAGATGATGGATGGACCTTGGACACATCCACAATGGACCAAGGATGTCACTAAGGAGGAGATGGTGGCCGATTTTGCGGAGGTTGATCAGCACCTTCTCAAATTATTGGACGTGCGTGTTAGCCCTTATGATCGTCTTTGCCTAGAACAGCTAATGAGCCTTAACAGTGGGCCAAACCATTACAATGGTCTCTATGGCACCATCCTGACACACCCACCTATTACAACGGACGAATTTGTCTCCTGGGGGACTCGGCCCACGGCACTACGCCTCATCAAGCTGCCGGCGCTGGACAATGCCTGGAGGATTCTCTTATCATGTCTCACATTCTGGGTCTCGCCAAGAATCGCTCCGAAATTACCCACGCATTCCAGGTTTATGACAGTATTCGACGGCCACGGGCGCAAGCAGTCGTAACCACGAGTCAAGAGGCGGGGACGCTCTATACTTTCACGCATCCGCAGTTGGGCACGGACTTGGCCGAGATCGTCGCAAATCTTAATCAACGCTTTTTGTGGATCTGGGATCACGATTTGAAAGCGGATATTGAGCTTGCCCGTCGGTGGTTTATAGCCCTGGTACAGATGTCTCAGTCACGATTATGACCGATAATAACGCTGAAATCTCCACATCTAACATTGATTGTACCATTCTTAGTGTCGAAGCTATCGAAATGACATGTGATCGTTCTAAGGACAAAAACAGGAAAAAGAGACAAAAGAAAAAAAGAAAGAACAAAGAAAAAAAACAAATGGCGCCTAGGCATTTCCGTCGTCAAATTCCCTCAGCAGTCGAACATCCGAAAGCATGGCTAGTCGGGATCGTGCGGCCGCTGGTGGATAGCTCAGGAGCAAGTTAGCTTTGTTTTGGGTATATGCGTCTAGCGACTTCCGATGAAATGCCAAATGTCAGTTACGTATCATTCACTTGCAAACGCTTCTTCTGCTTCCACAACAATCCATCTTACGCACACCCCCGACGTCTAGGGCCCTTCCAGAGGCGTGTCATCTAGAACACCACTGAAGAGAACCCGGCGCCACCCCAATCATCACATATTACAGTCCAAATGACCATTGAATGCCTCTGTCCCCAGTAACATGGATCCAATCGAATCCCAGGAGAAGATAGCATTGTCGTCGCCCAAGAGTGGCATCGACATCAACTGGTCCATGTGGCCGCCATTAGCATACACCATAGTCGGATCCATCTGAGCCACGCTCTGATCCGTGAGGGGGTCCATGCCTGCTCCATAATTTTGGAAGGGCATGTTAATTAAACCCATTTGAGACACAGCGAGCTCGGTGCTAGGGCCTAGTGCCACTTCCATACCAGAATAAGGAGCAGTTATCTCTCTCATCGACGAACCAAGAGGGACCAGAGCATTTTCCGAGACTGGTTCATTGTTGACCGGATCATCGCGGACTGGTGGCGGTTGAGCGGGGGCTGACCTTTCGTTAAGCAGCACGTCAACGTCCCGTATGGCCCCGGTCCAGCGAAGCATGGTAGCAGGCATCATTGGGTTGGACGAATGGCGCATGAGCATACTCGCACAGTCGTGGAGCAACGAAACATCTTTGTCAGTGACAGTCTTGTCGCTGTCGGGCCGCGCTCGGTCGCACAGAATACTCAACGTCAAGACCAAAGTCGACGAGTACACGTAATAGACGTCCCACCAGGTCACTGGGTTGAATTTCCCCAGTTCGTCCAGCTGCAGCAGTAGCTCACAAGCCTTTCGACCAGACTCGCAACAAACCTTGGCATTCGCTTTGACCTCTTCATCGTTGGGGTTAGCTTCTGAGTTCTGCGATACGGAGGCAAGGAGTTGCAGCAATGCACAGCGAGTGAGCAAGGATACAGTATAATGATACTGGATGTGTAACAAGAGAACGGGTCTCTTGAAGCCATCTGGCAAGGTCCTCAATACGCTGAGAGTTAGGTGCTGGGGTAGGGAATAAAGCCACCGGCTTAAATCCCGGAGCAACCCAGCTGTCGGGGAGAGGAGACCTGTGCGACCATTCTCGCTCGTGGCAGTTGGTAAGGCACGGCATACTAAGCCTAAGATAGTAACAAGCCGTGCGGACCAGAGTGTGTAGGTCGGGGGCCAGTTGGAGGATCCCATACCAAGGACTCTCTCATGGGGCGAGGTAGTAGAACACATGGTGCTATCGATAGCACTGGGCCGGTCATGGGAAGAGACCTGGATCTGCTCGAAAGCATACAGTGTCCACCACAGTGATTTCCTGAGCTCCTTAGCCAGTCTAGGTCCCTCACAGATGATCTCGTCTCGATGGAGTCCAATGGCGATTGCAATGCGGGCCGCTGCCCCGGTCAAGGTCCAGCAGGCATCACGATGATTCGTGTTATGAAGATGCAAAGCAGCCAGCATCAAGGCCTGGACCGAAAGGATATTGTTGGTGAAAATAATTGTGGGCAGAAGGGATTCCACGTGGGTCCACCATTTTTGCTGCTGGGTCTCCGTTGTCCCCAGCGGACTAATTCGCCGACCCAGAAGCAATACGCACAACAGTTCACATACCCACGCTCGATCAACGGATTGCGGGGAAAGTCGCCACACATCGTATATTTCCAAGAAAGAGGCTTCGTGGAGGACCGGGAAGTCGATGTTGACGTTATCGAAGTAAGCTCGAATGAGCCCATTGATGACGGAGCGATCGAGCAAAGGAGAAGGATATTGGACAGCATTAGCGCTGACCTCGACTTGTTGGGGTTCTGCTACTGCTCGAATATCGGCCTCCGTGAGGATCTCTCTAGCATATCTCAAGGTGTCCTCGGAAGGGTTGCGGCCAAAGAGGTACATCTGAAACTTTCCTCCCTGGGCCTGGCGATGAAGCCCCAAGAGGGCACGGAGCTTCATCTGGAAAAAATAGGAGCTCGCAGGCCCGATATACTGTTCCTGGCCCTCCATGTCACGAACCAGCTCCTCGTTCTTGTTCGGGTTTGCTTCTTCGCTTGCTTGGATCATCTCGAGCAGGGGTGGATACGTGTTATCCACCTCTTCCGGAAGCTTAATGCCTAAGGACTGTCCAAGTTCTCGCATGCTCTCAATGGAATTGAGGTCTGCACTGGGAACAAGCCCCTTTACCAGCGCCTCAAGCAGTGCAATCTTGTAACGCACGAGCTCGGCGCTGCCATAGAGCCGTTGCTTTCGGGGCCTGGTGACCTTGCAGCCATAGTTCATGCGTATGCAATGCTCACAGCGGTCTTCATTTGGAAGCCGTTGGCATTTCTGCTTTCTTGATTTGCAACGGTCACAGCTGTGCTCCGTGCGTTTCCGTTGCTCGGGTGGAACTCGTCGATCTGACTTTTTGCTTGTTGTGGCCATCTTTGGTTGCGGATTGATCAACCGGGAGATCCTCCGGGAGGGCTGAATGGAGGAGAAGGAGGAGTTGCGGTCTGCATGTAGCCGGTGTGTTCCGGAGGGATTGATTATGTATTCTCGTAGGTGGGTGACTATTTTCGAGCTTGACAGGGGTATAACAGACTATAACGGACGGCGTGAGCTACAAATTGCTGGCGATATGCAGCCACGGCCTTAGCGTGAACGACCGGTCCAGATAGCGCGGGCTCGAGATTAAGCCCACGCACAAAACTGGCGGCAAGCATGCATGCCGTCCAGTCTGCACGTTCGCTTTTCAGTTCTGACAGCTTCCGAAGATCTCTTATCTATTACTACTACTACTTCTACTCGCGACTTGACTCCGGATTTTGCCTCTGGAGCTCCGCGTCAATATTCTCCCCCGCGATAGCGTCTCGGCGCTTGCCGTGACGATAAATTTCTGAAGAATGCTCCCCTGTCTTCTTCTTCCCCAATTATCCAGCAAGAGCGCTTGCTTGGTGTCAAAATGGCGGACGTAAAGGAGCTTCAATCTGTGGAAGTTCTCCAAGAAAAGTCCATGTCATCGGGGGACCCGGAGGCCAATGCTAGAATCAAGACCACCGCACAAGGCATCCCTCTGGTCCCCCAGCCCAGTGATGATCCAGAGGATCCCTTGGTTCGTTCGCTGTCCTCACAAAAACTACTGATCAATGATGTCCTGACAGTAGAGGGATTGCCTATAGAATTGGAGCCAATTCACCAAAATTGCAGCTCTTATGGTCCTCGCGTTCGAATCATTCCTGGTCAAATTCTCGGCCACGTTGATTGTAGGTTTACTGAACTTTCCTACTCTTTTTATCTCCTCTCCTAATAGATCCCTTAGGCTCCTGATGCATTGGAGCTGGCTGAAGAATTCAATGTCCCCGAGACAACCGCGACGTACATCGGATCTGTACCTTCCATCTTAAACGCAATAACCTCCTTCTTCTGGATCCCGATGAGCCACCGAATAGGTCGACGGCCAGTACTTCTCATTGGCAATCTGATGACCTTGGTCAGCGCGATCGGGGTGGCTCGATCCCAGACATATGCGCAGTGTTTAGCTTGTCGCATGCTCATGAATGTAGGTGGCAGCGTTGGGTTGTCCATCGGACCCGCTGCTATTTCTGATATGTTTTTCTTGCATGAGAAGGGGTCGCGGATGGGTGTAAATAGCATTTTGCTCGTTATTAGTCCGTATGTGGGCGGTGTCGCTGGTGGCTCGATTGCATACAATAAGAGCCTCGGATGGCGGTGGTCCATGTACATCGCAGCCATCCTGTACGCCACACAATTCGTTGCCCAGATCTTCTTTGGTAAGTTTAACTCTGTTTATCTGTGGCACTTTGGGGTCTAGCTTTACTAATTGCTTTTTTTCTCTCACCCTTCAGTGCCCGAAACCATCTATACACGAAACGAGAAAACCAGCGCCGAGTCCAAGCCTTCCGACCGGAAGAAGTCCATGTTCCTGTCCCGCATGAAGTTTCGCAAACCAGTGGTCCCCAAGGAAGAGACTTGGGGCCAAACCTTCCGCAAGCCATACAAGATGTTCGCTTATCCCGCCGTTGTTCTTCCGTCTTTCTGGTTTGGCGTCGCAAACATGACTGAAGTCGGAAACACGGCCGGATTTGCGCTCAACTTCGGTAGCAAGAGCCGCTTTCACTTTAACTTGGCTCAAGTTGGCTTTTGCTACTTCTCCGGTATCATTGGTGCCGGCATTGGTGAGATTTTTGGTGGGCCACTCTGCGATATGGTCGCCAAATACTCCTTACGACGAGGTCAGGAGTGGAGACCGGAACGTTTGCTTCATCTTGCGTGGTCTGCTCTCATCACCATCTCGGTAAGTTGAGGTTCTGAAGGAAAAGCCAAGATACAAACAATAAGCCTGACATACCCATCTAGGCTGGTCTCCTCCTGTACGGACTTGAACTCGAATATGGTGACAGCTGGGCTGCAGCCCTCACTGGAATCGGTCTCTTCACTTTCGGACAGGAAGTCCTCGTCACTGTCCTGTTGACATACATGACGGAGTGTTACCCGGAAGATGCAGCAGAGGTAGCCATTGTCTTCCAATTCTTCTTTGCTGTCCAGACATTCCATCCCCCTTTCTATCTCCCTCAGTGGATCAAGCAACCTGGTGGAGCCAAGGTCCCGTATATAGTTTTCGCAGCACTACCGATAGTGCTGTATCCCTTCTGCATCTCGTTGTTCACCTGGAAGGGTCCGCAGATCAGAAAAAGAGGACCTTTCTTTGTTCTATGAGTTGCATCGGGCATGTCTTATGAATAACTTGCTTGCATTTGCATGATACGGTCGTTTCGGCTTTTGAATTCGCATTGGATCATGTGTCATCAGGGAAAGGGTTAAACGTAAAGAGAAAGAAAACCCGGGGAAGAGAAAAAAAAGAGAAAAGCCCATGATCGCGCATTTGCAGGTGTCTTACGACTACGGTGCATATTTATCTTCTTGCAATAATGAATCTATGGTGGGAAAAATACAACGACTCAGATATCAATAGGATTAGCTGCATCTCAAAATGATACCTTCTCTATGGTCTCCTAGACATCCAAGACAATCCTAGCATTTCCAACCCGATTAAGCACATCCTACAACCCCTTTCCCAACCTCTAGATTACGAGCTAAAAGCCGAACTCACTCACAATCACGGCTGATGATTTCTCCGCTAGGCTATTTATTATCTCCGAGTCCTTGACTAGTATGTGGGCCTTATGGGGTCGGAGGAGCTCAACCGTTACGGTCTCCTCCTCGGGGATACGGATAACTCGGTCCGGCGCGCTCTTAGGGCCTCGCGTTTACCCACACAGTCTCCAGTTGTCTGCCATTGTGGCGTCCAGGGTTCGCCTTGGTGGTAGAGCTTAATTGAACCGTCTGTGTAGGTAGGGATTTCGTTGTGGCATGGGGGGTTGTGATGTGGATGAACGCTTGGTTTCTGCCGGTACGGAACAATATCTGATAGCATACCACTATATATTTATATTACAGAGTTTACTGAGTTACCCACCACAAATAAATAAGTTTATAGTGTACCTACACCCATGAAAATGTTTCAAAAGATAGCCGGAATACTACTAAACAGTGTATATTGTGACAACTGTCGAAATAATCTTCATTCATACTTGAACGGACGTAGAGATTAAGTTATCGCGGCATGTCGAGATCCGAAGCTGCATTAGCAAGCTGCGAGTTGGGTAAATCTCGCATCAGCACTGGATGGACTATTCCTTGATTGGATCTCGGCTAGGGATGTCGGTCGCACGGTTCATGTATTGTCTACGCAGATATAGGGTAAGGATTGGGTCCTAAAGGAGACGCATGCACAGTATGTAGGACCTAACTGGGAAGTTCTGGATGGGACGGGTGATCGAGGTGTTGATTGCTATATATATTTCATTTATATACATGGGCATTATGGGTTAGTAGCGGTGCATTCAGCGTTATTGTTGCTACCAAATCTGACGCTGCATACCTGGAGACAGGTATATTTACTGGTTCCATATGCAATCCAGTTGGAACGGATATTGGTTCTGGTGTGAGGGGGAAAAGAAAAATAAAACAAGCTTGTAGATTTCCGTCTGTTAGCATAAGCTTCTCAATATCTTCTTTATATGTTTTACAATCTATATACAAATAATACTGTCTATATATTGTAGTGAATCATGTTTCAGTGTATGTGTATCAGCAGAAGGATATTACATATAATAGAACAAAGTATACTGATAATTGAACACACAGAATATAGTGAAGAATTGGACAATAATACATTATTGGTTTTATTGCTTACGATAAAATGGAACCATCCACTAAGACAGACCTGTGCTCTGGTGTTCAATGTACATTAGAACGGACATAAATTTGACTAGCTTAATAGAACATAAAGTTCTGCCGAAGGGTATTGATATTTATCGCACAGCATCTTCTAGCTTTACACCGAATAGATTAGGCCACAACTTCAACCCTAATCCTCGCCTCAGCGATATCCGACTGAAACCAGAACCCAATATCCTTCGTAGTATCCGCGAGCTCGACTTCGCGTTTCACGAACCCCAGCTCCTCAGACACCTTCACCTCCCGCTCTTTAGCATCATCGATACCTTCCTCCCCATCATCTTCACTATCCCAACCCTCATCATCCTCCATCTTCTCCTTGCTCACCGGGTCCAGCTCATCGGTCTCCCAGACCAATCTAAAGCTGTAGGGCTGTAGTCCGAAAAGTCGAGAAACAATAGCCTTGACTTGGTATGTATCGAACGACCGAGGGACTTCTTTAGCCTTGATAGTACTTCCCTCTCGGGCGACAGCCTCAGTCTGAGATAGACGAAACACCAACTTCACCAGCCTTGCAGCAACAGACCGCGGGTTCACAGCAGCACCGCCAGTCCCGGACTCAGCCCTCCTAATCACAGGCTGACCATATAGATCACATAGCTCTGTGTATCTAGGATGCTTAGCAAGGATGTCTGCTTCTGCGGTCTCCGGGGAAGCGGATAGCTCCTTTCCAATGAGAGAGAGATAGTACAATTCTCCATTATTGCGGTCCTTAGGTGTGATTTTGCCGTAGTTAAGCATTTGTAGAGACCCAATGCGAGATAGCGTCAGCATGTACGCTTCATCCACTGTCATGGGTTTCTCGGGCACGCCTGTGATGTGGGATGGGCCGACGGGCTGGTCGTACAGCGAGTTGCCGGATATTCGGAGGGTGTCTAGACCTGGGAATAGAGAGGGGAGGTGGTTGATGAAGTCCCATGTGGCGATCTTGTTTCGGGATAGATCGAGAGAGTGGAGGCTATGGGGGAATTGGAGGGTTGTGTCTGAGGTGTTATCTGTGTCGTAGATAGTGGAGATATTGTTTCCGCGGAGGGAGAGGTGCTCTAGTCTTGAGAGCGAGGTGAGAGATTTGATGGAGGATAGATTGTTGAGGTCGTTGTTTTCTAGGGTAAGGCGGGTGATGGTGTTGGATAGAGGAGTTGTGAGCATTGAGAGTTGGTTCGCTGAAGCAGAGAGTGTGCTGAGAACGGGGAATTGATACGTCAATGCAGATATCTCCTCCCATGTTAGTAGTGTCTCGTCAATGTGCAGTGCTGTGATGCCCTCGAACTTCAACCCCTCCTCGAGAGGACCAAGCCGGTTTCCTCTGTTGCCATGTTAGCTCAACCCAAATCAAGAACCACAGTCCAAGGGAACCTACATAAGCTTCAGCGCCTTAAGGAAGTTCAACCGCTCACAAATCCGAGCTACACCACCCCAAGTCGTCAATAAGTTCCGGCTCAGATCCAGCTCGGTGATCTGTGGGCAAGTCTGCTCGATTTCCGCATACGCGGATTCGATCTCTGTAGCTGATGCATCATGCCCCAGCACACCCGCAACTTGCAAACCATCAAGAAGCACAATCTTCAGCTCTTGGAGCCTGGCAAGCTGCTTCCGGATCTTGTCGAAGCCGACTTCCTCAACGACCTTACCACTGATCTGGAGGGGCTTGTGCAGAGGGTCACCCGTGGTGTCATTTCCCTGTCCTTGCCTAGCAATTTCTTGCTCGAGGAACTCAGAAGCGTACTTTTCGCGCAGGGCCTCGATGAATCCTCGAGGTTTATCTGCTGGGCGAGACGGACGCACGAATGACCCTGCCGTAGGGTGTTTGCTTTTGCCTGCAACATGTGAGTATGCATTCTAACCAGTATACGGATCTCAACCCCATGCACAAGACCCAGGAGAGAAAGAGGAAACTTACAAGTGAAATATCTCACCCCGCGATGCTCTCCCGAATGCTTCCCCCGAGTCGGGTCATCCCATTCGACTCCCAACCATTCTCCAGAGGTGCCCTCAACAGTACCCACGTAGCGAACGGTACACAAATCGCCAGCATAAGACCGCCGTTGGCCTACGTGCGCAGCCTGCATTCTAAAATCGCCGAGAACCGTAACTCGTAAATCTACAGCTCCGAACAAATACAACGAGCGTCCCAGCATGTGACGGATTTCCCACTCGCCCCGCTCCACCAATCGCAACCCACACCTCGCTTACATAACTCATTCTGCCTGAGGCAGAAGCTAATCTCCAAATCGGCGAAGCAGAACTTCCTCGACACTACGATATCATCACCTCACTTTCCACTGCTATCCATCTCCACAACCACAACCCGGCAGCATGGATTACCAGGTAAGCACAATTACACTCTTCATATACAAACCACATTACTAACAAAACCCCCCTAAACAGAACCGCGCCGGTTCCAAATTCGGCGGCGGAGGCGTCGCCTCCCACTCCGCAACGAACGCCGACCGACGCGAACGTCTCCGCAAACTGGCCCTGGAAACAATCGACCTCGACAAAGACCCCTACTTCTTCAAGAACCACGTCGGCAGCTTCGAATGCAGACTATGTCTCACAGTGCACCAAAACGACGGGTCCTACCTAGCGCACACGCAGGGGCGGAAACATCAAACGAACCTTGCGCGGCGCGCGGCGCGCGAACAGCGCGAGGGCAAGAACCAAGACCCGTCGTCCATTCCCGGGGCGATGGGCGTGCAGGTCAAGAAGCAGACGATCAAGATCGGACGGCCGGGGTACAAGATCACGAAGATTCGGGATCCGTTGACGAGACAGCTGGGGATGTTGTTCCAGTTGCAGTATCAGGAGATTACGCCGGGAGTTACGCCTAAGGTGCGGTTTATGTCGGCGTTTGAGCAGAAGGTGGAGGAGCCGCCGGACAAGAACTTTCAGTATTTGGTTGTTGCGGCGGAGCCGTATCAGACTTGTGGGTTTAAGTTGCAGGCGAGGGAGATTGATCGGCGCGAGGGACGGTATTGGACTTGGTTTGATGAGGATAGTAAGGAGTTTTGGGTCCAGATTATGTTCAAGACGGAGAGAGAGGAGAGGTTTTCGGGTGTGCCGGGGTTGGCGCCTATTGAGAATAAGGCTTGATTTGGGGCCTTGTTGATTGTGTTTGAGGGGATGGGAGTGGTGAATGTTCTCATTGTTGCTGTTGATTTCCTATTGAAGGTCGGATCTGGCGTTTGATGGGCTTGCTTTGCTGGCAAAATGTTGTGGCTATCGTTCTTTCTATTCTATTGCTGTGTTATGCATTAGGGTGGCTTCGCATCAATACCATGCCCTCTTTTTACTTCTAATGATACGATTTACCAACGATTACAGCTCTACTAGAGGAGACCAACCTCTACCGCAATATTGTGCATTGGTTAAATGCTGAATAGCTACGAAACACAGTCCGGCATTCGCGGGCTTTTCTAATACATGACATGATATCCACTCATATGTATCCCCGGTTAGATACAGTCGGTAGCTAGCAATCGTCGTCTCGCGACACGGATGCAAAATCAAGAAGGTAATAGGAAATGAACAATGCTAGGTCGTGACCAACTGAGGCGAAATGTCAAATGCGCTAGATGCTGGATGAAACTGATGCACAAGGGGATGCCCGGGACCAGAACCTAAATGCGCCACTGAAAAGCCATCAATGCAAGCCCGCCCGCTGTCGGACTCTTCAATGACGTCTATCGTGGGTTCACAAGGACACTCGGATGTCGACTGTATCTTCAATTTCCCTGGAAGGCGTTGAACGCTTTGTAGGTGTATCCGATGAATGGAAGGCTCATCTCCGCCTCCTGCTCGTCCGGCATGGCGCGAGCCTGAGCGCGGTGGATGGCACTCGTATCCTCCTGAGGAATCTCATCGATCGGGAAGTACGACACGTCAATGTTCGAGCTCAATCTTGGTTCGAACGGCGCGCGGATGCTGCGCAGTTGCTCCCAAACGACGCCGCGGAAGAAGGGGTGGTTCTTGATCTGCGTTGCGCCGCCGAATTGGCCGCCATCGCTTCCGATACGGTGTTCTGCGTCGCAGAGGAAGCTAATCCGGGATTAGCATGATACATAAGCATATGATGTGCACAAAGCTTACCTTCGGATGAGACCCTCGGAATCGCGCGAAAGGGTAAGTTCCTCGGGGAAGTACAGGCATTCTCTCCAGTTCACAATCTTGCGGTAGGTGTCGGTGGTGTCTTCCGCGCAGAACGGGGGCCAACCCACAAGGCACTCGAACATGATAGCACCTACAGACCACCAATCGCACAGGTAGGTGTATCCTTGGCCGTTGAAGATCTCGGGGGCGATATAGTCCGGAGTTCCGACCGTCGAGTATGCCATTGCACGACGAGACTTTCTCCAGGTGTTGATCTGGCCACGGTTGGAGACTGTCAGGTTGATCGCATCGTTAAAGTAACCAGAGTTGCGGTTCTTGTCCTTTGACGTCGAGTTCTTCAGCAGATTCTGATAGTAGGAGTTGTCGTGGGTCTTCTTTCCTCCCGTGGACAGACCAAAGTCCGTCAGCTTGACGTGACCACCGCGATCCAGAAGGATGTTATCAGGCTTGATATCACTATAGACAAAAACAATTAGCACCTGCCGCCCCGTGAAACTTCAACTTTGCATCTGCTGGCAGCATCGAGCATCTAGTACTTACCGGTGAAGGAAGCCGAGCTTGTGAACAGCCTCGATCGCCATGACAATTTCGGCCATATAGAACCGAGTGATATCCTCGGAGAAGATCTCGTACTTGATCAACATGGTCATCAAGTCACCACCAGGCAAGAATTCCATCAGCAGATACAAGTAGGCGGTGTCTTGGAAAGAAGCATGCAGCTTCACCAACCACGGGTTGTCCTTGGAATCAGCAAGGATATCACGTTCCGCGCGAACGTGAGCCAGCTGGTCCTTCTTGAACATCTCCGTTTTGATCAACGACTTCAGTGCGTAAATCTTGCCATCGGTCTTCCGTTGTACCAGCTTCACTTCACCAAACGCGCCCTTTCCGATGATCTTGATGGTCTGGAAGTTCTGCGGGGTCTCCTTGGTGCGAAGGAACCGGAGGAAATTCGATTCCTTCTTAGCAAGCACCTCTGCGTCCTTGCACTTGTTCTCCTTGGGAATACTGGGTTCACGGATCATCTTGTCCAGCTCAGCAGACCTATAAAAAGCACCCGGGTCAGCGATACCAGGTTCCCTGGTGAGTTGGGAAGGGGGGCCGTGGCATTGTGTGGAATACTCACCGCATGTTGCGATCGCGTGCGCGCTCAATGTTCTCATTGAAGAAGACGCTGACCAGCTCCTTGGCTGCCTTGCCACGCTTGTGAACATTCTCCGAGTAACGTTCCGGGTACCGCTGCAACTCTTCGTTCTCCGCAGGGGTGCGAGGGCTACGAGGCATAGGAGGCGCCAGGTGGCCTGGCTGTTGCTGCCCGGGGGCGGGGGAGCCGGCAGTTCGGGGTCGCTGGGCTGGCGAGGCAGAACGAGCAAAGAAACCCGAGCGAGGGGAGTTCAGATCCTGGTTCGAGAACTGCTGGATCAAACCGTTGGTGCCATCGTTCGCGCTGTAACCCATGCGGGATTGGTAGGCGGGCTGAGGGGACTGCAGGTTCTGGCCATAATGCGGCTGGCCGTAGGCTGCCTGAGCTTGGTAAGGATTGGCCATGAAATAACCACCTTGAGCGTAGGCACCGTTCTGGGAGTCCATGTAATCCTGGGGACCCTGGTTTTGGTAGATCGGCTGGGGGAAGGCGGAGGGGGTAGTGGGATAGGCGCGGTTGTTGGCCGCCGCCGCATTGAAACCACGATCATTGTACCCGAAATTCAGGTGGAGTCGGTTGTTGTTGTTGGGATCCATGATGGAAAACTTTCCTCCCCGACTACCGAACGAAGGCTAAGGGAAAGCGGGGGGAGTTGAGAACGAGTGGATGAAGAATTGGGACGGAGATGGGAAAAGAATCCAAGGGGGAGGGGGAAACAAGAGCCCGAAGGAGCGGTGGCCTCAGGAGGCGAAGGGGCTTCGACAGGCACTTTCAGGAGCGCTTTCTCGCTGTCCCTGAGATTGGCTTAGAAGAGGGGGGGAAATGCAGTGGAGAGGCCCAGGCACAAACAACAGGCTGGCTGGCTCTTCTGCCCCAATGGCGGCAAGTCCCGTAACCTCTTTAGTAGTATTATCTGTCGGGCAACCAGCTTGATGTTTCAGGTTCAGGACTCCGAATTGAAGTCGGAGACGGGGGATACTGTGATGCCAAAAGAAAGACACGATACCACTGCAACCACTCAAGAATTGATGGTCCGATCAGCACGGGGGAAGGAGGGGAACTACAAAAAGGGACCGATGCTTAATGTTCCAGACTCGTACGGCGCTCGGTTGGTGCCACGAATGCTGTCTCACAAAGAGAGTATTTGCTGCGACCATCTTCATCTCCACTATACGAGGTCTTCACTGGCTTCAAAGGAGTCCAAAAATAGAGGTCTAGTGTGTGTATTCCTCACTATGATAGACTAATGCCATAAGAGAATGCTAGTGCTCCAGCAATGATGAAAGTCGACTCTAACAGCATAAACCAATTATGTCTCCTACAGAACATTCGTCCAGCTTGAAAAATTCAGGAGTTGCCATTTAGAACCCCAGGAGATCATTTGAGATCCCGTCTGTTTAGACTTATTTTCCGTGGCATGCAGCACTGAGTTCAACCGGGGTGCATCTGCTAGTCAGTTAATCTGCTGCTCCTCCAGATTCCGGCTTCAACTCGGCATCCTCGCCTCCGGATAAACCTCGTCCCGACCGGAGCTGCGCTGTGCATCCCGAACTTTTTCGGCAATCATGCATTTCCCTTCACGACATGCCATGAGGGAGTGCTTCCTGCTCCCTGTTACGTACCAAAAGTTTTATTCTTCTGTATCTTAATTATATACCCCAGATCCTATTATACCCTTTGCCTTCATCCCCCTACACTATGGCGGAGTCTTCCAATTCCGCCGCGGCTTCAGGCCCGGCCCAGTCCGCAGCGTCTACCAGCGCTCCCAAGCCCTCCAACCCAGCCTTCAGAATGCTTGGTATAGATCCCCAATGCCCTCAGCCAGTATTCTTATACCTAATAGTCTTCAAGGAATGCCGAATCTTCGCATGAAACTTCCCTCTCGGAATTGGATGATCTTCTTCACCATCACCGGCTCGTTCGCCGCAGCTGTCATTTACGACCGGAGAGAGAAGCGCCGCGCGCAACAAAAATGGAGTGATCTCGTCGCTCACATCTCCAAGGAGCATCTTCCCATCGAGCAAACCCGACGCAAAATCAACGTCTTCCTGTCCGCGCCACCGGGTGACGGTATCCGCGTAGCTCGCGACCACTTCAAAGAATACGTTAAGCCGATCCTCGTGGCAGCGGCACTAGACTACCAAATCATCGAAGGCAGAAGGGAAGGCGACATCCGTGCTGGTTACGCGGAGCGCATTCGCAAGTGGAGACGTAAGGCAGGCGAACCGAGTACGGTGGTGGAGGACCCCACGGTCGAAGATGTCGTTTTCGCCGCGAGGACGCAGATGGGCGTTATAGAGGAGCCCGGACCGAAGGGTGATTTGGTCATCGGTCGTCACACATGGAAGGAGTACATCCGCGGTCTGCACGAAGGTTGGCTGGGACCTCTTGATCCTCCCCCTCCGCCTCCTGCCACGGAGGATCCCGCTCCTGTGGAATCCAGCACACCCGCCGCAGAGACCGCCTCTGAGACCAAGGAGGGCGACGCCAACGCCCCCGAGCAGGAAAAGAAGGAAGAGAAGCCTGCTAAACCCGTGGGACCGACACCAGCTTACATCTCCACATCCGACTACTCATCGCAACCCCTCCCGCGTACTATCCCCCAGACTCTTTCAGGCTCCGTCCCCATCGCCTTCCCCCACATCCTGGGTTTCCTCAACACCCCCATCAGACTCTACCGCTACCTTAACCAGCGCCACATGGCCGAGAGCGTAGGCCGCGACGTCGCAGCCATTGTCCTGGCCTCATACAGCCGCCCTTACAACACCGGCTCCGTCTCCTCGGATGCCTCCCCCATCTCCGACGATACCCTTGGCAGCACCACCTATGAACAACAGACCGTCCTCGAGGAGGAAGAAAAGGAATGGCATAAGTCCGTCCACCGCAAGGACGAAGCCAACCCTGACAAGGAACGCGAGTGGCTCGACGACATCGTCATCGATCCGCGCCTCGCCTCCCGCATGCATCGCTACAGCGTCTCGCCTGAGGAAGAGGCCCGCGCTCAGCGCATCCTCGAAGGCCAGGAATACATCCTGGGTCAGGAACGCCCTGTTCCTGTGTCGTTCTGGAAGCGCATGTGGGTGAAGTATGGATACGGAGAGGATGAGGAGACGTTGAGGAGGAAGCCCATCTTGGGCAACCTTGATGAGGAGTAAGTCATTTGTTGAGTTTGATGTGTGGGGAGGATATTGTCACCATAAATAGAAGGGGTTTCTTAGATCTCTATCTGAGTTTGGGTTAGAGGTATATAGACATATTCTTATTTTTTGTCTTTGGTATTTTGGGGCCGATACGATCATTGCATGGGAAATGTGTTTTGTCGGGATGGATGGGTATTTGTACTAACAACTATTGACATCTCCTTATCAACTGTATATTAGTCGAATCTAAGATGATCTTCATTGGTCAGATATTTCATGTCTAGCGTAGATGTATCACTTGAGGATGCAATCTCCCTACAAGAGACTCATCAGGCATTGAAGGAGCACACTAATCGAGTATCATCTCTCACGTGGAAGGCTTCCCAACTAAGCTAGCCCCAGACATACCGTTTCGACTGGGCTATTCTCTATTTCAAGAGTCTAATACAATACGCCTCGATGCATCTCGAAAAGCATTTTGCTGTATAGTTTTCGTCTCACACCACATGATACCCGGGCCTTTTAAGTACAGGTGAATATGTACACCCAGGTAAAAACCAGCTACAGCTACAGATTCGTAGCTGATCAATTCTAAGGATAGAAGAATGGGTAAGGATAAGGAGAAGGAGAAGGAGAAGAGGAAGAAGCTAATGAGACAAGGAGAAAGTCCTTTCCGCCAATCATGTTACAGTGGTTCAAAGTATAAGGCAAGTTTGAATATGAGTAGTCCAAGAAAAGCTGTCCTATCACTTTAGTCGAGGCGGAACACCGTCGCCTCAGGCCACTTGCTGCTTGCCTTCTCGACATAAGCAGACTTTGCGGCTTGGTTGCTTCCCCACTCACCCAGGAGCTCTAGGCCTGCCAGGGCAGTGTCGATGGTAATGTCCTTGGAGTCGAGGGTGGCGATGAGGTCCTGTTCGCATTGAGGCCTGGAGTCGGGCTTCAGAAGCTGGCGGCTAGTAAGACCGGCTTGTTGGTGGGAGACGCTCTCTTTGTGGGTCGAGAGGAAGGTGTTGTTATATTCCTCGAGGTTCTGGCCCTTGGGGAGCAAGGCCTCGAACTCGGTGTTGACGACCTCAGCTACTTGGGGCGCAAGTGGCTCAGAAAGGCTATCCAGGGCCTTGCGGAATCGGAGGATCTGGACGTGAAGGGCGGGGTTGGATGCGTCGATGGCATGGGCCGCGGTGAGGCACTTGAGAGCAAGTGCGTGCTTGCCTGGGGTTGCGGTTAGTATATGTCAATGACTTATAAGAGGGCGAACATACCTCTCCTGAGGTAAACCTCGAATCCGAGACACTGGGCCTCAATGTTCTTGGGACTAAGCTCCAGCAAGTGTGTCAGGAACTTAGTCGCCTCCTTGAGCGGATCTTGCGTCTGGGCAAGCTGGTTGCCTAGTGGGTCAGAGTCTTCCTTCTTCACTTCTCCGTCAATGTTCTTCGTGCTTGCGGCCTTTCTGGCCTCACGCTTCTCGGCTTCAAGCTTCTCCAGGCGCTGCTGCTCCTTCTTGGCCTTCTTGACCGCCTTCTTACGTTCCTCGTCGTTGTCAGCAGCGGCGCTGGGCAGGGGTCCGTGAGCCAGGTCGGGCTGGTCGTGAAGGAGGAGGTAAGACTTGATGGCAGAGGTGGCCATCCGGGTGTAGAACGGGTGCTCGCGCAAGCGGTCCTCCCAGCGAACCATGTCCACATACGCACGGATCATACCCTTGCGAAGGGAGAAGCTGTGGAAATCGAATTGATCTTCTTGCCAGGTGTCGAAGATGTTGTAGACAGCATGGAATCGCTTCAGCGCGAGACCGAGCTTCTTCTGGCGCAGGTAGGCCTCGCCATCCTCGGTCAGGTACCAGACACATTGCATCTCATGTAGATCACCCAATGCTCCACCAACGGTTTCGTTACGAGTGAACTTGCTCATATTGTCAAGAGCCTTGTCGTTCTCGTTGTTGCGGAGTTGATATTTGGCAGCCTTGGAGTTGATGTGACGGTCCTTTTCATCCAACAGCCTGGCCTTCTCCATCTCTTCAGCCGCCTTCTCGAGGTTTCCGTAATGCTTATATATCCGGGCCTTGGTCAATTGGTACTCCACAGCCTTGGGCGATAGCTCAAGGGCCTTGTCGACATTCTCCATGGCCTTGGACAAGTCGCGGCTGAGGTGGTAGTTGTAGTGCTGAGCGAGGAAGTAGTAGGAGGAAGAAAGGAACTCAGTGTTGTCGGCGCCGGACTGACCTTCCGCGGAGCCATTCGACCGGGGCGTCGTCGCGACGTAGCCTTCAACCAGTTCTTGCACTGTGTCACGCTTGACGGGGCTGCTGTACAGTGACTTGATGTTGGCAAACAGAGAGGGAACACCCTTCTTAAGCATGCGCTGCAAGTAGGCGTCGGCGGCCTGCTTGAAGTCATCGCCCTCCAAGAAGTCCAAGGGGATTCTGCGAGCCGCATCACCACGGGGGAACTTCTCAACCCAGGAGTCATATACGGCTTTCTTGGCCTTGTGGTCATCACTAGGGATGTCCTTCGCCCGGACCAAGGCATCGTAGTAGAGCGAGTTCTCCGGGTTCCGGTCCAGAAGCGCAATGTACGCTGCCTCCGCTTCGGCCTTTCTGTCCAGTCGCAGAAGGTAGTCCGCCTTCATCTCCATCACAGCAAGCACATCCGAAATTCTGTGTCCCACCTTCTCCAGATGTTCCAGTGCCTGTTCCACCTTGCCGGCCTCAGCCATGATCACGTTCTTGTACAGAACGGCCTCGGAATGCTCCATATCCGAAGTTGGCGGGGGGATCTTTAGCGTCTCCTCGTAAGTCGTCAAAACCTTTTCGGCCTCTTCCAGATCCCCGGAAAGGTGGTGTGCGATCGCGAGAGCAGTCCAGTTCTGGCGGAATCCCGGGCGAGCCTGCAGCATGGCTTTCCTGCTCTGAATGTAGCCTTGGTAATCGCGCATCTGCATTTGCAGCAGCGCAAGATCCCGCTGAATGGGCTGTGAGTCCGGCTCAATCCTCAATGCAAACCGGTATGCCTTGATTGCCTCTTCGTAGTTCTTGTCCGCCCGATACAGCAATCCGTACACATGCCAGCAGATGTGCGACTTCATGTCGTTCTTCAGGGCTTCCTTGGCCAGCACAAAAGCCTCCTCCTGCTGGCCCATGTTGCTCATAATAAGAGCCTTCATCGCCAAGGTATCACCATGGTTGGGGTTCTTCTTCAAGATCTGTTCGGCGGTCTTGATACCTGTTCGGAACATAGCACAGTCAGCTTTCCTGCCCACTTGCGGAGACCTCCAGCGTGTCCAATCGAGATCGCAAACGCACCCTTCTTGTGTTGCTTGTTCTCATAATGACGAACCACTTGGCGGAACAAGGACGCATCCTTGGAGTTCAATGGTTGCGGCATGGTGAGTGTGGTTGGCCGGTGGTGGTCAGTGAAGGACTTGCCAAGTGACTGTGCGAAGACGGAAGCTCGAAGTGCGCGGGGGAGGAATGACGATGGACGACGATTAGTCGATCAGGCAGCGATAAGCTATGACCAACACTCCGACAGTATGCACGTCCTAGGGGATGTTAGAATTAACCTTGGCCCCTATCCAATCCTCTGGTTCACCCGTTCGAGCGGCTTAAATTGTATGATCAAACGATCGCTTTTACTCGAAGGTTCTTGCCGACCGCCGTCCTCGAGGGCTGCCCGGCACCAGACGAAATTATTATCCGAAGCGGCCTGCAGATGCAACCTGGCAGCCCTGATACTTACCCTCCATATCACCCAATTGTCGGCAAGTTACATTGCTAATGGGTATTCACAGCATACGGTCTGGTCTGCTCTGGTCTGTTATGTTAATTGTAACAAACGGTAGAGTACGCGATTCAAGCCAAGTTCATGTTTTGATTTACACATCCGGCCTGGGCTCCCAGGTCCAACCAAGAAACGCCTGTTATATGCAGCTATCTTACAACATCATATACATAGCATGTCCAGTCTCATCAAATCAGATCAGTAACCAGACAATATGCAGCTGGAAACGATACCTCCAAGGAGTAGAGGCCTTCAACCATAACCGATGCGGTGACTACTACTCGACCCAGAGATCAAATCACTCTGTCGACGGTGGCGCCTGCTCTCGTTGTTTATTCTCACGCCATTTGTTAAGTGCCTCTTCCCAGCCCTCGGACGGGCCACCACACCTTTCCGTTACCAGACCCCATGTGCGCGCGCGTATAATCTCTTCGACCCCCCGTTGAGTACGGACAAGGTTGGCCAACGACTCAGTCCGTGCCTCTCGAGGCAAAAACCGGGCCGCATATGGGTCTAAACGATCATCGACAATATGCTCGCGATCCTCCGCAGATTCGGTCTGTTGCAGAATGAGATCCGGGTCTTCCGGGTCGGGACTTGTGGCCACCCCGGCGCAATAGTTGAGCACATCCGAACGGACTTGCCATGATGGAAACAAAACCTTATCCTTAAAGCTCTGGCAGGCAGCTGGTTCGATTTGCTTTCCTTCACTGGCGTCTATTTGTCGGATAGCTGTGGAAGAGGGATCGAATCCTTGTCGAGCTGGGGTGAACAAGGCATTGAGGTTTTGCGTGATGGAATCATCAATGGTCGATCTAGAAATTCGTAGAAAATCTGTACCGCAGCCAGGATACCCCGGGTCAGTCCCCGCGCAGTTACTCTCCATGGACTTGACGGTGGTCGTAGCTGAGCATACCTCTAAGCAACCTCTCGTTGAAACAAAATTGGGGAGTCAGCTGAGGAGCTGACGTTGACGATGCTCGAGACATTTTCCTGTCCTCCACCTTTCCAGAGTCACTCTCTGACCTGGAAGTATTCGTCCAGAACCACTCCACTTTGGCAGCTGTACAATATGGAACCGCGGCCAGCGGATCGTGACTGCAGAGATGAAGTCCTAATAACAACTATTCTGCTCCGGTAAAGGAGGAACAAGGCGACTATTCTAGGGCTATAGTGACGTCCAAAAGTGCCAGGGGGCTAGCAGAGAAGTAATGCAATGACTTCAACAAGCCAATGTTGAAGTTCCCACGAGGTTCGGCTGGCATGCCGTATTTCGCTCTTGGAATCCTAGTATATTACCAGAATAGGTTAGCATTCTGAAATCACGGGACTACGTGATGGTCGACGCGCGCCACGACTTTCTGATTCAGCCTCTGCTTGAGCCGCGTTATTTCATTGAATTGACTCTATACACTTTCTTGAGGCTATTCTGGAGCGAGTATTGATTTGAAGGGGTAAGAATCCACGCCATCCTATTCCATTTTGCGACAGAAACTGTCAACATCGAACACCATGCCTGAGCTAGCGGAAGTCTCGCGTATAGTCCATTTCCTTCGTCAACATCTTGTCGGCAAAACGCTTTCCAAGGTGTCAGTGCAAAACGATGACATTATCTACGGCAAAGCCGGCACTACTGCTGCCGAGTTTCAGAAGGCAATGGAAGGGAAGAAAGTTACTGGTGCCGGACAGCAGGGCAAGTACTTCTGGATTGCTATGTCATCACCACCCCATGCGGTTATGCATTTCGGTATGGCGGGCTGGCTGAAAATCCGGGATGCCGACACCTATTACTACCGGACAGACAAACCTGGAGATAAGGAGTGGCCGCCAAAATACTGGAAATTCTTGCTCGAAACCGAGGGAGATCCAAAGACAGAAGCTGCTTTTGTTGACTTTCGCCGACTGGGCAGAATACGCCTGGTAGACTGTCCCGCGGAGGAAATCCGTAACTACAGCCCTCTGAAAGAGAATGGCCCAGATCCTGTCGCCGATAAAGACATTGTGTCGGAGGAGTGGCTAGCAAAGAAGCTCCGAAGCAAGAAGGTACCTGTGAAGGCGCTGCTCCTTGATCAGGCGAATATCAGCGGAATAGGCAACTGGATGGGGTATGTTCCTTAAGTCTCCCACCATGACTAATTATATCTAGCTGACTGCTTTCTAGCGATGAGATCCTCTACCATGCTAAAATACACCCTGAGCAATACAGCAACACCTTGAATGACGACCAGATTAGAGAGCTGCACTCAGCGATACATTATATCTGTTCCACCTCCGTAGAGCTTCTAGCAGATTCGGAGAAATTTCCAGCTGACTGGCTGTTCAAACATCGGTGGAGTAAAGGCAAGAAGAACACGCCATCTGTGCTGCCAAACGGAGAAAAGATTACCTTTCTCACGGTAGGGGGCAGAACCAGCGCAGTGGTTCCAAGTGTGCAGAAAAAGACTGGGCCAGTAGCCAAGGACGTCAGCAGTGAAGACGCCAGCAATGCGCCGGCAAACTCGAAGCGAAAGCGGGCTTCAGTGAAAAAGGAGGAGAGCGAGCCGGAAGCTAGCGAAGAGGATACGAAGCCCAAGAAGACCGGGCCCAAAAGGCAAAGCAGAACTTCTGTCAAGAAGGAAGACATCGATGAGACGGAGACTAAGCCGGTAGAAGAACAGCAAACTACCAGGAGACGCTCGGGCCGACTTCGAAAGTAGGGGAATCCGACTGTTGTATTATTGTGGCCATCTTAGCGACGTATTACAAGATGCGACCTTCCGCTCATTATTATACCGATTTTTATCTAATATTATATACCACTGTTCCTGGTTTACCTGTTCATACCTTCAGTCCGTGCAGCCTTTCCCGGAAGACATCAAAATTGCTGTCACCCTGGGCAACTTTGGACATGTCATCTAAAACCGCAAATACAATCTTCTCCCACCATCCCTGAAATTCAGTTTCCCGCAGGACCTCGAACCAACATTGCGCAACCTCAGCATTTGGATTCGCAAATGCGCCACAACCTAGAGCTCCTAAAATAATTCTCCGATGCTTCTTATACCCTGCAATGCGGAGGATAGATCGCATCTTGTCTTTGGTCAGTTCTCGATCAGAACGAAACTTAAAAGTCGGTGGAGTCGCCGTATAGTCCACCTCTGGTCCTTCCAGGGCAGCAACGCTGATAACGCTCACAATAGGGAGATGCTCAGGCTTCTGCAGGTCCATCAGCCCATGACCTCGTGTGAAACTTTCACGGAAGATAACGACGGATGGGGAATAGATGGCATCTCGTTCTCCTATCGGATAGTATCGGTGTTTAAGGGTGGAGCTGAGGCTGCTTCGATAACAAAGAGCCTCCTCCTGAGCCATAGCTCCATTACGCCAACCGCCGCCTGGATTCCTTTCGTTGGCCATATTCAGGATGCACACGTTCCGCGTGTCAGTCTGCCGGAATTGCCTGGATGGGCTGTTAACCCTAATGGCGATGTCGAGCGTATCTCCAAATATGACTTCGACATGGGTTGATAGCTTTGGGCTGAACCTTGGGTTCAAAGTAGCATATCTGATGCGTGGACAGTACTGTGCTGTTGGAGGTGCCCGAGGCACCGTACTTAAAATGCCAGGGAGAAGGGCTTGAGTCTCTTCCGCGGTTGCTCTCAGTATTGCTCTCCTATCGGCTCCGGAAATAGGCCGTGGTCGCACATTGACCGGGCGAAAGTAGTCCGATAATGTCTTTTGGCTCATCTTCAGAGATGTCGCCTGCTGTAAACCAATGTAAGTTCAATGTGAGATTGATCTGGCTATACGTTTGTTAATGTAGCGCGTCGCATGACTTGACAGTAAGAGCGGACTTAGGCAGCAAGGCTGAAAGTAAGTACCAGGGTGCCTAGTGAGCGGCCAGGCAAATGGAAATCCGAGGGGCAACACGAATGAGCGGCAGAACACGAGTACCTGGCGGGCGGTGCCAAAAGGCGGTCAGCTTATCATCGCCGATCGCGGGGCTGCCGATAAGCATCCAGTAACATCAGAGTTCGACGCCACTGCAGATGACAAAGCATTTGTCTTTCTTTCGATCAGTGTCACTGTCGCATTTCTTCTACCTACTCTATTATTCCATGCACACAGAAGTCTTGCACATTGCTTTGAACTTGACATCGAAGCCTTCACATTGCTAAATCACCACGGTCCGAGTTGCAGCGCAGACTTCTGAGCCCGCTGCGGAGTGGCGCTGCTATACCTGCTCACCTACCTAGGAGTCTTCAGCTGCCGCCACAATGAGTGCAATTCTATCTGCAGACGACTTGAACGACTTCATCTCACCCGGAGTTGCGTGTATCAAGCCTGTGGAAACTCTCCCTGCGAAAGATCCCTCGAAAACAGACGTATGTGCTCGACCTCTACTCTGCTTGTACCCCACTTCATCCAATGAATGAGCGCTGATTTATAATCTATCAGAATCCCTATGAGGTGACCACAGAAGACAAAGTGCAGCCAGAAAATCTTCCACCGGCTCAAATCTCGCTGACTGACTGCCTCGCATGCTCTGGATGTGTCACTTCGGCCGAGGCCGTGCTCATCTCGTTGCAATCGCATGCAGAAGTCCTCAATACTTTGGACGCGCATCCCGAGTTGCCACTGAACCGTGAAGATGGGACAATTACACAGGAGCTGGGCACGGCGAGTGACGAAGGCCGAGTGTTCGTCGCAAGTGTCAGCCCTCAAGTGAGGGCAAGTCTAGCAGCAACCTATGGGATCACGGAGAAGGAAGCAACATACATGATCCACCAGTTTCTCAGCGGTCCTCACGGTTTAAGAGCTGGAGGCAAGAATGGCAGCGGCTTCACATGGGTAGCTGACACCAATGTCCTGCGTGAAGCTGTGTTGGTCCTTACAGCGGACGAAGTTGGCGAGACATTGACGACCAGTCCAGATTCTCCTAGTACTAACGGCGCAACCAATACTCTCCCCAAGCGACCGATCCTCTCGTCCGCATGCCCGGGTTGGATATGTTATGCTGAGAAGACACATCCATTTGTTCTGCCACATCTGTCCCGCCTCAAGTCACCGCAAGCTCTGGCTGGCACGTTCTTCAAGACTGTCCTCAGCAAATCACTTGGAATACCGGCCTCTCGCATTTGGCATTTAGCCGTCATGCCTTGCTTCGACAAAAAGCTTGAAGCCAGTCGCGAGGAGCTCACTGATGCTTCGTGGCTGTCTGTGAAGGACGAAGACCATACAGCTGTCCGTGACGTGGATTGCGTGATCACTACGCGCGAAATGCTTAGTCTGGCTTCTTCCAGAGGCATCTCTCTTCCTAACCTACCATTGAATTCACTTCCTCAGTCTTATATCCCGCCATTTCCCGATATGACTCTAAACGACTTCCTATTTTCGAAGTCTTCCCCGGGACAATCAGCTGCCGCAGGTACATCCGGAGGCTACCTTCACCACGTGCTTCAGACTTTTCAAGCGCGTAATCCAGGCAGTGAGATCGTGACTCAGCGTGGAAGAAATGCGGATGTAGTCGAGTACACCCTCATGTCGTCTGAGCACACGCCTATCCTGAAAGCCGCTCGCTATTACGGTTTCCGCAATATTCAGAATCTCGTCCGTAAGCTGAAACCACCACGGGCTTCTCGTCTTCCAGGCGGTAATCGACGATTGCCAGTCGGACGGGGCGCCGCGTCCGGTAGCTCTGGCACAGACTACGCTTATGTAGAAGTCATGGCATGCCCTGGAGGCTGTACTAATGGAGGAGGCCAGATACGCATCGAAGATGCTCGCGAAGCCAGCTCGAGCGTGCAGTCCTCAACGTCGGGTGAAGTGCCCGACTCATCGTCAAAGCCGACACCACATGAGCAACGCGCTTGGCTTGCCCGTGTAGACGAGGCATATTATTCTGCGGAGTCGGACACCGAGTCAGAAGCCGGAAGCCAGTCGCAGCCGCTATCCATTCTTGACAAAGAAAACAAAATCCATAATGCCATGCGTTATTGGTCTGACTCCATGGGCATCCCGCTCTCGAAGCTTGCCTATACCACATATCGCGAGGTTGAGAGTGATGTTGGCAAGTCCCAGCCTGCTGCGACCGATACTACTCGCGTTGCTGAGCTTGCTGGGAAGATTGGTGGCGGTTGGTAGATTCGTTTGTTTTCTTTCATTATTCTTATGACATATACCCTGTGATGTTTGGATGACATGAGCCGTGCGTGCATTTTCTTCATCGGGACAACAGTCTTTGCATTTGGACTGCACATTATATAGAGAGATACCATGTTGAATCTTGGTGGCAATACAATAAGTCGTGGGAGATGTACGTTCTGTCTTATAAATAGATGACTGCGTCCTAATCACTGAGCAATCGGTCGTACCCCATGCCAATGACAAATGCACTGTATATAAACTCCATCCTGATAATAATCGACTGAATTCTCAAAAATAGCTATGGTCCCGCGAATACCATAAAATGCATAAACCCCTGCACAACTCAGCCCGCTTACTAACCCCCCACCAAACCCAACTTATCCACAAACATAACTCCTACCACAGCCAACCACCCAGCCTAACCCAATCAAGCAACGAACCTCCAACGCAAAAAAGTTCCAGAACAAACCAAACCACCCAAACCTTCCATCATCATCTATCCCACGCCCACTCTACCTCCCAACCGCACCGACCAAATCCTCTCTACACACCACCTTGCAGAACTCGGCCACCCGATAAACCACTTACTACACTACAATCCACCATGTCCCGCGAACAATACCAAGTCCCCAACCTGGGCGGCGGCGCCCAGAACGCCTTCGGTGATGCCGGTGGCCCCATGGACGGCCCTGTCGTCGCGTACCTGTGCGGCGAGTGCAACTCTCGTGTTTCTTTGAAGAGGGGAGATCAGATTCGCTGCAAGGAGTGCGGTCATCGCGTTTTGTATAAGGAGCGGACGAAGAGGTTAGTCTTTTCTTCTCTTTTTTTCCCCTGGGGTGTATGTTACGGAGAGAAGGAAGGGAATTTGGAAGGAGAGATGTGAGGATGAGTGTGAAGAATGCATGCTAACTGGTTTACTTTGCGATGTGCAGAATGGTTCAGTTCGAGGCTCGGTGATCGAATAGAAAATGTGATTTGGGTTGCGCTGGGCTTGCGGGCCTAGTTTGCTTGTTTGACTCATTTATGATGGGGTGGGTGCATTTGGTGGCGCTTGGAGTTTGCTTTTGTCGTCATATATTATTTGTGAAAATTATTGTCTTGATGGGGGTGGGAGGTATGAGTGGAGAGTTGGGAGCAGATGGGCGAGTGGGTTATTGTCAAGTGATGTAAGGAAATACCTCTCCTTCCTTGGTCCGGACAATTATTTCAGCTATGTTCATGGATTCATTACTCGAACTTCAATTGTCGTAAACAGTACTCGTCTCGACGGTCACGGTATCATAAATTATTCACTACTACCCAGAAAAAATTATAGCCATACTGTTGTTCTTTCAACAAGTTGGCCTATACTTTTAACCATAGGAAAACCCGAGAATCAAGAAAGGAATGAGTGGTTAGTGAAATGACCAGCTTTGTGATAAACTAAAGCCGGTTCGTGACTTCAATGAAATGCTCAAAGGACTTGAGAGCAGCGCCGCTCTCAATGGCCCAGCGAGCTCGCCGGACACCTTCCTTCCAGCGCCCGCCACCAGGGCCGCGCTCGGTGATGACCTGACCGTCGTCGCCAGGTCCCATGTTGCTAGTGTCCGCCTCACAGATACCCGACACCGTCAGAAGGGCAGCCACATTCAAGAGGACGAAGCTCAGGATGGGATCATCCCGAGGCAACTCATTCCGCAGAATGCTCATCAGCGTGGCTGCGTTGTCCTTGGGCATCTTTTTGCCGCCAACGTCGGACAGCGGGTGAGTCGGCAGGCCAAAATCAGACGGGTGCAATTGGAACATTTCCATCTTGACCAAGGTGCGGGGATGTTCCTCCTCATCGCACGAACAATCATCCTCCTGGGACCCTTGGTACGCGGGGTTAGGATATTCCGATAGTCGCCAGCAGTTTGTCTTCCCTGCGCAGCTGATCTCGTCCAAGTCTTCTTCACCGCAAACAACAAGCGCCTTCTTGCATCCGTTCTGTCGCAATGCCTCCACAAACACCGGACCCAAGCTCTGGTAGGCCACACCAACAACACGCGCCTCGATAGCCCAGTCGACTGGGTTGGCAAGGGGTCCCATCAAGTTGAAAATTGTCCGAAGTCCAAGTCCACGTCGAACAGGGTCGGCGTACATCATGCCGAAGTGGAAGTTGGGAGCAAACAGGAAGGAGTAGTTGGTCTCTGCATAGACCTGGGGGAGGTTATCAGCGTTAATTGCGCCGATCTTCGGGGGCACAGGAGTAATGGCGTTCAGGACGTCGGCGGATCCGGAGAAAGAGGTCTGTGCCCGGTTGCCATGTTTGGCGGTCATGAGGAGAGGGGAGGCAATGATCGAAGAGGTTGTGGAAATGTTGAAGGTAGAATGCATGTCTCCACCGGTACCAACGATATCGCACTAGGGCAGCATTGCAGACGTCAGCTGTATGATCCAATTGAGCTACAGGTGAACCAAAAAGCACTCACCAGACCACCCCTGTAGGTTCCCTCTTGCTTTACCCGCGATTTGATAGCAGCCTTCAGCGTAGGCCGGTCGACCTGGCGAGCGGCCTCACGCATGCGGTGCGAGCACTTGGCAATGACTTCAGCATCGCGGTCCAATCCCGTAGAATGCAGAAGCGTGAGTAACGCTGCTGTCTGAATATGCGAAATTCCGTCTTCAAAGATCAGCGCGAATGCTGAGGCAATCTCCGAAGCTTCGACCCGGCGTTCCGTAGCGGGGTAGGCGAGTCTCTTGAGGAGGGGTGAAATGGAGACATGTTGCGGTTTCTGGTCGTGAGTTGAGGCGGACATTTTTGCCTTTGGTTTGAATGTTAGCCCCAGGAATGGAATCGCGCACGCTCCTATATAAGCAATGAGTCACAACTCACTCACCGAACTACCACGCTTAGCTGCATGAAACAGAGGGAAGATTCGGACTTCGGTCGGATGCCCGCTGACCGCAGAACACAGAGTCATCTTTGCTCCCGGCAGAATTCCCACCGCCTGCCAGCCCGGCTAATCTGTTTTGGGAAGTCAAGATTTCGTGCCATATTTTCGTCCAGCCGGACATCCTCCAGCACGCTGCTCTTGTCGCCGGCATCGCCAAATTCACGGTCTTGGAGGTATTCGCCCGGTCCCCAATTCCTCGAGGTACTGCTTCACGTCCAATTGGCCTTTATCCCCGAAACTCCTCTTCCAACCTCCACAATGCCGCCTCGCGTCCGCATCTCCAGCGGCCGCATCACTCAGTCGGTCCGCCGACAAAGGGTCGTTTACCAGCATGAACTCCCAATTGCTGCCAGATATGCCAGCACCGCGGCCACCGCGACGACCCCGGCCGCATCAATCGAGCAGATGACACACTCCCCCGCCCCCATCGCCCACTACCCTCCCACGCAGCCTCCCTCGCACCGCAACCCCGAATACCGCCGGTCCCAGCTCCTCCGGCAATACACTTCCATCATCCGCACCACACCTCTCATGGTCTTCCTGCAGCACGACAACCTCCAATCAGTCGAGTGGGCCGCTATCCGCCGAGAGCTGAGCGCAGCCATGCAGAAGGTGGATGAGAAGATTGCCTCGGAGGGCCGGAAGGCCCCAGCACTGGCTCCGCACATCAAGGTCCAGATTGTCCAGACGCGCATTTTCGAAGTCGCCCTTCGGATCGTGGAATACTTCCGTCCCAAGCAGACCACCCCGGTCCCCAGAGCCGTTGACCCTGCCACGCAAACATCGGCCGAAATCCCTCTTGCCGCTTCCCGGGATGACCCTACCCTCTCCCATGATCTCTCCCGCGCCGCTCATGATGCCGTCCTGTCCATGAAGGGCAAACACGAGCTTTCGGAGCTTCTGGTTGGACCTGTGGCCGTCCTAACCATCCCCCACGTCTCCCCCGAACACCTGAAGGCCGCCCTGCAGGTCCTGGCTCCCAAGTCGATCGGTCTTCCTTTGCCTACGCGGAAGGCTAACCCGGGCTGGCATGAGTTCCCTGTTCAGAACGGTCTGAACAAGTTGTCTTTGATTGCTGCTCGTATGGACGGACAGGTCTTCGATGTTGACCAGTCCAAGTGGGTCACTAGCATTGAGGGTGGTATGGATGGCTTGCGCTCACAGCTCGTTATGGCTCTGCAGAGCATGGGATCCAGCATTACGAATGCTTTGGAGGGTGCTGGAAAGAGCCTTTACTTTACGCTTGAGAGCAGAAAGCAGGATATGGAGCCGAAGAAGGAATCCGAGGATGAGAACAAGGGTGACTCTGCTTGAACTGCCTAAGGCTGTTGAACTCGCCTGGCTTGCCATGTATAATAAAATGTCGCGTGTATTTTCTTTCCCCCCCCTTTTCCTTTTTGTTTCATTTTACCCTTCAAGACCATGATTGTTTTAGCACATGAAGTTTCATTAGAACCGGAGTCATAGTTCTAGGTTACAAATACATACATACTCCCTTTGGCTGTATTGTCCGCTTATAAACCTGGTATCGTGGCCTACGTTGAGTATACAGCTATTAAATTATCGATACCTAGCCCATGTATCCCTTTTGTTGAGTCAGTCACCGACTCACAGGTGCGGTTCTATGAACAATTTTATGGAAGAGACTCGAAGCGGATTGAAGCGCAACCGGACAGTCCTCCCTTTCATTCCCAGCCAGCCCTCCCTATTGGTTGCCATTGCTTTCCTCTGCATGCATTAACTGTCTGTGCAGCAGCCGAGAATTCATACCCACAATGCATCGTACAAGATCCCAGTCACCATCCAAGCCTACCCAGTCTGTAACAAGGACACCAGTGGACCAATCACCATCACCCTCTCCATGCTTCCTACACAGATACTCAACAGTCGCAGGGTTCAGCTTGGCGGCAATCTTCTCAGGCCAAGTTCCGACCTTCCAGAAATTGCTGGCGCTCAGGAAGTTGATGTAGAACGGATGGGCTCGCGTGGCCAAGGGTCCTGGGAGTACCCCAAATGGGTACCGAGTCTTGCATGCGCGCCCACACTGCTCGGTCACATATTCGATCTTCTTGTCGATGTTCGTGGTCTCCATGACCTCGTAGAAATCTTGGATGCAAAGCTGCCCACTGGGGCAGGTAGCACTGGCGCAATTATCGGCCCAGCCACTGGCGTTAATACCCCATCCTTTGCCGTCATGGATGTCTTTCAGGTGTTCAAGGATTTCGAACCGACGGACAAGGACAACCTTTCCACGTACTTCGCCTAGGGTGGGAATCTTTGGTTCCGTGTACCATCTGCTCCCGGGACGGGCATAGTGGTCGTTGACGATTCTACTCAGCTGTTCGTCGGTGTGATTTCCGGGACCTTCACGTTTGAGAGAGATGATGAGCGTTTCGGAGGGGTTTTGCTCAAGGAAATCGTTCACTTCGTGCATCAAATCCCGGAAGTACTTGTTGCCGGTTAGTGAAATGGGGAAGACGCTGTGTACGAGGATAAGCTCCTCTTTCGACGTATCTTCCGGATATTGAGGCTGCACACGAATATCAAAGAATCGAACCCCGTTCCTGAGCTGTTCCCTGGGACTGACGGCTTGGCAGCGAACTGAGGGTGCCGCAACATGGCAGGTTGGGGAGTTGTGCGTGCCTGGAATTGAAAGAGAGGAGAGCAAGGTGTCGTCCTTCAGCTCGCCCATCCAGGCATTCAAATTTGCCGAGGAAAAGATCGTGAGATGAGAAGCAGCTGTGATGTAGATACCCGTGAGCTTGAATTTGGGGTTATCACACAGCGCCTTCATGGTAGCAGTCTCGGTGGTGGGCACTGGGGTCTGGATTTGATGCCTTTCTCCTTCCACCTCAAAGAACCAGCGCAATCGTTCCTTTTCAGACTCGATGAACGAGCGAAGCTCTGTCTGGACCGACTCGAAGGGCGCGACATGAATGTCAACGTCTTTCTCGGCAAAAGGCTTCGTATCATCATTCACTGCAGCAACTGGAGTGTTCGCACGGGTCGTATTGGTCAAGACCCGTGTGAAATTCTTCGCAAAAGTTTGAACGCCAAGCGATCTATCGGGGGCACGGAAGCGCTCAATGCGCTTCAGTGTGATAGGTGTAGATGTGAGATTGCGAATGGTAAGATGTTCGGCCACCATCTTCTTCGATCTTTTATGGTGCACGCGCTCAGATGTTGAGTTGTTATGCGGGTCTTGTCTCGGTGGACGGCGTCGTGAACACGGCATTTAGGACAGATCTCCGACGGACGGGACCGACAATCTAGACTTTATATTTAGCAGGCTGGCAAAGGGGAGCTGATCCCAAGGAAAAAGGCTGAAGTATCAGCCCGTCAGGGTTAAATTCTGGCCCGTAATTGGTCTGTTTGGATTGGGGGTGCCTGGTTGCAATGGAGATACTTTGGAACACTAAGAAGCCCCCCGATAGGGATTGCGCCAATGAAGGCCGGCACCCACTGCCCATACTGCCCCAGGATCACCTGCCGAGGCGGAACACCGGGGCCCTGCAAAGTTTCCTACGCAAGCGCGAACCAGCTCAAGGGTCTGCAAAAGCAAGCGCATGGAATGGCTTGGAGTTGGCAAGTCAGCCCGTAAGGCCTAATGTTTGCTATTTTGGGGCCCCGCCGTCGCTGAGGGCGTGCTCGAAGTGGTTAATAATGATCAGCCCTGCGTCGTAAGGCTCTCCGTAATCCAGATCCACCATCCGCAAACACACCCCGCGGCTGACGATCGAGAAAAACAACATGAACCGGCAGTAAGTTTCACCCAGAGCAGTCATTTATACATCTTAGACGTATCCATTGGCCTGTATAGTTAGTGATTGTCTGCTAGGCATCGAAGATCTCTGAAGCCTGGCCTAGATCTGACTGTATGCTGTAGTAGAGCAGCAATAAGTATATCCTATGAGTGGGATCCCGCGCAGGCGAAGACGTTCTCTTGTAGCAGCCATCCGGTTGCTTAATTTTCACGTCCACTGTTCCAACCTGAAGTTCACTTGGAGGACACGGACACGGGTTGAATGGAAGAGAATCTGGAGCCGCTACCCCTCTGTGGACTGGTATAGATCGGCCCGCACGTGCCATGTTTGATCGCGGAACAACTGCCAGTTCGAAATGCGGGCGGAAGTGGGAATGTGGAGTAATTTCACACAATAACATAAGCTATTATTTATCTTTAAGATCATATCCTAGTATCTTAGTGGGTTCCTCTACAGATCTACGACATATTTGAACTGATATGCTTTCCCCGGATTCATGTAGTCCTCTTTGACCTTGAGCTGGTAACCCGGATGGCCATAGATATCCGGCACTTATAAAGAAGCTTGTTCCGGTGTTCTAGTTGTATTATAAACTGGATGTCGTACTGCTATTGTTTTCGTTTCACAGGGGGAAAGTTAGAGAAATGATTGAACTCAGTGATGATGCTAAATCGAAGCCTCCTCGGTTGGTGGACGAGTACCTGGTTACTGGATGTCTCCGTTTGCTAAGTAGGTAAGCTCCGCGGCGTCTCCGAGGCATCGGATGCTTCCACGGTAAATGCCTATCTCATTGTTGTTGTTATTGCTGCACCCTCCCTTCAATGAGTAGTCGCAGCCTGTTTCTTCGCAAAGATGCCAGAATCAACATCAGCCAAACACCACCATAAATTACCGTAAATCTGCGTTTTTGCAGTGTCTCATCTACGCGCGCGCGTATCGAGTGAATAGATTAGGGTGGCTTCCAAAACGGGCTGCCATCCGCATGTACTTAAAGTACTTAGTTGGCTTCCCACCTCTCACCCCACCTGTTCCCCTTAATACCTCCCAGCCTTCTGACCTCTCAATCTACACTTTCTTTCACTCGTGTTTTCTCCAGCCTTCAACTAAGATTCCCTCTTTTCATCTCCTGGTCGTTCAAGCAACCACCATGGGAACCCGGGGCCTCGTTTATATCCGCTGCCGTGGAAGATACTTCGTCTATTACAACCAATTTGACAGCTACCCTGAGGGATTGGGCGACGCCATCGTGAATGAGATACCTGAAGATCCTGAAAAATATCAAGGCAAGTCAATCACTCTGTCTACATATCTGCACACGGCTTTCGCTAACAACTATTTAGAATGGCTCCGATTCATGCGAACAGCCTATGCTCGACTTGTTGAGCAGTTCGAGACACAAGTTCTCCCAGTTAAGGTTCAAAGCACCCGAGAGGAATACTCGAGCGTGGCTCTGAAAGAGCGGTACGAACACAGCTTCTGGGCCGTCGATGACCGACTAGAACTGCCCCCGCTACAGACAGTGGTCCCGGAGCTGATGAATGCGTGGAATATCGAATGGGCCTACACCCTCGATCTAGACCGGGAGGTATTGTCGGTTGACAACTCTCTTCATCTATACCTAGCCAGACTTCCCCATTCAGGGGACTGGATCAGGTATCTTGGAGTAGATAGCCGACGCCGTCGGGCAGCTGGTCGGTGCACCCCCGAAGGGGTAGTCGCCAATATTTGCTGGAAGCCGGAGGTGAACAATGCCTCCAGAGATAGGTATGGCCACTTGGACATCCAGGTCGCTCCGCTGGGAACATTCTACGACCAGGAAGACATCACGGATGCACGCGAGTCATTACTGGCTGCCACTTTCACGCGCATGCACAATAGGTATCGACCTGTCCTGGATGCCTATCTTCCGGAGTGGGATCCCAGTTGTTTTTCATTCAGAGAGATAGCTTTTGCCATACTGTCCATCGCTGCTGGTGAAATGACTCTCGAGTGCGCTCAGAGCTTGGACCAGAACCGTAAGGCAGAAGGCTATTACCTGGCTCGGCACGATGTCTCCCCTGAATTGACTGCGCCCTGTTATCTGCCGACTGTTCTTCCACAGTTCCTGCACGAGTGTCACCTCCCGGGCGTTCAGTCTGGCTCAGCACCCGGAGGCAAGTTATACTGGCTCAGAAATGTCCTTGTATACTTGGCTACTAGACTGGATATGGTCGAGGTCGAAGAGGCCTCCATTACCGAAGTTGTGGAAGCTGGTCTCAAGCAGGGACTAAAGAACTTCCATGCCATGGTATTCTCAATCCTAGACGTGGTGCTGCTTCGTGTTCACGTGGGCCCAGATGGAACCGCACATATTAGCAGGTCTCCTCTTACGACGCTTATATATTTTGATGATCATAACTCAAAGTTTGCAAATGGTCCTCGGACAAGGGTGTCGCCTCACAGTCCTGAACAGGGAGATACGCGCGCATCGGAGGAGCCTTCGAATGGTTCCAGGGATGTGGAAGTTGCCAGCCCATGCTATTCAGAAAACCCTACGCGAGAATACATTGCTAGCCCTACCCACGGAGATGTCCCTGGTACAGAGGATGTGGCCGCCTCTCTTTGGGAATCCCGATCTTCGAGTTCTGATCATATGGAGCCACTTCTGCCTGTTCATGAAGCCCCTAGTACTGAGGATGGCCATGGCTTCAGCCCTGCCCATTCGCCGGTCGCCACTGACGGGATCGAAGCTGCTGCTAGTTCTGAGCTACAAGAGGGGTCTCAGCTTGAATACCCAGCCAGCGGCTCAGAATATTCGAAAAACATAGTATACGAAGCCGAATACGAGGAGTCTGTTGATGATGGTTCACGGCAGAAGATGCGAGCGGATGCTTTTCTGGCAGTTTTACGTTTCTTTGATTCAGCTACCTATCAATATCTGAAGTATGCAAATTCGCGCGTGTTCCCCAACGAGATACTTGGAGCCATTATGAAGTTCTCCGATACACAGACCTGTCGCGCGCTTGGCGAAGTGTCATCTTACTGCCGAAGACTCGGCAACCGTGAGTTTCGCTTGAACGATGACTATGCTGTTGTGGGTTTCGACATTGCCGAAAACAGCTTTATCTTGGAAGACCTGCACTCAGGAAAGAAGAGCAATTCTCAGATGAGGCAATTCAATGAAGAGTCGTGGTTTCCTATCACCCTCAAAGATGATGAGGTAAAGTTGAATCCTGTGATCGGAGTTGCAGATGCCGCTAGACAAAGCATACTGGATTCTGTGTGCCTTGTATTCTCGGAGGTAGTTCAGAGGCGTCCTCCTTATGAAAAGCAGATAGACATGCCTGAACAGTAAGTTTCGATGGCCCGCTGGGTCATGCGTATCTAACGTCTTCCGCAGAATGTATTACGATTATTTCGGCGGCAGTCGAGTCCAAAAGCCCGAGTTTCTATTTGACCTGGAAGAATACATGTATGTCGGGTCAGTCGAAGATGGCTGGGGCAGGTATATCGCGAGAAGGTACCAGCTCAGCAGTGGGTTGGATCATCCGGACCATTTGATCGTTCATATTCGCGGCCCGACATTTCGTTGTCTTCTACCCCCTAGGTGCCGTGAGCTTATCGTGGACTTCACTTATTGCAATGGGTTGTATTGCTTTTTGCGCCATGTGCGTGACGAAAGTCCCGAGGAATGGGACCTGACAGAGAAACATGCTCTGCGCCAGCTTCAACAACGAGAGAACTCGGAGAATTTGACTTTTACTGTCAGTGCCAGAGGACGACCTGTTGTTGTGGCCTTCTCTACGAGGACCAGGCTATTTTATTATGTCTACCGACATGAAGAAGCCCCAGCCCTTGGAGCCGATGCTAGTTCGTTTTCTCATGATATCGCTGCACGATGCACGGATCCAGATCCCCGTCGACGTCTTGTTCCACTTCTTCCCGGAGGCAAAACCATCGACCTAAAGAATAAAGATGATAGAGACGAGTTCGAGAGCTGGATCACGATCTTCTGCGGTAATACAGGCAAGTCGACTGAGTGGGATCCTTTCACAGAACAGCAAGGACCGCTTATTCCCAACAAAAACGTGCCCAGAAGTCCTGTACATGACACTGACGAGCCGTTCCTGTAACGCGGGACTAGAGGCACGGGCCAGTTATGGGGGCATATCACTTCAATGATATACCAGCCAGCAATGACGGTATGATCTGGCATGAAAGTGGCATGGGGTCTTCCTGGTGATTCCGATGTTGTCTATCTTGTATTCTTCTACCATCTTTGTACACTTTTCTAGCCCAGAATGCTCAACTAGGAAGAAGAGAGATGTCATAGAGAGGGTGCTAGGGAGCTATTTCATTTGCTACCCGCCTAGTTCGTGAGGGTTTATGCACTGTTGTATTTGCCGAGACTCGTCTACAATACCGATTGCCCGCTTGCTTTCTTGTTTCTACATTGATTTGTACTGGCGAGAAACATAGCAAAGTGACACAGATTTCACTAAGGGCAAACAAGTCAAATCCATGCTCTTAGAATGAACTGGTATGTATTCTATACTATCTAACAACCAGTATCCGCGCCGATGACATCTCAAAAGCACTCACCAGCTACCGCCCCAGGCAGCTATCCTGTAAGAATCCAGTAGTAGACCAAGCCACCAAGCGGAACCTACATAGCGTAGCCAATGGAGTCCTTCCTCCAAACTTAGTCCCATACAAAGTGAATCCATTGCTGCCTACAATCCCATCCCACATCACACGTAGACTAGCGAACGATGCCACCCAGTCCGAATCCGGCTCAATGTAGCTGTTAGGAATTCCCATCAAGTACTATATCCAGTACAGGAGTCATACTGAGGTAAATAGCAATTGTAAATGTTTGTGACATTTCAAGCAAAGTCGTGTATAGATCAGACATAGGTAGGTAGGTATCAATCAATAACACCGAACAAAAAAAGGAATATGCAAGCAATCCATAGTAAACTCCCACATCAATAATCAGATCAAAGACAGAAAGATCAGGCCCAAAATGCATATGAGAAGTACCCAACTCCATACAAACCCCATGAAGTAAATTCATCATGCAGATACACACACACACCTATTCCCAAACAAGCCAACCCAGTACACTGGATCTAGCCCCCGTCTGATCAGCGATACCTCGCCAATGTATCCCTCACCAACTCCAACACCTCAGTCTGCACTTCCGCCTGCGAAGCACGCACATCCACTGTGAGGGCATCCCACTCGCCCTTGGGCTCCTCCAGATCCTGCAACTGCGACTGCACCATACTACTCTTCATATAATGCGCCTGTCGATTCATGACTCTCTGCAGCAGCATGGTCTCGTCCAACTTGAGATAGATGAAATGGATCTGGACCGAGGGGGATCCGTACGCCGCGACGCGCATCACGTCCCGGTATTTCTGCTTCAGGGCTGAACAAGCAACCACTACGCCGGAGGGCGGGTGGAAGTTGTTGGTTTCGGAGGGGGAGAGCGCCTCGATGGCGGCTTGGCGGAGAGAGATGAGCCAGTCCCATCTGTCGGCGTCGGTGAGGGGGATGCCGTTGGACATTTTTTCTTTGTTGTTGATGGTGTGGAACTGTTGGTGGGTTGTTTGTTAGTTGGGTGTGTTTGTGTTTGCTGGGTGATTATGGTTATGGTATGTATGTAGGTAGGGTTGTATAGAGTATGGACGTACATCATCACCCTCTAAGAAAGGAATGTTAAGCGCTTGTTGAATCGCCTTGCCTACTGTGCTCTTCCCGCATCCCGCTGGCCCCGTCACTACCCAGATGTGTTGGATTTGCTCTGCCTGCGGTGCTGTAGGTGTACTTCTTGTGGTGTTGTTGCTGGTGCTTCCCCACATGGAGTTGGCCACGGAGTTGGTCAATGGGCTTTTGCTGACGGGACCGCGTGTGGAATCTACTACTGCGGCTGCGTTGGTCATGGCGGGTTGTTGGGGCCGTTCGCCGGCGGAGAGCATGGTGATGGTGGTGGTGGTGATGTTGTTGGTGGAGCAAGTAGAAAGCTTGTGAACGGTAAGGGAGTGAGAGTGGTGAACCCAGAACTTATGTATGACGTCCTTGCGAACCGTGGGATAAATAGGGTTGAATTTCTGTGCAGTTTATCCACCCGGGGGGAATAAGAAGTATGAATGGTTGTGAATAGCCTATAGCGCGCAAGTGGTCACCCGACGAGGAATGAGGAGAAGCTTGCGGTAGTTGAATATAGTGGTAGTAGTAGTAGGTGAGGTGAATGGTATGAATAGTATGGGGTAACGGATCTTCGGCAGTGACTTGGGTATATAAGTAGTATAAAGTAAGGGAGGGAGAGAGAGAGAGAGAGAGAGGAAGGGAGAAAGGAACCAACAAGAGGAAGGGGAATTAGATCATAAAAAATGATAGATAGATTTCAGGGCAGTTTATAACAAATCAATAAATCAATAAATCTCCTTCAAGTATGAAATGCAAGTGGGTCAGTTGTTGGGCACAGGTAATCTCATTGGGACTGCCAATTTCTCATAAATTCCTTCTCTTGATTTTCTTTGATTTTTCTAACTCAAAGATGAGACCCGGCTTTGAGTAATGGTTTAACAGGTTGGGGCCGGAAATTGCCAGAGCTGTTTCCACCGCATCGTCATGGGCTTGCGTGAATGGGACCGATTCAACCAGATCCGCCATCGAATCACAAAGCAGCTGCAGCCATTTGCAAGACGCAAAATAGTAGGGCATTCCGAGTGGGGGGATATTGAGCAGCGAAACGGGCGAGTGGGGGAGACTCACTCCAAGTCAACTTTCAGGAGTCCGGCGGTCTGGTCATTAGCGGGAGATCCGATCGGTAGCAGAACAACTCCTCGTATTGTCGCATACACACCTCCATACAGCCAGAGAAGAAAAAAGTACGCGCGCATTCCCTCTCCCCCTTATTCCCTCATTCTCTCTTCAGCAGCAGGAACAAAGGAATTTTGACCGGTAGGGATCATTCAGCTCAGCGAGGCCATCACATCCTGTGTCACCACCCCCGACACCCTTCAATTCCCCGTGTCGCACCAATGAATGTTGCTGGCTGGCTTGTCCGGCCCATCCGCCATGATGTCACTGGGTCTGCTGCAACCGGGGATTCGGAACCGTAATTTGGTACGTCTGTTTCTGGTCTCTGACGGTACCGGGACGGGTAATGGCTCGAACCCCCACGCTATTCCCAACCTGGTATTGGGTCACCGTCCCCAAAAGGGTCATTTTCCACGGTGCGACTTTCCAGGCATACTATTGCTATTTGCTAAATGGCAATCCAGAGTGGTCCCGAGTACAATAACAGGGACTTCAAATGTCTACCCCAGTCGTTGCAGATAAGATAAAACAACGGATAAACCTCGAAGTTACTTAGTTTACAGGATCGTCTCCCGCGCCAAGCTCAAGTCATCGTCCTCCCTCATCCGACTGGCGAACAGAGAACCTTCAACCTGCCGATGTTTGTTCCCGTGGCCTCCACGGCAATCCAGCCTGCCTAGTCGGGCCCAACCTGGCCGGACGACAGGTCAAATCGAGGTCTTCACCTCACGGGTGTTACTTTCACTGGAACTTGTCTGCCTCTCTTGTGTTACCCTGCTAGCCATGGACTCCAGAAAACCTAAAATAAGCTGCAAAAGACCGCTATTCCTCCCAGGAACCAGTTAGAACCCATGCGGACATATCTGGCACCCGCTGATTGATCCTGCATACTCACCGCTTGATGAGTGGCGTGCAGATGGATGGCCGCGGCTCAGTCTGGGGTAACTTTGATTGCTGGCATGCGAGTCAAATAATGCAGGTTCAAATTCCCCGACGAACTTCCTTCCTCAGGAGGAGTCAGGCAGTCTTGCTGCCAGCACGACATGCAGTCCTACCTGGATACTCTACTCTGTACATGCAACAGCACGGAAACATGTTTCCAGCAGTGCCAATTAAAGTTACGGGTCCGCGGCTCTCTGCATATTTCTACCAATTGACAAGTGTTTCGGTTCACTGTGTGCCCGATGACTGCCTGGCTCAGACTGTGATCAAGCATAAAAAGCAGTCTGCATGCGCACAGAGGTGTAACAATACTGGACAGATGATGCGGCTACCCCTCCTGACCGACAGGAGTCGGTTGAACGTTCAATCAAAGCCCGTGGGTTTAGCATGCGCTGTCGTCCGGCTTATTCTCGTAGTGTTGTCGTAGGATCGGTCATATGCTGTACAACCCCTTGATGACGGACAAATTTGCCTCAATCATAAATGGTAAATTTCTCCGTCAGTGCCATGTTGATTGAGTCATTTTATGGATGTGCATAGTTCTGCTACACTGTAATTCGACAGGTTCGGCACTCCCTTACCTACCGGGTATGGCAATTCTGTCACCATCAGACATATTATTAAGAAACCTTCAGCCTTTGTACTTATGCAAGGCCTCTAGCAACAGAGTTTTCCCTTCTGATGAGTGTCTACTATGAATTTTATGTAGTGGTGATAAAGGTATAGTTGCGGATGACATAGTACCGCTTACCTAAGCAGTGATATGCCAGGTCGCCCACCGCCAGGCAGTCGGGATGCCGCCTAACCAGATGAAGCTGAGTGCGACATGGCCATTGTGTGATATCGCATTCCATAGGCCGATTCACCAAGTGCACTACGCTCTTTCCAGCTGATCGAACTTAATATTTATCTCTATTTCTCGAACGCCTCGCCTACGATGACCTCCCTCTTCTTCTCCACGCCCGTCGACATCGATGTGGTCCTCGAAGACAGCGATGAGCGTCAGACGGTTGATGTCAAGCTCGACAAGGGCCGTCGCGAGAGGGTCCCCCTCTACATGGACGGAGAGTCTGTCAAGGGTGCTGTGACGGTCAGACCTAAGGATGGAAAGCGTTTGGAACACACGGGCATCAAAGTGCAATTCATTGGCACGATCGGTATGGAACAATGGCTCTCATGAGGGGGCGGGCACGCCTCATCACCATCCCCACCGCACAGTTGCTCGAAGACTTCAAGTCTCGATGCTGACACACAATTGTTACGATTAGAAATGTTCTATGACCGCGGTAACCACTACGAATTCCTGTCGCTGGTACAGGAGCTCGCAGCTCCCGGAGAACTGCAGCACCCCCAGACCTTCCCGTTCAACTTCAAGAATATCGAGAAGCAATACGAATCATACAACGGTATCAATGTTAAGCTACGATACTTTGTCCGCGTGACAGTGTCCAGGCGCATGGCGGACGTGATTCGGGAAAAGGACCTCTGGGTCTACTCCTACCGCATGCCCCCGGAGACCAACAGCCCCATCAAGATGGACGTTGGTATCGAAGATTGCCTGCACATTGAGTTCGAATACTCCAAATCCAAGTACCACCTCAAGGATGTCATCGTGGGACGCATCTACTTCCTCCTCGTGCGCTTGAAGATCAAACACATGGAGCTATCCATCATCCGTCGTGAGACGACTGGATCTCCGCCAAACCAGTACAACGAAAGTGAGACGCTCGTGCGCTTCGAGGTAAGACTGAATCCAACTTGAATCGCTGTATGACGTCCGAAGCACTAACATGCTGCGCGCAGATCATGGATGGATCACCTTCCCGAGGTAAGTCGATGGCTCGGACTCACCTGGCTCTCAGACACCGCAACACGTCACATCTGCGGCATTGTCACAGCCGAACATCTCTTCTGACCTATTTCTAGGTGAAACCATCCCCATCCGTCTGTTCCTGGGGGGATTTGACCTTACCCCGACATTCCGCGACGTGAACAAGAAGTATTCGACACGCTACTACCTCAGCCTGGTGCTTATCGACGAAGGTACGTGATGCTACATCCATTTGCGTTTCATCTGCGTTTTAGCCTTGTTTTGCGACTGCCGTTCATGAATCCCGTCTGGCGTGGGAGCACCACATCGGCCATCCCACGCATGTGAGACCAGGCCTTGGGTTGCAAAGGCGTGGTGGCTAGCTAGCCGGCCCACTTCCTCCATACCATCATCCCACGGCATCCCACCACCCAGGTCAATAGCCGGTCGGCTATTGAAACCCTTAATCGGGCCGAAAACCTGCAATCTGGCCAGTGGCCACAGTTGGGGTGTTTCCCCCCGTGACTAACCCCCACGCTAAACCTCAAACTATTCTGGTCTCGCGTGGTGGCCCCACCGGCCCCAGTTCCCTCCCGTTTTCTCTGCCTTCCGGAAGTTTCGATCGTCACATTCGAACCCCCATCTTGCTAACCCGGGTCTATACAGACGCTCGCCGTTACTTCAAGCAATCCGAAATTGTCCTCTACCGTCAAGCTCCCGAGATCGCCACCACCCCTCAAATCGCCCAGCAGCAACAGATCCAACAACAGCAGCTCCTCCAACAGCAGCAGCAACAGCAACAGCTGCCTGCCGGTTCGGCGACAGCCGGCCCCGGACGGACTGACACCCAGCCTCAGTTCACTCAGCAAATCTCTGCTCAGGCGGCTTGATTCAATCTGTGCGCGTCTCGTGCTGTAGCGAAATAGATCGTCTTTTGTTCATGGGCTGCTACTGATGCTGATGCTGTGCTGTGCTGCGCTGTGTCAGACTTCCGTTTGATGTTACCTAACTTTACCCATTATACCCTTCTGTGTATTAACCTATTTCTGGCTGTATTTCTCTGTACGTTATGATGAAATCTCAGCAACATGAAACTTTATGATTTCGTTACGTATTCGATCCTTTATATTCGTTTATCTTGCGATGGTACGGAAGGTAGCAGACATAGTTTTCACTAAACTACAGCACTGGTGTGCCAAAATGCTGATAAGGCTTTACCTACTCATCTGCGACATGTTCAACACGAAATAGAACCGAATATTCATTGAAAACCTAGTCGTACAGCTGAACCTGAGCAGATGCAGATAAGGAACAAAGGAACAGACAACAACGCTTGCTAGATGGCCCGATCGTCTATGTAATATGTCCCAACGAGCTAAACATCAAGAGTAGAAACAAACAACTGGCATACGACAATCCTATACATCATACCTGAAAACCAGCACTACCACCATTAACCTCCTGCAGAATCTTCCCGAGAGCATGCAGAACTTCACCGTCATCCTGTTCCTTCCCGGCAACTTGCACGGCCCGCACAACAAGCGGGTAGATCCATGCAAGGTGCTTTTTGTGATCCCGGTCAGAGTCCGAACTAGTCTCGGCGGTGGCTGATTCGTTCGGCGCTGTCTTGGGTGGAGGGATTGCCGACGGCTCGCTACGCAGGCCTACCATGCCGCGGAGGAGATGTAGAAGGGATCTGCGCGCGGGCGTGGGCTGCGGCATCAGGCCGCGCAGGGGCTGGTCTGCGATGTAGCCTTTCAGGGATACGGCACAACGGAGGATAAGGTATGGGGTGATGGAGCGTGCAAGGAGGACGAGAGCGGTGTTTCGTTGTTCGGGTGTATTGTCGCTAGTGGCTTGTGTTGCTTGGTCCGAAGGCGATGATGCTAGTTCGAAGAGTGTGTCAATCACAGCGTAGGCCATTTTGGTCCGTATTGTGGGTGGGGGTTCGAAGGTCCTTCCAGGTCGTATTTCGTAGATGTCCTTAAGGGGTTGGTCTTGGAGGGATTTAGCGGGAACGTCGAAGCGCTGAGGGAGGTAGATGAAGGACGAGTGCAACAAGCCGCAGGAGAAGTCCCGGCGGATTGAGTCCGGGATCACGGATGCTCCGAGTGATGGAATGATTAGTGTCTTGAGTCGTCCAAAAGCAGCCACGTCAAAGGACTCGTCATCCAGGATGGTGGCCCGGGGAGCGGAAGTGGTTCGATAACCTCGAGCGGTGACAATACCACTTGCGATGTCGTTAACGCTCTTCCAGAAATGTGTGATTTCAGGATTTTCCGAATCGCCATATTGTGTCTCCACGTAAGGGATTGCAACTTGAAGAACGTTCAAGGATGCTGTTGTGGACTTTCGCCAGAGACTCGGTTCCCGATCCTTCCCTGACCACTCGTACCTTTGGACAATGGGGTTCGCGAGATGCTCTAGAGCCGTAGCTAGCGAACCGTTCGTGAAAATGTCTTTTTTGATACCGTGCTCAGCGATGTACCAGCTAAGGAGCTCTATCGCAGCTTTAGAGAAGGCAAGATAAGTCGGTCTCTTTGAGTCATTTGCAGGTTTCCACTTTGACAACGGCGCATCCGCAAAATCAGCGAGACAAAATAGTATCTCTGGTTGAGAATCGTCTTTGTCAAGGCATAATGTTTTCAAGCACTCCATGATCATGGTTTGAAGGCGCGATAAGCGATCAATATCTGGCGAGTATGGAGGGGATATTGAATTCCAAGCAAGAAGACGCAAATGTCCGAGGATGATTTTCACCTGCTCTCCAGCAATATCATCCTTGTATAGTCGATAAATCTGCTGGAATGACTGGAGGTATGCTATTGCCGCATCTTGATTAGGGTGTTCCAAATCAAGTAGATCTTCCTTATCGGCCGGGTGTCCATCTACCCAGAGTAGCCAAGCAGAACGCAGGGCCTGTGTGCTCAGACTACAAGATGCCTGCACACGACGAAGAATACTGGAAAGGCTGGAGTATACAGCCTCGCTGAATTCAAGAAGCCGTAGGCTTATCAACTTTCGGAAATATTCAAGCAGCCGTTCCCAAGACTGATCGAATAGGTCATCTTGAACGATTGGCTCGAAGAAAGTAGTAATAAGATCAGAAGCCCCCTTTATCATGACAACAGTGGTCTCAGTCCATGCCTTGAGATCATCGGGAGTGCGACTGCTATTCTCCTCTCGTGTAAAGGTGAGCTCGGTCTCTATTTCCTCCACCATTCGAAATAAGACACGGTTCAGACACAAGCGCCATGCCTTGGGCGACAGTTGTTGACCATAGGCGTCAAAGATCCGCAATAGTGTCTGAACAGCGCAGTTCCGAATTTCCGGCCGGCTATCCGTCGTGAGGTCAACAATCCGTAGAAGGAGCAATAACCACAGCGCGTTTCGCGACACTGAAGGATCCTCCCCCTTGGCTAGCCCTGCAAGGGTGTCTTCAGTTACAGAGGAGTCAACGTGCGACTCGATGCAGAATTGCTCGATCTGTCCCTGAAGGAAGTCCGAAACATTCCAAAAAGATGAGGTAGTTGTCAGTGAGATATTGAAATCCTGCTGTTGCAGGGCAAACTTTGAGAAAGAATCAACAAGGCTCAGCCGACAGGGCACTGGAAGCAACGAGATAAAATCGGAAGCTATGAGCTGCAGAGACTTGTAAGCAACTCGAACAAGTCGAGGCGAATTTGCTGTCGATGATGGCTGGCGCCCTTTCTTTGGTATTTCGGTGCCGTTGGGTTCGCCAAAAACACTGGTTATAAGATCAAAAACGACGGACCATCCATCGACGAAAGTTTCGGCATATTGTTCGAGGATGCTCTTCAGTGTTTCCAGGCTCTGTTCATGAACTTCGGCCACGGGCGCTGAAGGCGACCCTGCCGAACAAGCACCAGAATCGTAGAGCAGTTGAACTTGGAGCTTGAGTGTCTGGAGATTTCTCAATTGCCGTGCATTCCGCTCAGAGACATCCCCGGTATCAGATTGCTTCAGTGTCTGGAAAACAATGTCATTGAGAACCTCGTTGGCTCGTAATCGAAGCTTTTGGATATTAGACCTGTCCGCTGCACTTGACATCAATCTTCCCGTAAGAAGTTGCCAGGCGTCTTGGTCAGCATTGGCTAGTGATGAGAACCGTTCGAGATTTGCCCGAGCCAGCTCGTTTGTTTTCTCGCGGACAAATTTTAATAGTTCATCTTGCGTTTTCGATTTTCCCATAGAGCGTGATACGCGGTGAGTGTTTTTGCGCATCAAATGGGAGCGCGACTGTGGTGAGAGAATGGTACTTGTTACCTCAGCTGATTCTTGCGTCGATTCTTCGGGTTCTCCAGAAAGATCTAAGAGCGCAGTTAAGATCTCCTGGAATGATTCGCTGGGATATTCGCTAGTACTTTCTATCATTTTAGCCGACGCTGCCTGCACAGCCAATATCTCAGAATTGAGATTAGCTTTAGGCACATCGACACCAGCAGCAGATGAAGTTTCCCCAGAAGTACTGGTTGAGGCTTGTGACTTCGTGGAAGCCATGCCGATCACCAAATCTGTGTCTTGAAGGGTTCCTAGTATTATCGACCAGGCCGGCTGGTCTAGTGTAGGACCTAAGGCTATGCCCAGATTGAGCAACGCCCGCAAGCACAGGAGATTCCGGGTACTGAGGGACACAAGCGCAACGTCAGAAGGGCCATTGGAAGTCTCAGCCGGTATTGGAGAATTAGCAAGCGACGCCTGTGACCCTCTGGATTTCTCATCGGCTTTATTAGACTGCGAAGTGATTGTAGTAGCCGCTGCAGTGCCCGGAGGCCTCGTCCCAGTTGCGTCTGCAGGCATGGCTGCCTTTCCTAGGGTTGTCAAAAGAGCATCGCGGGGCGTAGATAGCCTGAGAAGACCAGCAACATGAGCTAACTTCTGGATTGATCGGACAAGGTTGTGGTAAAAGTCATCATCGAGCGATGCGTATAAGAAAGTTGAGCAAGCAGCGAGAATAGCAGGCCAGCTTGTCTCAATTATTCCGGCACAGCTTTGTATTGCGGGTAGTTGGGGATGAGATTCTAGCTGCAGGGGATTGATCGGTACAGAGGACTTTTTAGGACCTGGAGGCTGCAATCCTTTGGAGGAATTCGTCCGTTGAAGGTCATGTGAAGGCCGAGAAGAGCCACCATCCGGGTGAGGACTCATGACACGACTTCTCCGTTTTTGCTTAAGGTCGGGCACCGTCAAGGGAAGTATGAACTTTGCGAGTCCTTCAGCAAAGCTACCGATGCAGTTCAGCACAAGACTGTAGATATATGTATCAGGAGGAGTAGGAGGATCAGTCTTGTCAAGCAACTCCATATACGGTGTGCGAACCACACTCCACTGGCTGCTGATTCCTGGTACATCAGTGTCAGTTGATGGAACGGTGGTTCCGATGACGCCAGCAACTCCACCAGCCTCGAGCGTGATCTGCTCCTCAGTGATAGATCTCGCATGCTCAACTCGGTAAGGCACGGTCGACCGGCTACTGACTCCAATTAAAGAGGGCTTTTCGGAAGTTAGGCGGACAAGAGAGGCCATATGGTCTTTGAGAATATTCTTTCTCCGGTCATCCCTGTCGTACAGGGAATAGAGGAGCCTTACCAGACCTGGCTCGGCATATAAGCCTCTGAAGACTTCCATGCAGAGGACTCGTTTCCAAGGGGAGTTTCCGTCTGGCTCAAGGAGATGCGTCAAGAGACCAAGGGCCATCTCGCACTCCGCAGGAAGGAGAGACATATGGCGTTTGAGGAGCACCAAGAGGATGCGACTGACTCGAACGGTCTGCGAAAAGCTATGCCGTTCAGACAAATACCTTACGATCATCGGCATGAGCCGAACACGCAAAACTTGCGTTAGCTCGGAATGAACAACGAAAAGCTTGCCGCTGTTGATCAGAATGCTCTCAATAAGCTCAAGGGTAAACGCTGAGGAGAGGGACTTGATTCGAAGGAAATACAAAGGTTCCCCATCAATGAGTCGACAGAGGTCGTCCAGGACCTTATAAGTGTGTTAGCCATGGAATAATGTTAGCTCAAGTAGAAGGACTTACCCGCAGAGCATCGTATGCAAAATACCCTATATTTACAGGGTTCCCATCGACTTTAACAGTCGTCGTTGGAGTGGTTTTATCAAAATTCTCTGGTTCTCCGGTCAGACCTGTGTCAGATTAGAGCAAATAGAAAGTCCATGGTCACTGACTGTCTTCAATTGAAACACGGTCAAAAGTTGACACGATTAGCTGCTGCAACGTGGCTGCGGCAGTACTAGAGACTGCAAGCATTTTGTTTCCTTGCAGAGTAGCACATATCTCCAGAGTGCTTACCAGGAGGTCTCCTCCCAGGTCACTGGAATAGTGCTGCAGTAAGGAAGGCAACGACTGCAATATCTTGAGCTGGATATCTAGGCCTTCGCAGCGTTAGTATGGGATGTAATGCTTGTACGCGATAACCTACTCATGTTCGTTGTCTCCTTCAGTCCAGCAAGAACATCTTTCAGCCGCTCAGATGGCAGTGATCGTGAGGCCACTAGCCTTTGCAGGCAGACCACCCCGATGCCTGCAAGCTTTGCATGGCGGCTGTGGCACGCGAGGATGAATGGATTTGCAAACTTAGGTTTGCGCACCAGGTCTATAGAAAGTTCAGCGTATGCCCTCGACGGAGGTGCAAGCCACCGGCTTGCAAACGCTTACCTGCTGAAATCTGCGCTTCAGACGTAGAAGGCAATGCCTTCAATTCATTAAGGGACTCTTCAGCCGCCTACAATTTAGTCAGTACTGGCACTTGCGTATCCCTTTAAAATGGCGATTAAACATACATTACGCAATTCAGAGTTTCTTCTCTTGGATTCCTGAATCAAATTCAAGAGCTCTGTCTGCAGAAATTGAGAGGACATTTCCACCGGAGTGCTAAATCAGTACATGGCCGATGCCACTCCCTATCGATCAAATAGTAGTATCACAAGGCAGATGTGGCTTCATGTGGTTGGGTCGCTGGTTGGACAACGGAATACAAAGCTAAGCACTTGAATCACGACAATTTCAGACCAGTATGTTCTAGAGACAAGCCGCATCAATATAAATCTGCAGCAGCTGTAGCAGTCAATGACTGGCTCAATAAAAACAACTCAGAAGCAATGGCATCAGGAGTGACATCTTGGGGAGCGCCAAGGCACCCGCGGAGATAGAGTTATCACGTGATGTATACAGCCGTTATCATCACGTGCGGTAATTCTTCAGGAACCCGGCGGGACCAGATACGCAAGCCCAGCTTAACGGCCGGAAGTGGGATAAGGTCACAGTGCCCCTCCTCCGCCCCGAGGATCAAACGTCTCCCTTACAACTCACTATTTCGCATTATTCATTTTCAACTTAACCCTGCCTCTTACCTGCACGATGGCAGCTAAAGTGCCCAGAAACTTCAGACTGCTCGAAGAGCTGGAGAAGGGTGAGAAGGGTCTGGGAGCTGGTAAGTGCTATTCTACTTATAGTCATAGGAGACTCATTTCGTTGACATATTCCTATCGCTGTAACTTAGAGTCATGCTCCTATGGTCTTGCAGATGGTGAAGACATGATGATGAGTAACTGGAACGGAACTATTCTTGGCCCCCCTCACGTTCGTCCCACGCTTCCGACTCGCATCCATTATACTATACAATAGCATCACTGACATTATGAACGAGCGCAGAGTGTCCATGAGAACAGAATTTACAGCGTCAACATCCATTGCGGTCCGGACTATCCCGACAACCCCCCTACCATCCAATTCGTATCCCGAGTCAACTTGCCATGCGTTGATGGCCGGAGCGGAAAGGTAAGGATTCGTTCTATTTCGACTGCTACTATATGGAAGATTCCAAGTCTGACTTCAATCTAGGTCGATCCTACCAAGCTGCCCTGCTTGGCTCAGTGGAAGCGCGACTATACCATGGAAACTATTCTAGTCGAGCTCAGAAGGTAATCATGTCCTGACCTTCAGGCCATCGGTGACTTGATACTAATAGTTCCTAGATATATGGCTCTGCCTCAGCACAAGAAGCTTCCCCAGCCTCCGGAAGGCTCGAACTTCTAAATTGACGGTATCATGACTGGACGTGGATTCGAAGGCGGAGTATATGGTTGGTTTCTAAGTCAGGTTCATCTGCATTTCTCTTCAATAGCTTATTAGAGCATGTACAGTCTATGCATAACGGCGGGCATGGCGCGGTCTTCTTTGAAGCCTAGTTGCAATTCATCGAATTAGAACTTTGCTCAGTATGAACCATGTGCCACTTTCAGCAGAATTCTACCTGCCGAACCAACAAGACCCTGGTTCTTGGCGGATACCCGTTGATATTTTTTGACAGCTTTCAGAAGCGATCATACCGGCGAAAGACACTAGATCATGATCAACACAGAGGAATATCCGAGAATCGGATCTCTTCCTTCGCCTGTTGTAGATCGGATAGCAGTAGCCCATACTAGCTGCACAGCACGCACAGCAAGCGTCCGGTGCAATTGGTTCCCTAATAATAGTCTCGGTCGAGGGCCAAAGTGTTAAAAATTTATGATGATCGCACGCCCTGAAAACAGATTTCTGATCAATCACAGTAAGGGCGTAACATCCCGTTTACACGTGACGTATTTCAAGTTGCCGGAGTAGTCACATGTCTCCGACTTAAGTCCGGAACTTAAGCCTTCAGGATCATGCTGCCTCTTCGATAATGCATAGAATAGTTGTGCCCAAGCAGTCTTCCGCTCATCGTTTCGCAAGTAAGTTTGATAAGACACATTCCTGAATATTGGACGTCGCAAGAATACGACTAAAGACCATCTCCCTGGCAGCTTTGGCACTCTATCGAGCGCTTCTCCGACAATGCGCCAAACTACCACAGTGTCCCTCCGAACTCGCTGCGTGCAAGCCATACATCCAGAATAGATTCAACAGATACAAAACGCTTCAGAGTCCATCTCAAACAGCCAATTCCCTGAAGGCAGGCTACGAGGTGCGTTGAAAATCGACTCGATATCGACCGTTCAGGATCTAAATTCGGCGGTTTCGCAAACACTCAGGCTCTTGACCTATTGTACTCAGCGTCGCAAGGCGACCAGAATGGTGTTCAACGGATAAGGAAGCTCATATCGGAGAGCGAATCGTCAAAGCGACAAAAATCCGAATGGCACAAGGAACGAGCTAAGGTTATTCCGGTAAAGCCCGTGAGCCGGAAGGAGCTGAAGAAAGAGGCAAACAAACGGTACCGAGTATTGACTGCGAAACGGCATCCGGATGCTACCTCTATTCTTGCACGTCCTCGGCCTGTGGTCAATGGGAAGCGTCGAGTTCCTGTACTCGTGAATGCGCGTGGTTTCCCATTTCTACTCATCAAGAAGCCCCAGCCCAAGTTCCTTAGCGCCGTATTGGACTCGAAACTCAAAAGACGCTGGAAGAGGATGGAGCGCCTAAAAAGGCTCGAGTCTGAACTGCCGATGGCCAGGGATGAGGATGAATGGGACTTATTAACTGGTCATAAAGAAGAAGCAAGGTGGTCTGGGCCTGTTAGAGCATCACTCAAAGAGGTACAAGGACAAATATCAGAAGGCGATCGGAAGACCAAGGAACTGGCACAAGCTATGTGGAAAGTCGTCCTTGAGGAGCGCAAATTGGCGGAACAAGAGGAAAAGCAACGGGTTGAACAAGCCAAGCAATCAGCGGAAGAGAAAGAGAATCTACCAACAGGGGAGCAGGATAAGAAACAGTCGAGTGACGGATGAATCGAATGCTGGAAGAAATATACTGTTACAGCCGCCCAAAGCTTACGCTTGTTAGTTTCTGACCAGCACTCTGTCCTTGTGGGTTCAAAGCCGTCACATCAAGCCACCACGCTGCCAGTACGGTGCCATTATCAGATCTCTCCGGCACCCACAATGAGAGCTAAATTCGGCGTATTGACTGCCGTTCATGATGTACGCAGCTTCTCCGGCATTTCACTTGCCCCTTACAACGGGTCAAGGCTACCAACAGAGTGCGCTTGGATATGGAAGGTATGGTAGGTACGTATGCATAGTGAAACAGTGGGTTGCACATGTGCAATCATAACTAGAACATAGTCTATATCGAATAAAATGCCTCACAGGCATCAATATCGCTCCCATGTGCTATGCGAAATCAGAAAAATGCCGCCGTAGGCTTACTGCACATCACAACTTGTTGGTTGGCTATCAACCACCCAACGCCAACCAGCTAGCTTCCCAGTCATCCAGCCAAATTTGTTTGCAATATAGTGATCTTCAAGAGATCCCAGCCTCTAATGGCTTGATATTCATCAAGCACGGAATTGAATTCTCGTAAAAGATCTCATCTAGAGACCGCCAACTTCTAAGCAGCTATCTTCATGTTCTCCACAGCAGCAGGCATACCATCTTCCTCATCCTCATCAAAGTCTGCCCTACCAGCAAGACCTCTCTCCCACAGCTGCTTGCCCGTCAGCTTCTTCTCTTCCTTGCCCGGGCCCTTCTTGTTAGATTTCTTCTCCTCCGCCTCTTTCTCCTCGCGCTTCCTCTTCTCTTCCTCCTCCATCTCCTTTATAAACTTGTCGCGCCACTCCAGGAATGTCTCACGATTAACAGCAGTACCCTGGAACTTCCGGTTCTCCTCCTCTTCTGCCTTCTTTGCCTCCATCTCTTTTTCGGCGTGAACGGCGTTCACGCGCTCCGCCATGAGCTCTTCGGCGCTCTCCTTCAAAGCACTAACCAGTGTAAATACCATAGCCATTCCCATGTTCTCCTCAATGGTCGGCTGCAAGGTTTCAAGAAGCCGGTCCCGGTCCTCACTGATATCTAGTCGGGGGTGTTTCGGTGCGTTCGGGGGCGCAGTCAACTCTAATTCCGGCGCAACATCCGGGTAGTCTTCTGGGTATGTGACTTGCAAGAGTAAGACAGGCTGCTCTGTCTCTTCGACGTCATTTTCGGGCGCGTCAAGAGCAATTGATATCCGATATGAGGTGTCAGAAATATCTGGGGTAAAGTTCGGTCAGCGGTTTATTTTCTTGGGAGAATTCATATGAAGGGTCCAGTGTAACTATAGTGCCGTCTTCTTACCTGTAATTTCCTCGGGGAAAATGGAGTCGAGCACTTCGCGCTCTTCGATCTGGTCTTCGCGGCCCATGCTGCTTCAATTCTGCCGCCGGCGGGGCTGGAGGGGTATTGTTTGGTTCTAGGTTATAGGGACAAGGAGAATGGCTGGAAATTCAAGACTCAGGCACTTGAAGATCTAGCAGTATGATATATTGAAGAGACCAAGCAAATAGTCTTTAGTCGTAATGGTCTAAGCGTTGACAGGCTCGTGCTTGGGAAATGAATTCCTCGGTCTTTAGGTGTGTAAGTAGAATACGCTGCGATCCCACATGCAAACAAGGCAAACAGATAAGGAATCGCCCAAATTTGTCCCGCCCGAAAAAGGGAATTTCTATGCTCCGCCTTCTCGAAATTCAAAGCTTCAAGCATTTACACTCAATATTTTTGTTGATAAAACCATTCTACCCTTTACTCCGTGTCCTCGAAAAACTCTTTCAAGTACGTTTGACTTATAATTCCGCTACAGCTTATAGATCATGGGAAAATCAAGACCTCACAACAAGAAGGCCTCCAAATCTCGCTCGAAGTCCGTTTTGGGCGCTGGCGGCTCGGTTTCGAAACAGAAAATGAACGAAGACCCCTCTAAGCTCCTCGAGCAGGCCACGATACAGCTCCAGACCGGTCAACCGGATGTGGCACTTTCGTTAGCTCAGCAAGCCCTGAACAATGCGCCGGATAATTCTCCATCTCAATTAGTGGCACTTAATACCGTTGGGGAGATCTACGTTGAACTGGGCGAGATCGATGTTGCGAAACAACACTTTATGCGTGCCATCGAGCTCGACCCGAATGGCACAATCCCTGAGGCTCAAGGAGGCGGTGCTGAGAAGTTCCTATGGTTAGCTCAATTGAGCGAACAGGGTGGGAAGGACAGCGTTCAATGGTTCGAGAAGGGAGTGTCGTCGCTCAGGCATATTATCCAGCAGCTCGAGCAGAAACCTGGCCCTGAGGAAGCGCTTGAGCTGGCCGAGAAGAAGCGCAAGATGGCGAATGCCCTATGCGGTGTTGCTGAGATCTATATGACCGATCTCTCGTGAGTCGCTCTCCTTCCCTTTGCAAGGTTGGCTTGCAGATCTTTTGGTGCTGACTGTCAGTAGGTGGGAAGAAGATGCGGAAAATCGTTGCGAATCACTCATCACAGAAGCCCTCCTTGTCGCTCCGAATGCGCCCGAAGTACTACAGACCCTCGCATCGATCCGTATCTCGCAGCTACGGACAGAAGAGGCTCAAGCAGCGCTCAGGAGGAGTCTCGACCTTTGGAAAGACCTACCGCCTGAGGACTTGTCCATTCCTGATTTTGCGACAAGAATTAGTCTTTCCCGTCTCCTGATGGAGGTCGGCATGGAGCTTGAGGCTTTAGAGGTGCTGGAACGCCTAATCTTGGAGGACGACCAAAGTGTGGAGGCATGGTATCTTGGAGGATGGTGTCTGCAGCTCCTAGCCGGGAAGCAACAAGCACCCAAGGATGCCGATGAAGAGGACGGCAACACCCCAGAGGCCAGGCGCCATGCATCACTCGTGGCTAGCCGCGAATGGCTCAAACAAAGCTTAACGCTGTACGATCTCGTTCAGTATGAGGATGAGAGACTCAAGGAACACGCACTGGAGTTGGTCCAAGAGATGAACAAGGAGATCGGAGAAGATATGGATGATGATGAGGCCGGGGAGGGTGAGGAAGATTGGGAGGACGAGGAGATCGAGGTGGAATCTGATGGCGATGACGAGATGGCTGACTCATAAAAAGTTGGATGTTTTGATGGTTACGAAAGTTCTTTGTCATGATACCAGTATATAAAAGGGCATGTTTTCCAATCCAGCCTACGGCTATTCATTCAAAGGACTCCGATCGCGAACACAATCCAGCAGTAGTCGAACTAATAAGTAGTAGCTGCGATAGTCTCTCAATCAGCAGACGGCGCCGGATAAAGTAGGATCCGACCGCTTTCCCCGGGCGATAACCAGAGCCAAATTTATTCCGGCAATTCGACTTCGAGTGGCAAATAGCTCAATGTGAGTGAGGAGTCGTTATAGAGGTTGCTGAGAGCGTCCTATCTTCCCATACAGGATGGACCTTGTTTCAGCGCCCAGCGGGGAAGATTCCTCGTTGAAGGATCCGGTGGTCCAGGTGGAAGCCGTTGATATGGCCTCCGCAGTATCAAAGGCCGGCACCGCAACGGAGAATACAGCCGCTGCGAAGGAAGAAGTGACTCAGTCTGAGTATGAGACAGATAGCGACGGCTCAGGCGATGAGTGGGAGACTCAGTCTTTATACGAAGACGCTATTCAAGTCCTACGCGACGACCAGCTCCGCGATGGTGGTAAGCACTCTACGATGCCTTCTATATGCGCGCACTGACCGGGTCCTCTTCTTGTTTTAGTACCGGATGCCTGCACATTGGAAGAGGCCGTCGCCTATCGCAAACGACTCCATGAGGTTGGCAAGGCTGCATTTGTTGAAGAAACGCTGGGTCAGGATAAAGTGACTGCGAGGAAGCTTTGTACTGCGTTCGGTATCTTGCCCCCAGCGTTTCTAGCCGATGCGCCGGACGAGGCCTTTCATCCTCTCCTGGCTATCGCGATTTCGCGCGAGTTTTCCAGGCGCCCGAAGCTCCCACAGTATAATACAATAGACGATGCGGTCAAGCTGCTCAAGGAGAGCAAGAATATCGTCGTCTTGACTGGCGCTGGTGTATGTTGATCAAGAGGATTGGTACCCGTTCTTGAAACGTGTGCTGATAGGATACTCTCAGATTTCTACGAGTCTCGGAATACCCGATTTCCGATCAAAGGACACTGGTCTCTATTCACAGTTGGCGCATCTAGGCCTAAGCGATCCCCAGGAGGTGTTTGACATCCAGGTATTCCGCGAGGATCCCAGTATCTTCTTCTCGATCGCGAAGGACATCTTACCTACTGAGAAGAAGTTCTCGCCAACCCACGCCTTTATCCGTGTCCTGCAGGATAAGGGGAAGTTGTTAACCAACTACACTCAGAATATCGACAATATCGAGGCGAATGCGGGTGTTCTCCCAGAAAACATCGTGCAATGTCACGGGTCATTCGCCACGGCTACGTGTGTCAAATGTCAGTACAAGGTCAAGGGTGATGAGATATTCGATGAGATCAAGAAGGGAGTTATCCCTCAGTGTGACTCTTGCCGCAAGCGCATCGCGGAAGATTCGGGGACTAAGAGGAAGCGGAGCAGCAACGGAGTCCACAAGAACCGCAAGGACAATGATGGGGATAGCACTGATGACGACTACGAGATTCCTACTCCTGGTGTCATGAAGGTTCGTGGACATGCACACCCCGCACAATGACTCCCTAGCATATGCTGATTCTAAATATCTTCAGCCCGATATCACATTCTTTGGGGAAGATCTTCCTGATGAATTTGGCCGCCGGCTGCTGCACCATGACCGTGATCAGGTGGACCTCGTTATTGTCATTGGGACTTCACTGAAGGTGGCTCCTGTAGCGGAGGTTCCGGGCGTGCTGCCTCGAACAGTTCCTCAGCTCTATATCTCACGTACCGTAAGTCATATATTCTCCTTATGTTTTTGCGCCCCAGGTTTTACTGACAGGGTCTCAGCCTGTGTCGCATACGGAGTTCGACATCGATCTGCTCGGCGACTGCGACGTGGTGGTGTCTGAGCTTTGTCGTCGAGCTGGATGGGAACTGAAGCATGAAATGATTCCAGAAGACGAGAAGGTGGAAGTGCTTCCAGTGGAGGGTTACGAGTCACGACATGTGTTTAAGGTTGTCGGCGCATAGCGGCGGCGTTTGGTCCTGGTCATCTCTGGCTCTGTGGATTTCAAGGGCGGCGTAAGTTTGGGTTTTTGTTTGAACAGTTTCTGTGGGTCATCTTGTTGGGAGGCATAGTATGTACGAAGGATGGTTAATGGGTGCATAGCTGTATACAGCATGTAGTATGCTTGCTGCTTCGATGTATTTATGTTTTGTTTGACTGGCATCAGCCTGCTTGATAAACCGTCATATTATTTAATTCACCATGCTCTGTTACACTGCAGTATTGTAGATTTTCTTCCTGTATCTGGTATACTGATCAATGTTGTTGTCATTCCACTCATGAGTTGGGTGAGAAATCTGTAGACCATCCTGGGGTAGAAAATGGCGGGTTCCCGGCCAAATCCATCCAATCCACTGGAACAAAAAGAAAATTTATTTCCGCTCCTGTCAACGGCTATTGAATGACAAGAACCCCCAGCATATCAGAGCGATCCAGAAATATTTCTTCTAAAGTCAACTTGGCTCTGTACCACTAACTCTGGTCATTGATCTCTCCTCCAAATACGTGGCGAGCGTGAGTGCAACGAACAATGGAGTATCTCATTCGCTTCGCCCAGGCCCATGAGTCTTTTCGGCAATCCGAGATCCAGGCACTGGCTGACTTGGCGGGCGTGAAACTCGAATTTCTACACTATGATAAGAATGTACGTTTAAATTTTGTCTCCATGTTCCTGAGTCCTGATAGTTCCTCAATCATGCTTTGTGCGGTTTTTTGCCCCGCGTGAGGAACGGAAAATGCCACCCCTCATTGGCATCATCATCATCCTGTCCCCGCACCAATGACTATCCAGCGTCTATAATTCAATACAGACCGCTAACTACCACCACCAGTCCCCATTCTGCATAATACGAGTGCCTGATGAAGCAGCAGCTCGTGCAGTAATTACCCGAAGCATTATAGCCAAGGATATCTTCGAGCTTTGGGGCCAAGGCACCAACTTCGATGAAGTCTACGCCGACGTCCGCAGGCGGACGGAGGATCGCTGGGCACACTACAAGGACTCATCGTTTCGGTTCACCATTGACAGCTTCGCAGGAAAGCGCAGCAGTGAAAAGAAGCGCGAGATCATCCAGTCGTTTTCCTTCCTGGGGTTCAAGGGCCCCATTCGCATGAAGAACCCAGACCAGGATTTCTGGGTCTTCGAGGACTACGGATTGGACCTGAACTCTCCCGGTACGCCTCGTCCTGAGGGCCAAGAGCCGAAGATTATTTATTTTGGACGCTGGATTGCGAATAGTAGTCGGGATGTCGTCAATAAATATGACCTCAAGAAGAGGCGCTATATTAGCACTACCTCTATGGATGCGGAGTTGACGCTCATAACGGCTAATATGGCTCATGCCGCGCCCGGGAAGCTTTTCTATGATCCGTTTGTTGGTACGGGGAGCTTCTTGGTGGCTATGTCGCATTTCGGGGCTGAGACGTTCGGATCGGATATCGATGGACGCAGTTTCCGGGGTAAAGAGATGATGGAGAGGGGTGGGACGATGGGAGTATTGTCAAACTTTCAGCAGTATGATATGGTCGGCAAATTTATGGATGTCTTTACTTCCGACCTTACCAATACGCCTTTGCGCTCCGCTCAATTCTTGGATGGCATCATCTGTGATCCGCCTTACGGTATCCGCGAAGGACTCAGGGTTCTTGGGAGACGCGAGGGCCTCAAAAACGAAGAGGTCATTATCGATGGAGTCCCTGCTCACTAGTATGTCTACGCATTGTCTTCGAATTCAAGCTCCATGGACTTGGGTCTCAGCTAACATACGCCCAGTCGACCTGGATATATTGCGCCTAAGAAGCCCTACGGCTTCGAAGCCATGCTCAACGATATTCTCAACTTTGCTGTCAGAACTCTCGTTACGAATGGACGTCTAGCCATGTGGATGCCAACGGCAAACGATGAGGAGGTTGAATTGGCGGTTCCGATGCACCCGAACCTGGAGGTAGTGAACGTATCTGTCCAACCGTTCTACACTTGTAAGTTCATATGAAGCCATATCAGACAACTTATAAGACCAAGTGCGTGGCTAACCTGTTGATCAGGGTCTCGTCGACTCATCACCTATCGAAGGCTACCAGAAGGACAAGTCTCAGACGTTTCACAAGGCCGGCAAAAGCTGGATGCTCAGGGAGTGTACGCAGACCAACTGAATGAGTTCAGAAGAAAGGTATGCCCTGCACACTCACGATGCATCAATACAGTCCTGACCATTCCATTAGTACTTCATGAAGAACCCGCCCGACAGTTCGAAATCCGGAAGAGAAAGTTCTGCCTCATGAACAGCACTAGAATAGAATATAACCAAATATCGAACAAAAGCAATGACTCTATTACGCCCATCATGATGCAAACCCAACAAAACAACAGAACCGCCTCAATCTATACTTCTTCAAGTATCCCATCAAAGCTTCCCCTTTCCAACCCCAAAGCCCCCAAACTCCCCTTCCAAATCCACACCCTCCTCCCTCTTGACCCTCTGAACTTCCCTCGCCAACTCCTCCCTCAACAGCCTAGCCAGACTCTCCCCCTCCTCATCATCTAGATCCTCCCTCTGCCCACGCCCAAACATCACATAACTCAAATGAGCCTTTCCCTTCCTTTCCGCCGGCCGATCAGGCGGCCTCGGAATAACATGAAAGTGAACATGAGGGACCTGCTGCGCCGCCCTGGCACCTATTCAATTCCGATCCATTAGCAACCAAATACCGAATCAAGTAAATGTTTCAAACGCCTCATCTCAAACATCGGCAATAGGCATGCGGATATGTGAATTCCACAAGCTATAAGATCGACAAACCAAACCGCCGCCCGTCGAGGTTACACAAGCATAGCATGTGTAGATAGACAGAGATAGATAGGTAGATAGATGGTAGTAAGTGCTTAGCAACCGAAAACTCACCATTATTCTGCACCACATTCCAATTCCACAACGAGTCAAAGTCCCCTTGCTCTTCCTCTCCGAAAAGCGTTCGCATCACGACTCGCGAGATGATGGGGAGCCATTGGCCGATCTGGGATTTCCATCGGTCAATCAGTACTCAGAGTATTTCACCAAGACACTGCCTGCCATAACCCGACAAACCCAAATTATAACTGACACACAACATAGCAACTCAATTCAATTCCAATTAAGCAAAGTAAGACACAAGCCCAGAACAACTTAAACTAAAGCTAAAAACTGTTGACAACGTACCTCCCTCCCCACACCGACCCTTACATCCCCCAACCTCTCACAATGCTCCCTCGTCGCAACCAAAACATGTCCCTTCGTCAAAGGCATAATATCCAAAAACGCAAGAACATGCCTAGTGGACAAGATGAGGTGTGCATCGCCAGAGCCTGGATTGCTCAGCTCGGCGAATGATTCCGGGGAAGGAAAGTCAGTAGTGGGCGCCGCCGCAGCCGCTAAATTTAGATGATCATCGTGGCTGGAATTCTTCGGGCGGAAGAATGTCGTTGGTGGGAGGGGCGGGTATTTGTGAGCGATGGCGCAGAAGGGGCATGATTGGTGATGATCTGAGGTCATTTCCAAGAGTTGCTGGGTAAGATGGATGGATATCTGGGGTAAGTGACTGGGGTTGGAAAGTGAGGGTTGGGATTGGTGGTTAGTCGTGAAGTGACTGGGTCCGTTCCTAGGAGCAACGGGGACTAAATATGCGTCCGTGCTTTATAGCTAGGAGGGAAGAGAATTTGATCGTCGCCGGGGGTATTTTGAGTCGGAATTCAAGGCTTTGGTTGCTGTGCAGATGGATAAGGAGACTTGGTTGATGGATGAGACGGCTAGCTGCTTGTGATCCTCGGTGCCTCGGTTCCCAGCTCCATGGTCACTAGCAGTTTGGAAACTTGCCGTATCAACCGCACCTACTTACATAGAAGGCTGATATCTATGTGATGTGCAAGTAGCATCAAGGGCTGGTATACAAACTTCCTGGTAGTTCAAGGCTAACTAACCATTTTTAACGCACATTACCGCTATCCTTCCCACTCTATCCGTGATAAACCCCGCTAACTCAACATGAAAGACACTAATACCAAAAATAAGCCCTTTTCACCCTTCTCTCACCTTGGGTCTATGCCCCGATGCGTATTGTCGTAGCTGTATGGCATTGGTTCATTCCGCACGCCTTGACCAAGATAATGCGGTGGTAGATATATCGTCACGGTCTTGCGGGAGCTGTGTAATAAGTCCGAAGAGTACCCGACGCCGATGAACAAGAACTTTGATCCAAAAATAAGAAGCGAATAAATTTCCGTCCTTGAAATGTCCGACGCCTGGAAGTCACACAGGGTAAGACGGGAGAAGGTTATGTAAGGTATCAAAGCAAGTGCGAAACAACCCAGATACTACCAGAAATGAAGAGAATCGAAGAACAGCAGAGAAAACAAAACCAGATGTGCGCCAGACACCCCTGGAAGAAGGGAAGATGCAAACGTCCGCAACCGAAAACAACAAGATGCCGTTCATAAACATATGCAAGAGGTGCCTAATACCATCACGAATGAAATACCATCATATGGAATCAACAAACTCCTATCCTCGGTCGTGCTGCCTGACGCCGATATTAAGTCACCAGAGGCCCTGGGTTATTTATTCATGGTCTTTCATATAAGAGTAGGGCTCAGATAGTGAGCTGTTGATATACAAGTGGTGGTATTTCTTCGCCCATTGCCGGGTAAGGATGGATGCTAGTCAGGTTAGCGGTTGGTGGTCCAGTGTCAATACTAGATAGAGGCAACATACCCTTCAAGAACTTCTTGCTGGCGTACTTCTTGAAGAACGCCTCATGAGAGACAGGGCGGTGGAGATAATCAATCATTAGGCGGAAGACCGGATCGATCTCTTCTTCAGTATAACCGGCATAATGAGCCAAGGTGGCATCCTAAGTCGTCTATTAGCACAAGAAGCTCGAGATATGTGTGCAAGAAACATACCCAGACACCCCGGTCAAGGATGAGTCGAGCCAGATACATGGCAGCAGCGGCCACATGACTCTGGCGATAGCCCATGAACCTGTGGTCCAGAAGGCTGATTTCCATGAGGTACTTGCCAAGAGTACGGGTTTGGATATCATAGTTGTCTGCTTTCGAAATTCGACGGAGGAAGTTCATGGGGTTGGGGTAGCTCATGTTGTACTCCAGGGTAGCGAGGATGTGCCGTTCAGCATCCAAGATCTCACGATCTGTGAAAGTTCCGTCTGCGACGTCGGTGAAGTTGGCAACGTGTGGCGAAAGGACTTCCTCATATTTGGAGGCGATGAACATAGCGGCGACACCAACCAATTGAAGACGGTCCAGAGCCACCACCTCAGCAGAGAGGAAGCGGTCAATGATGTTGACGGCAAGGAAGAGGGTCTCGGGGAGGAGGCGGAAGCGGGTATGGACCTCGATGAGCCAGTCGACAAGGATGCCGCGCATCTTCCACTCCAGATCAGGTTGGTGTTCGATGTAGTCGGCGTTGGGCAAGGTCTCCAGCTCAAGGTCCTTGAGGTATTCGAAGATATCGACGACGTATTCAGCAACCATCAAAGGATCGTCAAGATCTTCGGCGTCAAGGTCGTCGACAAAATCATCGACAGGCTTTTGCAAAACCTTGGGATCGACCGGAACGTTGACATCCTCCTTCGCGTTGGTGATCTTTTCGGCGACAGTCTTCTGTTCGGTGACCTTCTTCTCGACTTCGACCTTCTTTCGGGGGCGTGGTTCCTCCTCAGCTGCCTTCTCTTGGATGGCCTTTTCGCTGGATGTCCGCTTGGTGCCCGATCCACTTCCGGGGCGCTTTGTTTCTGTGGTAGGCTTCTTGGGGTTGCTGTCCTTGGGTCCCAGGGCAGCGCGTGACGAGTTGTTGCGAGTAAGTTTCTGAACTCCACCAGCCTGCAATGTTGCTTTTGACGTCAGGCCAACCTTCGTAGCAGCTGGCTTCTTGGCCTCCTTGGTCTCTCCATTCTCTGCTTTGGTAACATTGCTCACATCACCAAGGGCGGCGCGTCTACGGGTTCCGGTGGTGGTAGTAGCGGTCGCAGCCTTCTTCGTCTGGAGCGGCTTCTTGGCGGGGGGAGCACCAGCGTCATTGACTGACAGGGCAGCGGCCTTGGCCCGCGTCAGACGCGTCGATGGGCCATTCTCGTCGTTCTCGTTCATCGTGCCTCTCGTACGAAGACTCCGAGCCTGTTGAACAGTTAGAGATATACGCGTGCAAAATGGATCTCCAAGCCCATCGAGCTCGCGACCGAGGATTGCACAACGCGTAGTGAGAGGCCAAGGAGACTTACAGGTGGCATGATGGATAGGGGGGGAAAGTAGAATGAATACAAGGAGGGGCAAGGAAGGGAATAAGAGTAGAGTGCAAGAGTCTGGTTCTGCAGGCAGTTGGAAAGTCTAGTCAGCATTCCAGGAGAGATTACCCCAGTGGAGCTCAAATACCGGTTGCCGGAAGGTAGATTTGCACGTACCACGCGTGAATATGTGTCCAACCCCAATCGATTAGTTTGAATGCAAGGTTCCTCAAGTCGAACGGTCGGGTACTTGGAAGGAATTTGGCAGGAGTGGGCTCAGAATCGTGGCATATATGGCTTTGTTGATGCTATTGACAGGAGCTCGCAAGACCCAAGACACGTAACTTTCCACGGCGTTGACGACCCCAAGGTATGTTTTTATGGTGATATAGCAAGGTAGAAAAGTTGCTTAGAAGTAATGACACGAGAATCCGGCAAGAAAATTGGGTCCTATAAGGGGTGGTGGTCGCCTCCCTGGAGTAGATGATGATGGAGAGGAGTAGGAAAAGGTGGTAAACTTGACAGGGCAAAGAGGATGTTTGGCCCTAGTCTTAGCGTGGAAACTGGCCAGGCTGGGAAAGATGCCCCACAGCACAATCCAGTTGGATCGCGTGGATTGCGGATTATTAACTGTTGTACAACGTCGTGTATATGCAAGCCTGGAGACAATAGTCACGGTCCCCAGGTATTATGGTATGTACGGTGAAGTCCAATTGAGAGATAGTAGTAGGGAGGAGAGAAGTGGAGGGAAAGGAAGAGTGACAGACGGGAAGAGGCGGCAACGAAGGGGGGGAAAGAAGGCAATTAAAGGAAGCAAGTCTATGGTTCTGTATGGGTCGATCGCATGTATGTATCTGTATGCGTATGTATGACGGACGTGACTTTCCTGGCAGAAGTCGCTGTAAAAAGGGCGGAATTGGTGGTGAAAAAGGTGGCAGGCAGGGTGGTAATCATACAGTCACGGTTTACGGGAGTACTCCCTAAGGGAAACAAGGCGGATCCTCATCCATGGTCGATGCCTGAGATGACCCAGGCAGGAAGACACCCTCGACTCTCAAAACGCCCGTCGCGAGCAAAAACGTGATGGAGCGCGGCCACGATCGCCAAAACAATAGCTGGTTGCGCGGCAACCGACCCGGAGCTTTTACGCTTTTTCGTCCCCTTCGGACGTGTTGCCGTGTCGCGCCGTCCCGTGACTCGAGAACTGTGCCACACTTAGTCAGTCTCGGGAGCGGCGGTGCATTTCAAGTCATGTGCCCGGGCATCAAGCCACACCTCCCAAGCCATGCCAGACATTTTTGCTCCGGAGATCGAGTAGAAGTGCGGCTATTGTCACCGGTGCCCCAACAACACTCCAATTGAGCAAGGTGTTGCTGATAGTGGTGTCAGGGACGCTGGATTCTTGCATTGCCTGTTTTTTGTCTTTAATTTCAAGCATGCTTAAGCAGTAGCTTGCTTGGTATTCCTCACACCATTCACGGTACGACATTGCGGTATTGCTTTGACATCTCCGATCACGACCGATTGACATCGAAATCCTTCCAACTTCCTACCTCCGCCAGAGCCATTCAAACTCAATATGCTTCAAACTCGGTTGGCCCTGACGGGCCTTCGTCTTCCGTTTAGAACCTTGTCCTCGGCCGTTTCGTCCCGGGCCTATTCGACTGTCGTCCGCGAGCAAGAGAATCCGTCCGCTGACGAGCCTGCAAGTTCGACGTTTGACCCCAGTATCGCCTTCGCCCCTCCACCCACTCGTGATGACGCCGGTATCCTTCTACGTTCCTATACTCCACGAACCCCCGGTATCAGACATTTGCGCCGACCGATCAATGACCACCTGTGGAAAGGACGCCCGGTGCAGAAGCTGACGTTCCCCAAACGAGGTCAAGCCAAGGGTGGTCGTAACAACTCTGGTAGAGTGACTGTCCGGCATCGTGGTGGTGGCCACAAGCGCCGTATACGAATGGTTGATTTTGCGCGTGACGCTCCCGGTCCGCACGTGGTGGAACGTATCGAACATGACCCTGGTCGGAGTGCTCACATTGCTCTTGTCCGTAGCCAGGAGACCAAGAAACTGAGTTATATCCTGGCTGCGGAGGGTATGCGGGCTGGTGACGTTGTCCACAGTTACATGTCTGGTATCCCAGAGGAACTCTGGAAGAGCATGGGAGGTACTGTGGATCCTGGTGTTCTCGCTGCCAGAACCGCATGGAGAGGAAACTGCTTGCCGCTGCACATGATGCCTGTCGGTACTCTGGTCTTCAACGTCGGTTTACGTCCTGGTCAGGGAGGCCAGCTCTGCCGTAGTGCTGGTACTTTTGCGACAGTCATTGCCAAGGGTATCGATATCAAGGCGAAGCGTGATCATTCTGACGGCCAAGAAGGAGAAGCCGGAGCCGTTGAGCAGAAGCCTCTCACGCAACGCGAGAGGCAAAGAAAGGAGCGCATCTCTCAACATGTTACCATCCGTCTTCAGAGTGGTGAAGTTCGTCTGATTCATAAGGACTGCTGCGCGACTGTTGGCGTCGCTAGCAACCCTAACCACCAGTACCGCCAGCTTGGTAAGGCTGGTCGCTCTCGTTGGCTCAACATTCGGCCTACCGTTCGTGGTCTTGCCATGAACGCCGCCGAACATCCTCACGGTGGTGGTCGAGGCAAGTCGAAGGGTAACGTTGACCCGAAGAGTCCTTGGGGTATGCCGGTATGTATCCTCGCCTCGCTATTCCTTCCTTTGCTTCCAGGCCTCATCCATGCTAATGTCTTCGTTTTTACAGGCGAAATCCGGTTACAAGACTCGTCCCAAGTGGAAGATCAACAAGGCTGTGGTTCATCCCAGAGAGCGCAACCAAGGCAAGCGTCGTCGTGGATACCACTAGACGCCGTCGTGAACATGAAATTCTACTTTATTCCTTGGACCTTCTATAGCTATTTCACGGTTATATCAAATGTGATTCTATCACCGCTCGGGGTAAAAGCTGGGTAAAGCAGAGCATGCATCTTCGGAATCTCCCCATCTGTCGAAGGTCCTTCTTGTGGGTTTAGATGGTGGGAAGTCATTTCCTGTTCACCTTGTTGTACTATACTTTATTTTGTCTTGGCTACCATGGGGGATTCCAGCTGTCTATACTCCAGCTCCTTTGCTTTTTATCCGGGTCTCCTTCATGTGTTGTTTATGCTCCGGCGTTTTTCTTGTATACTACATGGGTTAGAGTACAATCAATCCTATTACACAGTGCACATATATGCTTTGAACAACTCCTTCATTCATGAAAGTTATGTATCCGGTGGAGTGGACAGCAATCAGTCCTGGCATGGCTTAGGGCGGACGCGAAGCCTCATTGGGGTGAACGAGCAGCGGGTCTAGAACAGGCTGAGACCGAGAGAATCAAGCCGAAGCCGGTGGATTAATATCATCGCGCTCAACTAAAACACTACATTCAAACTCGCCTTCACGTCCGCGGGAAAACCGCTGTAAGCTTCGCTCTCTAATGGTCCCGATCCACGCTTCATTTGCATGAACTCTGACTAACAAATTAGGATCCTTGGTTCCGTTCGAGTCCTGTACCGTCCTCGGCCTGACTGACATAAGCTCGATCGTGCACCTACCATCTTTCCCTATAGCCTAACGGCTTTCTAGCTTCTTCTGCGTTCTGTTAATGCATGCCGGTCTTTTTCGCGTGTTCGATGCCTCCAAGTATCCATGATCGAGGCACAGCCCACCTGGCTCGGAAAAGCTGTGCCCACCTTGCAGGCCATTCTCGACACACATCAGCTCCCCACCCGCATCGCGCGCCCGGCCATGGCCGATAATGCCAATCGTCTAACACAGCAGACTCAAGCTTCTCCATCCCAACCACAGCTTAATGCAGCATATGAAGAGGCAGCATCGATTGCCACAGAGCATCACAATACAAGCAGCGATTATATTCCCCGCCCCAAGCGTATCGCATGCGTACTTTGCCGAAGGAGGAAGTTAAGATGCGATGGAAACAAACCCAGTTGCGGGAGATGCTCTCGGTTGGGTCATGAATGCATATTCGATGAAGTGCGCAAGAAAAGCGGTCCCAAGCGGGGTTACGTGAAGCAGCTAGAAGCACGTCTGGGTATGTCCATTGTCTGTCAATACCTGACACTCGATTTCTGATCGGAGGCATGTGGGCGCCGATCTCACCGTCTGCTTCTCTGACATTACACTTATTATGCAGCCCAGGTCGAAACACTACTCAAAAGTCAGGGAGCACAAGTACAGCAAAGTCAGGGCAATAGTCCTATTGCCTTACCCTCAAACAATTCGACTGGCGTGCCCGACACCTCTCCCCAGGATGATGTCCATATGTCATCTCCGGAAGGAGAGACTGATCCTACTTATTCGACTCCCGCATCAAATCATGCAGGAACAGCAAGCGCCAATGAACCAGAAGGTAGATTGATAGGCCTGGGGCTGGAAGAACCCCTACCCACGCAGGAGGTTATTGATGAGCTGCAAGTTTTCCTCCCCACAACTGAGATCTTTATCCACCTTCTAATCATGTACAGGACCACGATATACTTCGAGAAGATACATCTGCGGCTTCCCATGATACATCGCCCAAGGTATCTGGCAGCTTCGAGCCTTGCTCCTGCCTCACGACCCCCTATATGCTTACAGTACATAATGTGGTGTCATGCGGCGTCTGTCACCAACAAGTACTCCAGTCTTCACAGTATTTTTTACCAGCGGGCTCGTAAGTACGCTGAACTAGACGAGTTGGAAGGTCTTGGCGAGCGTGCGTTGTCTACCGCACATTGTCAAACCTGGGTGCTCATCGGCACATACGAATTCAAAATGATGTTTCTTCCTCGAGCGTGGCTAAGTGTCGGGAAGGCTGTCAGACTGGCGACTATGCTAGGTTTAAATGGTATAGACGAAGAGGGTATCAACGTCAAACAGACATTGCCGCCTCCCAAAGACTGGTCTGAGAGAGAAGAGCGAAGGAGGGTATTTTGGATGGCGTTTTGTCTTGATAGATACGCAAGCGTCGGTACTGGATGGCCTGTCTCGTTTGATGAGAGAGATGTCAGTTGCTTCAGCGTCTGCTCTATTTGAAGGGAACAAGCTTGTCTGACTGAGCTCGACAGATTTTCACGAACCTTCCTGCATCAGAGGAATCATTTATCGGCAACGAACCGCAACAAACCGGTCGACTCGCAGACGTACTGGTAACCGGGAATATTGCTACGATGTCAACATTTGCAGGAATCGTGATATTAGCTTGCATGTTCGGAAAGAATGTAGCACATCTGCATCGACCTGATCCCCAAGACAATGATCATGATCTCAATGGCAGGTACTGGCAGCGGCACCGTGCCTTTGATAATCTTCTACTTCATTTTGCCCTCTCCATGCCAAGTCATCTGCGACTGACAGTCTTAACGACCGATCCAAACATCATATTCTGCAACATGGCTGTCCACACAGCAACGATTTGTCTACATCAAGGGGCGATATTCAAAGCTGAAAAGAATAGAATGCCGGAACAGATTGCCACTGAGAGCAAGCGACGATGTATATTAGCTGCCGATCAAATCTCCAACATAATGAAGATGATCAGTCATCTGGATCTAAGTGTTGTCAGTTATAGCATAACTTCTATTCGACTTCATTGTGCTAACACAAAGCAGATGGATCCATTTATGGCTTTTTGTATATACGTGGCTGCGCGCGTTTTCATCCAATACCTGAAGTTTCGCCCCAATGACTCCGCTGCACGTTCATCTCTCCAATTTGCCTTTTCTGCACTCGATGTCTTGAAACAAAAGAATCCACTGGCTGAATCATTTGTGATCCAACTTGAACTTGATATCGGTGGGACTGCCTTTGGAGATGTTCGGACTCCGAAAAGGATGTGCTTCGCGTCCCATATACCACATACTATGGTAAGCATGCCTGTTATACCAGTGACGGCGATCTGCTGACCAGAGACCATTCTAGGCTGGCGCGAGCAATCCACAGAATGCAAACCAACCAAGAGTTCAGGCCGATAATTCAATCCCAGATCACCATCAAAGCACTTCTGGACCCACACCCACTGCACATGCATATCAACAGACTACCACTGAGATGCCACCAGGCCGACCAAGCACAGCGATTCAAAACGGCACCAATACCTCCAATCACGCAGCACCGACCAGAAAGGGCAATCCTATATCAAATCTGGATACGCACATGCCTCCTACATCCAACGACAATGCCAACACCAATCAGTCAACCAATTCCATACGTTCACAGCTAGCTTCCACTCTGAACAACCTCAACATGGGACCAACGACATACCCCTCCTCAGCACAAGCCCCTATTCAGCCAGATGTGTTCTACCCCAATGTCTTTGCTCCGTTCCAATACGAATCCGACACCTCCTTTCCCAATCAGCCAACTCAGCTTGATCCGACGAGATCCGAAAACCCCCTCACTACTGATTCTGCGTGGACTACCTCAGAGAACCCTATACCTGACCTCAGCGATGAAAATCTAGTCAATAATCCGCCTAATGGCCCCGAAGCTCTCAGCGACGCTCAGTGGGCATTACTCGCCTCGGGGGCCTGGAAGTCGTGGCAAGGGTTGAATTTTATGTCTTGAGCTTCAGCTTGGGAATGGAAGCAGTGAGCTCTTTGCGACAAAGTGGCTGGTGATGTGATCTACGATATATAGATGATTAATGATTGATGCTGAATATGCTGTGGGCTCTTTTTCTTCGAAAATCGTATTGAGCGTAGCACGTTTACATCTCCTTCGCAATATCCGCGAACCAAACAGAGTATATCAAACCAGCATAGGAATGGACTCTATACAAGACATGCAATACAATGCTTAATATCTACCGTAGACATCATAAGCTCAAATAAACATCCAACGCACCAAACGCCACACGACACACATACACAAAGATGCAAAGTAATATCACCTTTTCGAACCATGGATACCGCCGTTTCTACAAACTTCCACCCGCAGCCCCTACAATTCTCAAACCGCCTGGCCCCGATCCATCCGCAGTAGTAGAATATGCAAGCCAATACCTCGAAGGATGCCACGCGACAGCCGGAATCCCCGAATTGGCATTTCCTCCCGTAGGAACGGTATGAACACTCTCACCCGTTTCCGCATGGAAGATCTCCAACCCATTACCACCACAGCCTACCTCATCACAAGCGCCGCAGATGAATCTACCGTCGAAGCTCCAGCTCACGCCACGCACGGCTCCACCGTTATTGCTCGAGACGGTACGCTTGCAGATCCAGTCTGTTGTATCCCATAGGGAGATGAGGGCGTCGCTGCCCCCGACGGCGAGGTAGCGACCTGTGGGTGCTAGGGAGATGGAAAGGCAAGCAGAAGTGTGGGCGTGAAGGGTGTGGAGGACGTCAAAGGACGGGTAAGAGATGATTTTGACGGTGCCTTCGCCGGTCGTGGCGAAGAGGTGGAGGTCTGGGGAGGAAGGGGTGGACATGTGATGTGAGAAGGTCGTTGCGTTTGTTTGGATGGGTTGAGGGTGTGGTTCTAGGGCTGTGTAGGTTGATGGTGTGAAGGTGGGCTTCTGTTGTTGTTGCGTCGCTGCAGCGTTGAGTGGTCCGTCTGGGTGGATGGTCGGGGTGGAGGGGGATTCGACGGAGATGGGTATGAGGGTGTCGTCCTAGAGATATTGGGCGTTTGGTCAATTGACAAGTCCCTGATGCTGAGCGCATTGGTTTCGTGCTCGTGTGTGTTTTGCTCACCTTCCTGCCAACGATCATTACCCTTCCATCAGCAGACCAGGACAAGGTGAATGCCTCGCCTCCGACGTCTAGACGACTGACGCAGGTCTTTGACCGGACATCCCAAACGCGAACGGTTCCATCCGTAGAGCAGCTAGCCAGTTCGGAGTCTCGAACGGGGTTGAACACGACTTTCTCAATTCCAGCAGTATGGCCGCGCAGTTCGGTGGAGTATTTCACTTGCGAACGCTCAGGATTCCAGATTCGAAGGGTACGGTCTGCGGAGCCGGTGGCAATGAGTTGGCCGGTAGGGTTCCAGGCTATTGTGCGAATTCTAGATTTTCCGTCGTCCTCCATCATCAGTATGCGTTTTGCTTCTCTGCTGTGATAGTAATATGTCGGATGGGCATATACGTATGGGAACCAGGCCCGCGAGCAGCGGGATCATGGTAGTTTTGTGTTTTTAGACCACCAAATGCAAGACCAAACCGGTCTTTCGGGAGGAGGTTCCGTCGAGGAGGCGCCATTGTCAAGGTAGTACTTGTGTAATTGTTGCTGCTGCTGGCGGGTTCGCGATTGCGGCAGCAGCAGCCTGAACTGATGCCCCGCGGGGCTGTGGATGGTAAAGTGGGGAGAGAGTTCCTTGCAAAAAGAGTGGCGAAGAAGTCTTCAGTAACGAAAGTAATTTCTAGGACCAATTGCGAAATGGCGCTGCCGGATTGCGGGGAGATTCGAGAGAGCTCTTGCGCGCGATGTTCGATCGATGCCCGCAGAGACCGTGAGGCGCGTTCGGTGATTGGCTGGAGCTCGGCGATAGAAGATCACAATCGAGATGACATAATGCTGGCACTCGCCAGTTGGCTAGGCGTCTGACCTACAGGTATAGTATTGAGAGTTGTCAATTTTTTAAGGACACTGTGAGGAGTGTCATTCTTGATATACAGTTCGGTACTTTGTCCAATTCATTCCATAACACTCTCTCTTGGTAGACTTGTCCGAAACGTGCAGTCAGTATATGGTCAGGTGACCCGGCGGAACATTCCAAGCAGCAATTATCCTGCATATCAGCCAGTAGTATACGGCGTAACTATACAAGAGCTTTTTGCATCTGTGTGCTTAAATCCATCAGATATTACTTATTGATGCATCACGCCTTCTATTAGCCGTCCAGTGTGAGTCGAGCAGCTATTGTATAGGGCCGAAAATTCTCTCCGAGCTCAACCACAAATTTCATCTACCGGTATTCAAGACTTGAGCTAGACTGCCGACGGTCGAATCGACGGATCGCCAGGCTTTGTTATAATCTTCTCAGAAGCATGCTCGACTTTGAAGATGATGCGTCTAAGCGCGAAAAATGCTACACCACCATAGGCCAACTGCCTGCTTTTATCGATCCCAAGCAGCCGCCCACGAAACGGTCCCCCTGCTCGGCCATCCTTGGCCATCCATTCGTTCACACGGTAAGATACTCTGTACTCTTTATATATTTCCCGGACTATTATCACTAGGCTCTTATACTGTGGTTGTGCTGTGACAGTTCCTCATCATATGTATGTTGACACAATATTAGAGAAACGCTAACTAGTCGATGCGTAGGTTGAAGTCATTTTGCCAAAAGACATTTTCTCGCATGTGCAACCCCAGCTGCAAAAGCTGCGATATGCTAGAGTTTTTATGTCGCTATCTTCTCTGCTCGAGGGTGAATTCTTCAATACTTATATCAAGACCGGTAATTATTGCGTTTTTCACTCTTCGTCGCCTCCTGGCTGGGGCGCCAAGGCCGATATAGTAGCTAACATACAAGGTATAGGGAATATTCTCATGATATCAGAGGGACGCTCAGGCTCAGACAGTGTCTTCACTCTTAAAGATGGTTTGTAGTCTCCGGCTGTGGTTTTCCTAGCATACTCAGCTAACAGGCCCCCTAGGCATCCTAAAATTGGAGCTGAGCAAAGAAATCTTCGAAAGAACAGGGCTTACAGGGAAGCCGGTTCGCAGCGGAGGAAGAAAGCATGCAAAAGAGAGGTTCAGTATGTTCTTTCCATACCATGCCCCCCAGACCGAGGAGACATGCTGACAACAAGCCCTGGTAAACAGTCGTGGAAATCAACCTTCGACTTCCCTCCATGCTTCACGGCAAGAAGGGCTTCGAGAGAATTGTATGGGCTTTCAAGAACGTTTTGAACCAATCAGTAGCCTGGCTATTCTTCGATCTTACAACTAGCTCGGGTGGCGTTTCAGAAGGTACTATACCTCATCAGGCGCTCTTCTGCGGGTTTCTCCCAGGGCCATACACTAAAACATGAGCAGATGACCCCTCCCTAAAGGGAAACCAGCCCCAAATCATCAATTGCCAGCCTATTCTCACCGAGCACTCCAATATCCTTGTCCCTCCTCTCCCTGGAGCAGAAATCACAGACGAGTCCCGCGGAGCCGCAGAACTAGAAGACCACTGCAACGAGCTCTCCGAATGGCTTGCAATGGTATCCCTCGAATCGCCTCGCGTGTCGGCTCATGACGATGTGGATCCCTATCTATGTCGTTACAGTGTACCCGATTTGGATAATGCAAAATCCACCAGTCTTGTCAGCCTGAAGTGGCAAGGACTTGTCCCGTCTCGTTGGATCATCGAATTATTGGTCGCGTTATTGTATGCTCCACATGCCCTGTTATGACACCCATCTGATATTGAATAATTTGCTGACTTGGCTTCTTTGCGTTTTCAGGAAGGAAACTGCTCCCAAGTCTCTTGCCCCGTACGCTTGGTTCGCGCTTTCTGCGAGTGCGCTGGGAAGAGAAGCCGTGGAGGCACGCGATGGGTACACGGTTATGGTGCTTCCGGCACATGTGCCAAAGCAAGATGTGTTGGGGGTGCAGGCAGATAGTCCGTCTAAGGGTAATGGCCGGCACTTCATATGTTGGGAGTACGTCGGTGCTTCGATTCTATGAACTGTTTTATAGTATGCCGCTGTCCGGTGGGCTCAGGAGTGCAGTTACTGTTGTTCAATATACCCCAAAATCTGAAAAGTACCTACTACATCTTTGGGCATCCATTACATTATGTGCGACTCTAATGATCAAATGATATTATTCCTCTAGCTATTGAAGTTGTTCTGCATGTCCGTTGGTATCCAAAATCATAATCCCTAGTTGCATTCAATTTATCCTTTGTCCCAAACTCCATACCCAATACACGCCAAACGATATTAAGAACCCTTCAAGCAAATATAAAGTACTGACCAAGACATGAATAACAGTTATCCGATGAGATCATTAACCATGTCCTGCAGAACAGGTCGATTCCCAAGGACTCTACCACCGCTCATCAACTTAGCGCCCCTTTTAGCAGGTTTCTTCAAGCCAGTCGGCGATAGTCGAGTCTGAACGGGACCGAATGGACTGCGGGTCGTCTTCTTGGATGACACAGGGCTCTTGCCCTTCTTTGGACTAGGTGTAGACCTGTCCAGACAAGACTGCGATGGTACCATTTCAGATTCGAAGATATGATCCGTCATGGCATCTCTAGGCAGATCATAGACCCATCCTCGCTCTTGGACTAGTTTCACGTATTTTCCAAGGAGCTCGTTGCCATCGCGGAGAGTACTCTTGCTTCCGACGACGAGAAGCTTAGTCCGTGCTCTGGTGAATGCGACATTGACGCGTCTCCAGTCACGAAGTAGATCACCGACGTTTTTGTCAGTGTTGCTCCGCACGCAGCTCAGGATGATGACTTCCTTGTCTCGGCCCTGGAACTTGTCTGCCGTATGCATCTCAAGCTCCGGTAGGTAGCGGCTGAGGTGTTGTTTTAGGAGTGACAGTTGGCTTCGATAGAGGGCTATGACACCTATGCTGCGTGCCGGGATGCCGCAGGAAATGAATGCTTCAACGAGTCGGCTGCAAATAGTTGCCTCAGTAGGGTTCACAATCCGTGAGCCGTTTGCCACATCCAGTGCAGGTATGGAAAGCGTATCTGTGTTAACAAGTCGAGTTTTGGCAGACGGTTCGACCAGATCCTTGAGCCAGCAACGGCCTTGGCTTGTGCCCAAGCAAACCTGTCGCTGACTACGTGGCTGAGGGAAGGTACTGGGATGATGTTGCTTGAGACCGCCAATATTGGGAACAGTGAGTGAGCGCACTGCAACATCTGCAGTCCCACATTTGAGACGACCAGAATATATGAGGGTGTTAGATAGAAGCATGATGTCCTCACACATTCGATACTGGTGTTCCAGATTGACAACGGAATCGGGGTGGGAGTCAGACAGCAATTTAAAAAGACTGACATCCAGGCCGCCTTCTTGGGCCTCCTTATTCTGCACCAACGGAGGCAGTTGATAGTGGTCACCAACAAGGATAAACGTCCTAGCCATTCGAATAGGTCCTAGGCACACTGGAAGCGTGATTTGAGAAGCCTCATCAACTATGCAATAGTCGAACATATGTTGGGTGAAGATACCATGACTGACCCCGAGGCAGGTAGTCGCCACCACCTGCGAATCTTCGTATGAGGCTTTCAGCTCTTCCATTGTGCTTTTAGGCACCGCTGCCAATTCAGCAAACTGCTGAACATCAGGATGTACTTTTGCAGGAGCCCCAATTCGCAAGATACGGAAGTTATCCTCCTTGATTTTCAGTAGGATGTTATCTACCGCCGTGTGAGTGTATGAGGTCAAGAGGACGCTCTTGCCTTGTGCCACTAAGGCACGAATGATATGAGCAATGGTGGTAGTCTTGCCAGTACCAGGCATTCCAAGGACCAAGGCATAATCTTCAGCACACATGACCTTGTCGATGGCTTGTCGCTGATCGACGTTTAAGGCTGCCTTGTCAGATTCAGACAAAGTATATGCAGATGCAGTGGTTTTGAAAGCTGGCGCCTCCCGTTTAACGATCAACCTTCTCAGCTGTCTAGCCTGAAATAGATCCCGTTCCATCATGGAAACGAGGTTCGTTCGAACAATTGCCATGCCGTTACTGAATTCGTCCTTGTCTAAACGGTAGACCGGCTCTTCTTCCAACTCAGCCGGTGACGGGGAGGCACCGTCCTCGAGTATTTCCATTATACCCTTGAACGACTGGTTACGCGTAGCATCAAAGCCCCTAGCTCTCGTTCTGGCGTTATGTAGCCTCCTGTCTACCGCGACGGTAATGTGTCTTCGGCTGACTTGCACAACGTATCCATTTGCAAGAGCAAAGTGGCCCTTCTCATCAGAGACCACGATTGGTTCTCCAAGTGTGAGCTGGGATTCAGTAAATGAAAATGATGGGTGGGCTTGTTTTTTGACGAAAGTATAGCGATAGCGATTAATCTTGGGTCCATCTTTCTCCTCGTAGGAGGAATTAGGGTCGATCACGACATTGCCAAAACATCGACCCAAAGCCTCGCGCTCGCTGCTAAGCATGGTCCAAAGCTCGCGCTTGAACCGAATCATGCTTTTTTCCTCTTTGGTCAACAAATCATCCCATTTTCGAAAGAAGTCGCGATCATCAGGAGTCAGGTGGTCCATGGCGTTGACAAAATCATCACCAAGACCGCTAGTTTCACCATCACCATCATCTGCAAGCTTATGGTAGATGAAACAAGGTGTTTTTGAGTAGCACTTGTTGCAAAATGAGGACTTCTTGGCCATCGGCGGCAGGTGCGTTCTCTGGCGCATGTATCCGACTATGCGATTTCGCTGCTGGATCATCTGCAGGAGCTCATGCCGGATGCCACGAATCCGGAATATTTTCGTTGTTTCGAGGTAATATAACAATCCAAAGGTACATTCCACATCTACAGGGCCGCGTCAGTTTCTATCGATAATGGGGTTTAACACCGGTAGGGGCTCTCTTACCGTAGCGATCAGAAAGCAGCAAAGTATACAGAGCCGTCTGTGCCCTGTGAGCCTGATTTGTATCCCTATTGCCTGTTTTGAGCTCAAGTGGTACGACCAGGTTTTTATCGCTCTCGCCGTCATGACAAGCGACTTGCACAGTGGCATCAACGTTGCCTTTGAGTCCATACATTGGAGACCAAATATGCTCCTCGACTTCGAGAAGCTTATTGATACTTAAACTCAGCTTGGAGTTGCCACGGTCCTCAACAAGCGATTCCGCCTTTGGAACAGTCAGTATAGCTATCACGAATGGTAGCTGGTTTAACTTACACTTGGCTTTAACCTGAGGAACCGCTCTGCCCAAGCCTGCACGCCCGGTATCCGACTCATCATATATTCAACAGCCTCCGGAATAGTCATGCGGATCAAGTATAGATCCTCGATGCGCTTGACAGTCACGCCTTCAATCAAAGTCCTTAGCGAGTTCGTATCCCATTTGTTGAGCTTGATTGCTTCTTGAAACACCTCATGAAATATGTTCCCAAAAACTTGCGCTTTGCCTAGATCGGACGTGTACTTGATTCGATCCTGCAGGACGGCGCGGCGCTGGCAACTAATCGAGTCTGCCACGACAGTTGCAGAGACCAGGTGGTCCGGATGGAGAATAACCATGTTCCTAGAATCATCCACGATGCAATGTCCTGTGGCATCGAAATCCCCGATTAAATGGATATATGATTCCTTGACGCATGGACACTCGCACCAAGACTCTCGAAGGATGACGACTTTCTTTTCCTTCGACCTCTCATCTTGTACAGAAAGCACCTTTTCTTGATGTCAGTGGGAATGTAAACCTGTTAGGTTTTATGGTGACAGACCTGTTCTGGCTGGACGCGCCCTTTGATGGTCTTATACGCAGACTCAGCAATATCAACAATAAGGTAGCGCTTGATGGCTTGTCGGCTTCTGACGTTCTATATATGGGCCTTAGTAAGTATGTAACATATAAACCCACTAAGAATGACAAACATCGTTTGTTGCATCTGCTCCTGAATGCACCATGGATTGTTCGATGGCCTCAATATCCAAGCCATCATCGTCAAATTCATCACCAAAAGATGCATCTTGTTCTCCCTTCTTCTGAATGAACGCTTCAGAAGTCGCGCCAAGATAATTCCCGGATTTGACTTCTGGAATTGATTGTCTGAAAGCTGCTGGCCTCGTAAAAACGGGCTTTGCCATATCAGTGCTCTGCGACTCTTCGCATTGAGCGAGAAGATCCCCCATACTGTCCGACAACCCATCAAAATCATCGTCAAATTCATCAGCATCAAGGGCATCAACATCATTAGTCGGTTTTTCCACATTAATTTCCATAGCCACCGCATCAGTCTCTGTCCATTCCTCAGTCAAAGCGCGGGCCTCTGTTGAAGCCTTGTTGTTCACAGGTTCACCACTCAGAGCCTTGTCGTTAAGGTGAGAGGAGCCGGCATCCACAAATGGATCCATCGAGGCTTCTGCAAGATCGAAGAAGTCCTGGTCAAATTCATCGTCCCCATAATCTGATGAGGACTCTTCCAACGGTTTCCTGTCTTCGGGGGCAGCATGAATAATCCTGGGCTCGTGCACTTGGCTGGTTATCTTCGAGGCTTGTACTTGGCTCTTTCTATCCTCGGTCGGAGATTTTGATCTGCCACGCCTGTCTTGGTTGCGTGCTGGGATAGGAGACGAGTCAGTTGTGTCCGGTAGCGGCCCAGGTGCCTTTTTCAAAGTCTTTTCGATTTCCTCCACGAGAGAACTGATATTGGGGCCTTGGTAGTTTCCAGGGTTGACAACATTACTTCTCGTTCTTGAGAAAATGGTTCGTCCTGCACCAAAGTTTTCCTTGTCGATCCTTCTTCGCTTGGTCTTCGAACTTGGCCATTCTGCCATACAGCTATTTGATCGTCTAAGACCTGAAGAATCTCGACTGGTGCGCACTGACGCTGGTGTTTGCGGTGAAGAAGAGAGAAGATTTGTGAAGCGTGGCCGAAGTTGCTCGCCACTGCCATTGGCAAGTGTTTTGCTCACATAGCTGTTCCACAGGTCAGCAGCGAGGTCATGCTGCGGAGTCTTCATGAGTGTCTGAGAATTCTGCAAATCAATTGATCCTTTGCGCCTGCTTTTTGAAGTCCCTGCCAGAGGAGAACTAGTCGGGGATGAGCTGTGGCGGCGCTTTTTACCCTGCGCTGCAGGCGTCTGAGACATCCTATCAGGATTTGAGCTTGCAGGCACATGCTGCCAGACAACGTAATCTTCTGGGGTGAATTCCGGCATAGGAGCATGGATGAAAGCATCCTCTGCATTGTTGATAAGGTCCGCAAGAGGGATTCTATTTCCTGGTGTGTGAGGGCATTCCTTCGATGCCTTTGGTTCTTCTGGCTCCGTTGTTTGATTTTGATTATTTGCCTTCGATTGGTCGGTTTCCATCACTCCGTTCAACCAAGATGTCTGGTTCTCCTTGTTCGCATGGCCAGGTGCTAAGGAAGTCTTCTGAGGGGTCTTGTCTGGGGTTGGTCCATTTTGATGGTTATACCGAAAAGCGTTCAATTTCGACCGTGATTGCGAAGATACCCTGTATGTTCCGTTGCCTGTGTTCATCGTGTTTTATAGTTGGCGTTCTTCGGGAGCTGGGGGGCAATGGGGCATCTCGAGAAGAAAGGCCTAGGCGGTTAGCAGGAGTATGTCAAGTGGATCCTCGATCATCTGAATAATTCCGCAAACAATAAGTACCTTTATTTTATCGACTGGCATTAGAATTCCTTGTCAACCGAGTCATAAGTGACAGGTTCAAGACAGAGTGCTAATGCAGACCAGAATTGGTTCAATGCACGCAATAGGAGCATTGCCGATGCGCGATATGCGATAAGCCAATTTAATTGGTCTCGAACGCGTCGCGCGTCGAGTGCTCCTGCCTCAGGCATACTACTGTTAATGCCTGTGACATCAGGCCGAAAGGCGGCAAGGAAATTTGCCTGATCGGGCCTAGCGGCAGAATCCCAGCAGTCATCGGCCTTTTGCGGCTTCTGAACATCAACCGCTTGACCGTCACATCACCCCTCCACCTGCCGCTCCTGCCGCTCCAACGAAAGCAGTGATATTTGAAATCACTCAATTGGGTCGACTATTGTCGTCGCTGGTCGAACGGATTCCTAATTTCGGCATACCAATCCAGCGGTCGTTGCCTCGCCATACCCGACAGGGATCCTCACCCGCCACCGCCTGTCCCTTATCATCCACGTTGAAAACTAGGGGTTTCTGAATTGCAACAGACCCTCCGCACATTCACAATGTCTGCTCGTCCGTTGTCGCATTGCCTTCGCGCTCGCTGTGTCCCCCGCCGGGCCCAGAACATCCAGGGCTTCTCGACCCGCAGCAACCTCCGCGGTGACCACTATGACCCTCCTACCGGCTACCTGTTTGGCCTCAAGCCCGGCCAGAAGTATGTGAAGGAGGGCTGGGAGAACATGTGGTACTATGGATTCATCGGCAGTCTTCTCGTTGCCGGTGTCGCATACGTCTTCAAGCCAGACACTTCGTATGTCAATTTCTCTCCCTCGTGTGACAGCTGAAGTAGATTGTTTTAAGATCTTTCGGCGCGTCACAACAAAACCTTTCACCGCTTCAACGGAGTCGAAGATTAGATGCTGACGTGACCACAGGATACAAACATGGGCTCTGGAAGAGGCTCGCCGGCGGCTGGAGGCCGAAGGCATTCTGGAGGACCCTGACAAGGTCCAGCGCAAGTAAGGTGCTTTTGGTCCGGAAATATCTTGTACTTTGTACATAGAGCGGTCGGGCGTGGAAGACAATCTTCGTTCGAGTGGTGTCAATAGGCACATTACGTCCGACCCTAGACAGGGCTTTTCTATTTCATTTCACTGTTCGCCTCCAATTTCCTGCGTGTATCTGTCATCCTATATCCTGAATTCTTTTCGTTGACATGCTTGCAATGTTTCAAAAACGGGAGAAATAGATGTTTGTGCCTTATACATGGGTTGTATGATGTGTATCTCGGTTTTCGGCTACGTTCACACTGAATAGCAATCTATTATCTTGGTATTATACAACAAGAAGACGGTAATTATAATATATATGGCGTAGTATTTATAGATATCATATGTGCTGAGTCAAATGCCATGACTGCCTATACTTCTGGGTATATATCCGTTCTTCTGAGTAGCGGCATCTCTCTCCTGACTTTAGCAAGGAGATCTAGATCAATGTCCGCAACCGCGATCTGCGGCTCCTGGTATTCATCGCCGAGCTTGGCAACAACTTCCCCCCATGGGTTGACGATCATGGAATGTCCGTAGCTTCTCCTCTTCTCGTTGTGAGGCCCAGCCTGAGCTGCGGCAATCACATAGGACTGTGTTTCGATAGCTCTGGCGCGTAAGAGGGTCTCCCAGTGTGCTGTTCCGGTAGGAACCGTGAAAGCTGATGGATATGTGATTATCTGAGCGTTCTGTCTTCTGAGAGCCAAACTAATCTCAGGAAAGCGCAGCTGTGTAAGTCTACGTGAGCGAGACGCCTTGCAGTTTGAACGGACCGCTTCAGCTTACATCAAAACAAATGGACAAGCCAACTCGCCCAACGGGCGTCTCGAAAGGCGGTAGTATCTCCATCCCCTTCTCGACACTCCTTCATCTGAAGTTAGCCGACTTCAATCACGCCACATCTATACACTAAACTTACGCGCTTTCTTTCAATACTGGTCCACCCTTAATATCCACATCGAATAGATGGACCTTCTGGTAGCGTTGTGTGATATTGCCCTGTTCATTGATCCAAATGAGGGTATTCTTGATCCTCCCGTTCGCCGCCGGTTCGTGTATCCCTACATTGATGTGCAGATTGGCCAATTGCGCCTCTTTCTGGAGACCCAGTACAAACTCACTGTCTTGTACAGAGCGTGCGAGTGAGATGGTCTCTGCAGGCGATGATGCGATATAGTCTGAAGCCTCAGGAAGAAACAATGCCTACTAAGATGTTAGATCGATATCGATACTGGTAGTATAAACCAAGCGTAATTGACTTGTGAGCACAATACAAAAACTTACTTTAGCTCCAGCTGCGGCTGCTTTGCGTACCAGCGTCTGGCATTGCGCCAAGTTGGCCGCTAGACTTGCAGTTGAGCATAGTTGCCCCACGGCCTGTGAGATAAATATATCATATCAGTGAGAACTCCACAAACATAGTAGAAGGACATCTACTGAGGCATTAAGCGCTTACTGTGAGAACCATGTCTATGAGCTACTAGTCACTTGATTTCTGTAAACGGAGGGTGAAATTGTCTACGGGCGATTCAGAGGTTGATGACGGAACATAGCATGCTTATCACGAGAGAGCCCATGGCGATGCCCGTCGGCACTCGGCAGACTTTCCCGATCAGGACCATCGTCTCGATCCCGCTTCAGCACGCGGATCCAGATCCGAGCAAACGTCACGAAGTGCACCAACGGCCTGAAAAACCGACTTGGGCCGCAGATTAAAACGACCTGCCAGGAGTGTGGTCGCTATACAGACAAGATGAAGAGTTTACGGCGAGACTTCTCGTCGAATCCGCAGGCAGCAAATGTCACCAGCAAAGTCTTCGTGAGATCCACGAAAAGCGGAAAAGTTCAAAAGATCGTTCGTGAACTTTACCTCAGACAAGACATTCCTTGCTCGTCTAAGCTCTGCTCGACTTGCGCATCTACTGCACCAGCAGATGCCAATGGAAACAGTAAGACAAGCGGATCAATATTTTGCTTCGCTTGATGGCTAATGCGACACAGTCACGCCTTTCGTGCTCTCGGAGCAGCCCGCGGGCACCAGCGCTTTCCCCCGCGGGCACTACCTTGTCCCCGATACGAATGCATTGCTGAATGGCATGGATCTTTTCGAACATACAGGAGCCTTCTACGATGTTGTTATCCTCCAAACCGTCCTCGAGGAACTGAAGAACCAGTCCCTGCCCCTCTACAACCGCCTGCTCTCTCTGATCAAGACCGACGAAAAGCGGTTTTACCTTTTCTTCAACGAGTTTCGACTGGAAACCCATGTCCGGAGAGGACCCGATGAGTCGATAAATGACAGGAATGACCGAGCTGTGCGAACAGTGGCGAAGTGGTATGCGGAACATCTCAAGACCACGGTGAAGAAGGGGAAGAAGAACGACATCCCGGCTATCGTTGTCATCACGGACGACAAGGAAAACTTGCGCAAAGCAAAGGAGGAGGGAGTAACAGCATTGTCACTGTCAGACTATGTGTCCGGCCTAGAGGACTCAGACAGGCTACTTGACATGATCAACGAGTCTCGGGATGCAAGGGAAGCGAAGGGCGCACGCGGCGAGCTTTTCTACCCCGAATACTACTCGATGTCCAAACTTATGACAGGCATTAGAGCTGGAACTTTGCACCAGGGAGTCTTCAATGTCTCGCCGTACAACTATTTGGAGGGCTCTGTCAATGTCCCGGCATTCGACAAGCCCTTGCTCATTTTGGGCCGCGACAACAGCAACAGAGCCATCTCTGGGGATGTTGTTGTTATTGAAGTACTTCCCAAGGACCAATGGAAGTCGCCATCTACAAAGATCGTCGATGAAGAGGCGGTGACGAAGAATGACAATCCTGATACCGATGATACCGAGGCAGTGGTGTCGGAGAGGGAACGGAAGGCCTTGCAAGAAGAGGTCAGGAAAGCCCATGGAAAGAGCTCGGAGGGAAAACCACAACCGACAGCCAAGGTGGTTGGAGTCATGAAACGCAACTGGCGTCAATATGTCGGACATGTCGATGCCGGTTCGGCAGGTGCTCAGGCTAGCAGCGGTCGCCGCCAGCAGACCGTCTTCGTCCTCCCTATGGACAAGCGTGTACCTAAGATCCGCGTCCGTACTAGACAAGCTGGTGATCTTATGGGTCAACGTATTCTTGTCACCATCGACGCCTGGGACCGTGATTCCCGATACCCCACCGGCCATTTCATTCGCTCACTAGGAGAACTGGAGACCAAGGGTGCGGAGACAGAGGCTCTGCTCCTTGAGTATGACGTTCAGTACAAGCCATTCCCGAAGGCTGTTCTCGACTGTCTTCCCGCCGAGGGCCATGACTGGAGGGTACCGGCTAGCAAGGATAATATCGGCTGGAAGGGACGAAGGGACCTTAGAGATCTCCTTATCTGCAGTATCGACCCGCCAGGCTGTCAAGATATCGATGACGCGCTTCATGCACGACCATTACCGAACGGCAACTTTGAAGTCGGTGTCCACATTGCAGATGTGTCTCATTTCGTCAAGCCGAACAATGCAATGGACCTGGAGGCCAGTCTCCGTGGAACAACAGTCTACCTAGTCGACAAGCGTATCGATATGCTGCCCCATCTTCTCGGTACAGACCTTTGTTCTCTCAAGCCCTACGTTGAGCGATACGCCTTCTCCGTTTTGTGGGAGATGACACCCAACGCAGAAGTCGTTTCCGCAGACTTCACCAAATCCGTCATCCGTTCTCGCGAAGCCTTCAGTTACGAAAAGGCGCAGAAGCGCATCGACGATCCTACGCAGAAAGACGAACTTACTGAAAGCATGCGCACTCTGCTTCGCTTCTCCAAGATCCTCCGACAGAAGCGTATGGACGCAGGTGCGCTGAACCTCGCCTCGCCAGAAGTCCGGATTGAAACCGACAACGACGAAGTCGGCGACCCTCTCACGGACGTGAAGACGAAGGCCATGCTCGAGACCAACAGCCTCGTTGAGGAATTCATGCTTCACGCCAACATTACCGTTGCTTCCAAGATCTACAGCACCTTCTCCCAGACCGCCATGCTCCGACGCCACGCCACCCCTCCTCCGCAAAACTTCGAAGAGCTTATCAACCAACTCACCAAGAAGCGCGACATGAGACTGGATGTGTCCAGCTCCCGTGCTCTCGCCGACTCCCTTGACCGTTGTGTCGACGAGAAGAACCCCTTCTTCAACACCTTGGTCCGCATTCTCGCCACCCGTTGCATGACTTCCGCGGAGTACTTCTGCGCAGGGGCCCACGCAGAGTCCGAATTCCGTCATTACGGTCTAGCCTCACCCATCTACACACACTTCACCTCCCCCATCAGACGTTACGCAGATCTCTTAGTCCACCGCCAACTCGCGTCAGCAATTGGCTACGAGGGCGAAGATGGCCGCGCCGTCGTAGAGGGAGTGATGACCCGAAACAGACTCGAAGATATCTGCCGGAACATCAACTACCGTCATCGCAATGCCCAGTTCGCCGGCCGCGCCAGCATCGAATATTACGTTGGACAGGCGCTCAAGGCACGCGGAGAGAAGATGGCAGCCGATGGCGTGGACGGCGGCATCGAAGAGGAGGGCTACGTCATGCGTGTCTTCGAGAACGGCGTCGTTGTTTTCGTTCCGCGGTTTGGTATCGAGGGCGTGGTTCGCTTGGAGGATTTCGTCCTTCCGGATGACGCTGCTCTCCGCACCGTCGACGAGCGACGGGAGCTGGTGACGCGCCGACAGAGTGACTTCGACAATGAAGAGTACACTCTCCGCGTTTCCAACAAAGGGAACTCCGAATCGCAACCCAGCATGAGCGTGGAACTGTTCCAGAAGGTCAACGTCAACGTTAGCTCTGTGAAAGAAGAAGGTGGTCGCGGCGCAGGAAAGAGGCGGGTTAGAATCCTGATTCTGGGAAGCGATGCCTAGACTGGAGAAAAGTTACTAAAATAATGACATGACTATCTTTCTGTGTTGTAAAATCTACCGCGACTAGAAGGCGTCGATCGGTGCGTTATGTAGGATCATTGTATGTGTATGTATCTTTATGTACTTCTGTGCTTGACCAATACATATCTGGTCTAGAATGGCAATCTAGACAGTCATCTTATACTATCTAGTCTAGTCTCTACTGTTCTGTTCTTGCTTATCTAGATAAATCAGACTCTCCTCAAGGCCACCATCCGACGCAGCAAATGGATCGGCGACCGGAGTTGAGTTTCCTTCACACCTGATGTGGGTATCCCAGGCGAAGGATCATATTCCTCCCCCTTCTGTGCAGGTTCTTCCTCATCTTTCTTCTCTATACTACTCGGAACTATCACACCAGGAGACGCTCCTTCCTTCTTCTCAGATTGCACAAGCTCCCCTATCTTCCATCCTCGCACAAGCCACAAACACGCCGCGCCACCAATGTACATGAACCCCGTGAAGATCTGCACTCTCAAATACACCGAGTCCGTGGATCTATTATCCCTCAGCACAAGCGCAATAGCCTCCGACACGGTTGTAGGAGGTACCAAAACCAGCCATGTAATGCTCAATCCACTTGGTAAATCCCGCAGACCGATGATCTCCGCCAGCACAGGGGTGACGGTCGCCCAGTAGGTTCCTGCAACAGTGCCGACGAGAACTGCGAAGAAGCAGACCACGCCCATGCTGCGAGCAAAGATCCAAATCACCAGGCAGAACAAGCCACACAGGAATGTGAGGAATGTGGCAATATTAATCCGGCCTAATTTATCGCTGAACATGCCCACGATGGGTCGGCCGACTCCCTGGCCGAGGTTAAGCAGGGCGCTGACGACACTGCCTTGATGGGAGGAGAGACCGACAGAGAGGGCGAAGTTGGCGACGCTGAAAAGCACGGCGACGTAACCTAGCATGCTAAGGATACCCCATCCTAAGAAGAGGAGGAATTCGGGACGCTTGAGTAAGGGGAGGGAAAAGGCATGGTGGCGGCTTCCGATGTCTTTATTTCGGTCCTTGAGAAGATTGGCGCATACTAGGTTGACGACGCAGGCGATAATCCCTAGGATTCGGAAAGCCCAGCTTAGGCCGAGTCGGGGAATCATGGCGCCAACGGCTAGGGAGTAGATTAGTCCCCCTATGCCAGAGCCGGCTGCATTGATGCCCATTGCTAGGCTGCGACGGCGGTGGAACCATTGAGGGGTTATGCCTACGCTTCCAACAAAGAGGAAGCCCATCCCCCAGCCGAAGCAGACACCTTGGCTAAGAAAGATGTGCCATAGTTCGGTAGCGAAAGATGAGCCGATTAGGGAGAGAGTTTCGAAGAAGACCCCGAGGTTTAGAACCAGGCGGGTTCCGCAGATGTGGATGAGGTATGTGGCTAGAGGAGCTACTAGGAGGGCGCAGGAGATGCTCAAACCGCCAGTGAAGGCGTAGGCCAGGGCAGAACCGTTGGCAAAGACATTATGCGAGAGATAGTAGGAGAGAAAGACGCCGTAGCTCTAGATCTCGGGATAAATGCGTGTGTTAGTCCCTGTAGCGGAAGAAATGATTTAGAAAAACCAACACTGTTGATTCCCCACGTGTGCGCATTGATCCAGAAGACGCAGGCAACACAAACCCAGCCATAGCCACCATCTGGAACGATATTTTGTTCATATTTGGTCTCCGCATCTTTGGGGGCCGAACCCTGTTGGTGCTGCTCCTGTACTTGCGACGAAGGATCTAGATTTGGAGTCTCATCATAATCTCGCGAATGGATGATGTCGATTGGCGTGTTATCTCCCATTTCGAGATACTAGAATCAAAGATAGGCCAGGAGAATTTAGCACGCTGCTCTAGACCACAGCTGTTAACTTCCAGGTACCGCATCGAGGACGCTATCGAACATTCACATGAAGCCTCCAAGAGTAGCCAAGAAAGTCTAGTGGTAGAGCAAAACAGAAAGTTGAGCGGGGATAGAGATCGAAGAACCGCATGGCGCCGGTTTTATGGCAAGGGTCCAGGAAAACCGAAGGCCTAAAAAGCGCCGATGTGTCATAGAGAGCCCGAAAAGAAACAAGATCCTCGGCCATACGAACCAGTCAGTGAGCCCTCCGCCATAAGCGGTTCGGTGACTAGTCCGAGAAAGTCAGTCTGTGACTGGTTTGTTGATTGGGTTCAAATCCATCCAGGATTGAGGAAGATAGCGCCCATGGGTCCAGCTAGTGCAACCGTCGTGCCGATTGACCCGTGCGGAGTCTGGGGAACACGAGGCGGTCCACTCATAATAAAATTTTTGAGCTGCGAGCTCATATAAAGTTGCTAGATATATCTGTCGGCGATAGATCAACTTTGTACGCTTGATGCTATGAGTTCTGGTTTTCCGTATGGGTCCTCCTTGGACATCCATACATGTGCATGCTCCTGCCTTAAGCTAGTAGCCAAACATCGGGGAAGTGCAATCTGAGGACTGGGGAATGATCCTGTGCTATCTCGTAGAGCTTTAAGTTATTACTTATGACAGAATAATCCCTCGTCTAGCATTAGCAGCTCCCGTCAGCGTCCCAGAAGGCGCACCTGCTTACAATTCCATCACTTGCTATCACATCAGTTGTACGCGCCCCGTGGCAGTTGGATGTATTTTACGCTGGTGATATATCAATGTCTATATCAGCAAGTATACTTCCCTTCTATGTTGGAAATCCTGCCTGTACTTTAGGTCCATCGACTGTCCTCTGGAGTTGGGAAGGTTCAAAGGCTCCGTTACTTCGGTAGCAAGTCAGACGGGCTTGCTAAATCCTTGATTCTGTGCACCAGAGATGTAACCTTCTCATGAGTCCGTAATGGGTACTAGGGAAAGGAGCATTAACATCCAGAGAAGAAGCGTTGGTCGTACCAAGACAGGTTACACAGACGCATACTGCGAGGCATAACCCGATCTGAGGGATCCGACGAATTGATCAATGTTTTTCACCAGAGGCTGCGTTAATGACCCACAGCCTAGCTATTATTGTATTGCCATGCCCACACATGCAGACGGACATTTAATCCGTTCATCTCAGAGGGAGCAGATAGAAATGTATGCACACGGTGGTACGTGTAGTGAGTGCTTATTAGACTTAATGCCATTATCCAACGGGACTACCCAAAAGGGGATAGTTAACTTAACTAGTTAACTGTGGGATGAGATGAGTCATCACGACCCCGCGTTGCCTTGAGAACCGGAACCTGATGTTTGCACTGTTTGGTTGGTTGCTTTGTTGTCCCTCGGCGGGATTGATGGCCATAGCTTCTGTCTGTCTTCCCTCTGTCGGCCACCCCTGCCGGTCAGTCAGTACTAGTATCCATGAGCTCATGGAAACTAATCGTTATTAACTACTCACTAATTACTGTCTCCGATGCGCGCTAACTCGCTAACCCTGTAAGAATAACGCTTTATCGCCCTCAAGCAAGGAAAACGGATCTAGTTGGGCAGATCCGATCTCTCTAGTTGATTCCATACCTGGCCCACTGCCCAGCCACCCATTTGAATCTCATTGGCTCTATTCGATTATATTAGACACTTACTTCATAGCTCTGCGACTGAGAGCCAACTCATCATCCTACCCCTTCCTGATATCCCCCCTTGGTATGATCTCGCAGGTGCAACTTCCATGGCCAGTATGATGCATAGGCCTCAATTTCACAAGGCCAGGGACAGCCAGCGCAAGGTCTCGCCTCCCGGTCCAACTTACATGTCCAACGATCAGATCGGTACGTGTTTACGCTGCTGCGATATTGAGTCAGAGCATTGTTTGCGTTTTCTAAGGATGTTGGCCGAGCGACCGGCTGTGGGTTGACATAGCGATATTAATTAATTCCTGGCGTAACAGCGACCTATCTGAAAGATCTGCGGACGAATCGTCCTGCCCGTCCCGGCGGATCCAGGCCGCTTCCTTCGAGATCAACTGGATCGTCCTCTGACACTCGGGAGGATCCCCCTCCACGGGCAGCATCTGCAATGTCGTCGTATGGACATTCATATATGCACTCGACACCAGCAGCTGAGGCCGAGCATCCTCGGGCCACCAGCTCACTTTCTAACCATAGGCCAACTTCATCGCGAGGCGCACTGGGCAGCCCTATCGGACGACCGTTGGTCCAGGAACCAAGGACAGTCCCCATACGGCAGCATATCTCACCCACCCGAGCCTTCAGTCGCGCACTTCCTACCTCCCCCAGCGCCGCTTATCGTGAAAGCCCGCAACGGCGCATAGAGAAAGAAGAGGCAAAGTCCTTACGAGATGCCTTGCAACAGATGGACCTGGAGGATGACGTCGAGCTCCATGCAGCTGCACAAGATGAAGCTACCGAGCTGGTGTGGATGCACCAGAACCCCGGTGTTCCCTATAAGAACCCATATGCACCATATCACAATCCTGATTTGGACACGCTCCAGAAAAGCCCAGATAGGAAAAGTCAGTATTCGCGTGACGAGAGGCTAGGCTCTCCTACTCCACGACGGGGCAGTCGTCGTCTTGCCTACCAGGGATCGACTATAAGCTACAACGGTCCTAGCAGCATTCAAGAGTCGGATGAAAGGGCAGCACATGATGAGCAGGAATTTGCCCTGGAAAGGGATCTCCCCAGCCCTAAGAAGAATGGCACTCTACGGAAGAACCTCAAGGTCAACTTTGCGTTGCCGCGGGACGAAGTTTCAACGCAGCATACCAGCAGCAGCTATGGGCTAGGCTTGGCGAATGTTGGTAGAGATTCATCCAAAGGTATCTTTAGGAACCCGAACGACCAGATATATGAAGAACCTCAGCTTTCTCCTCAGAAGGATGAGGACACTCGACCGGAATTCTCAAGGTCGGACTCTTCGGCTCTAAGGAATAAGCCACGCAACGCTCTTCCTCGCGGTTCTCGTCCCCTACCTAGTCGGTTCAGTAGCCTTCCTTTTGTGGACAAGCTGGCTCGCTTCGAACTTCATAAGAACCCCCCAAGCCAGTCAAGAAACCCAGAGTATAGAATGAACGATCCGCTTCCACAACCTCCTACGGCAGGCTCTGAGGTTGAGGAGCAAGATATCCCTATGAAAAATGGCCTAGAAATCCGCAGCGATGACATCCGAGCAGCCACTAGCAAGAAACTGAGAGATCGGAGCACTCGCCTACCTATGCCAACCGCTGTGAGTGATCGTGCTGGTCGGCCGATTGTGAGTTTTGATCCGACTTGGAAGCCAACTGAGGCACAAAGTCCGCGCAACCGAGACAGCTTCAAGGAAAGGGATGCAACGCCGGACGTGCCTTCTCCCGAGCCTGCTGCTCCGACTATTGAGGTATCCGAGGCACCATCAATTCCGGTGATCAACTTGCCGGACGACAAAGAGCCCACTATCTCTGAGATGGCAGGATCATCCCAGAGCACAACGACCGGTGCGAAGTCATCGTCGAGCCCGCCCAAAAAGAACGAAGCTCCCAAGCGATCCCCAAGAAAGCCAACAGCAGGGTTGCAGAATCGGTGGCTATCCACCTATAGCCGCTCTGGTGTTCCCACCGCAACATGTGAGGCATGTTCTCTCCCAATTGCAGGGAAGATAGTGACCGCTGCGGGATCCCGATTCCACCCTGAGTGCTTCGTGTGCCACCATTGCCAGACTGCTCTGGAGTGTGTTGCATTCTATGAGGAACCTGAAGTGAAGCGCCAAGAGCGTCTCGCGCAAGCTTCCAGTGATGATGAAGAGGCCCATGCACTGAGGTTCTACTGCCACCTTGATTTCCATGAGCTATTCAGTCCAAGGTGCAAGAGCTGCAAAACCCCGATAGAGGGAGAAGTGGTCGTTGCTTGTGGAGCTGAGTGGCATGTCGGGCACTTCTTCTGTGCCGAGTGTGGTGATGTACGGTCTCCCCCTCCGTTTTGTAATCGATGACTGCTAACATATCTCCTCTAGCCTTTCAACGCCGATACACCATTCGTAGAAAAGGATGGCTTTGCATGGTGCTTGCAGTGCCACTCCCGTCGCACAGCTCCTCGGTGCCTTGGATGCAAGAAGCCAGTGTTAGAGGATGTTGTGATAAGTGCGGTCGGAGGGCAGTGGCATGATGAATGCTTTGTCTGCCACGAGTGCGGGGATGGATTTGGTCCCGACGGTCGTTACTTCGTCCGAGAAGGGGAACCGAGAAGGACAGCCAAGGGACGCATCATCGGCGGGCCGGTCCAATTGGCTGTCTGTGAAAGATGTGAAGGTATTCGCTTGAAGGCGTCGCCATGATGTGGGGTATCTGTTGGATGGTGGAGTCCGGGGTCTGAGGCTCCAACAACCGATGGCCGACACCAATGACATGATCATTGTGGCCATCTGCATAGTGCTGAGCGCAGTGCGCTTAACAAGATGCATCATCCGACGTTATACGGCCAATGTTTTCTATGTATGTCTCTCAGTTTTTTTTTTTTTCCTTCTATTTGTTGCGACCTATGAATTGCATAGCATCCAGCGGGAGTCTACGATAGCGTATACTTAGGTGAATTATGATAGTGAATAGTTTACATGACATATCTTTTCTTGGTTCAGATATAGTGTTGGATACCTCAAAGCCAGCAGCACAACGGCATCTGGTTATTGCATGGAGAACATCTCGCTAGCTGCAACTAACGAAGAACCCCCTGGAGTGAGATGCGTGCATAATTCCAGAGCCGGTTCAAGGCTATTCCGGAAAAGGAAGGCACGCTCCTGTCATCTCGGCTCGAGGCATCGCTTCGTCTCGCGGCAACTTCCCTGCGAGGTTGTGATTCCTTTGAACTAGCCTTCCCCTTCCCTAGATGGGCAACGAGGCAGCTTGGCTTTGGCAAGTGTCGATTGTCATACGAGTGCCTCGAGTCGAGGCACTTGTGTAATCAGTTCGGCAAGACGGAGAAGCTTGGATGTCAACCCCAGCTTTGCGGGGGTTCCCGAGCTTTTGCGGGGATCGTGCCCTCCATTGCCGTCATCACATCAAAGCCAGATGTACGACCATCTATCGATTGGCACGGCTCTTGCGCAGGGATCGGGAGATTCAGCTGCTGCAATGTCCTTCGGATGACGTCTGATCCATGTCGAACGATGACAGCTAGAGCACCACATCGTTTCCCTATTCGCAATGCCGGCATAGGCATCGTGCCCTAAGCGGGCAGCATAAATATCCTGCAAGGAGTCGATGGTCTGGCGATAGGCATGTAGACAGGACTCTCAGACTAAATATTCCCAACTCTTCCTTCATCTCAATGACACTTTACCTCTATTGGTCACTTCAAAATATTGCTCAGATCAGTCCCTTATGGCAGACGATTCAGATTACAAGCTCAAGTGCGATGCCTCTCTCTCTGAGGAAATAGAGAATGTCATTACTTCACCTTTCTCTCCCGAGGAAGAGAAAGCCCTCGTGCGCAAGGTGGACTTGACTTTACTTCCAACAATATGGATCATGTACCTGCTCTCCTACATGGATCGAACCAAGTTGGTACCCCAGTCCTCCTATACATCGCTACAAATCCGTAACTAATCTCACCATATCAGTATCGGCAACGCAAAAATCTCAGGTATGCAGGCGGATCTTGATTTGACATCGGGCCAATATTCAATTGCCCTGGTTGTCTTCTTCATCGGATATGTCGTCTTTGAAGTTCCCAGCAAGTACGTTCCGCTCAATAACTCAGGATGGTCGCACATTAATACTCACCGTTACTGAACTATATAGTTTAGTACTAAGCCACACGCGCCCTTCGCTGTTTTTAACTGGAATTATGGTTATATGGGGAGCACTTACCTGTGTGATGGGCGTGATAAAGGACTACAAGCATCTTGTAGTGTTGCGTGCATTGATTGGTAAGACATCTTACTGACTCATCTGTGGAAATAGTATGTTCCTAACTTTGGTAGGCTGCGTGGAAGCAGGCTTCGCACCTGGTGTTCTCCTTGTCCTCTCGTCTTGGTACAAACGAACTGAGCAATCGAAGCGATTCGGTGTCTACATATCTGCTGCAATCCTTTCTGGGGCGTTTGGTTCTTTGCTAGCAGCGGGTATTATTCAAGGCCTAGAAGGAGTGCATGGAATAAGGGGTTGGAGATGGCTCTTCATTGTTGAAGGATCTGCAACTGTGGGGGTCGCGATCATCTGTGCCTTCATCTTGCCCGACTTCCCGGCCACCTCTAAGCGCTTATCAGAGAGAGAGCGATATGTGGCTATCACACGGCTGGCGACAGACAATGTCACTTCTTTGACCGAAGACAGCCCGGAGTTGTCACATTGGCACGCTGTTGTCGAGTCGGCTAAGGATTGGCGAACCTGGGGCTTTGTGATCGGGTATATGGTATAGCAATCCGTTGGTCATCTGCATAACCTCACAACTCTAACTTCAAACAGGTAATTGTCGGCTCTAGCACACTTTCATACTTCTACCCTACACTCGTGGAGGGCCTTTTCGGAGATTCATCCACTGAAAGGGTAAATTTCCTGACAGTACCGATCTACGCAGTCGCATTTGTCTGCACCGCGATCACCGCATACTTCAGCGACAGAATCCCCCAATGGCGAGGCCTTGTCATTGCTGGCTGGCTGAGTGCGTCGCTAGCTTGTTCCATTGCAGTCTGTGTTGTATATAACTATACTGCACGCTATGTCCTTCTCGTTCTTATGGCTGCTGGATTGTGGGCAACCAACGGAGGCACACTTGCCTATGCGTCATCTGCATTTGCGAACATGCACCCGCAAGTACGAGGTGTCAGCCTTGCGCTGGTAAATGCTTTGGGGAATCTAGCCCAGATCTACGGCTCGGTGTGTATGACCCCGGTGTATTGTTATTGACAGTTTGTGGCTAATTGACAATAGTACTTGTTCCCTTCCTCCGACGGCCCGAAGTATATCATGGGATTCTCGGTGATTTCTGCGATGCTTGCTCTCGGAGTAGTTGTCTTTCTTGTGATACACGTCTGGTTTCGTCGGCGCGCGGCTGCATTTGGTCAGGCGTGATGATCCATGCTGGGCATGGTATAGTTTCTAATTACAAGCATAGAGGGGAGACAAAACACTAACGACGACGATGATGATTTTATGACTATGGGCCTATGGCAGTACGTTCTTGACTTTCTCTTTTATAGGTTAGTGTTCGAAAGCTTTGGGCGTCTTTCAAGATTCTTCGAATTCTTGTCCTTTTCCTGTACTTAATCCCATGTTCGGAGCAATTGGCGTCCAGGATTATTCTAGTGCAGTATTAAACTCTTCTCTGGGCCGAATTCAGCCAATCTACGACGTGCTATCCCAGACATCGCAATCTATAACAAAAATGATGGATCCACGAGACCATATTAGTACATATTATAACAGAAAACAATCCGAACCATGTATATCAGAATTAACTTTTGTTTATCTCGAAACAAAATGTTTTACGCCATAGATCTATACAAAACGAATATAACAGAAATCAAGCCCACTCCGGATCCTCCTTTCTCCTGAACACAGCAACATACTTATTTCCCTTATTCCTCGTGACCTTCTTTCCCTCCTCCGTCGCCTCCTTCATAACCTTAACACACTCATCCTTCTCCAACTCCTCCTCAGACACCCTCTCAAACAACTCCTTCACAGTCGGTCCCTCATTCTCCGCCTCCTCAACGGCACTCTCATCCCGGAAATGTCTCAGAATCCAATGATGATACTCCTCCACATCCGTAATAGTGTACAAAAGACCGCCAGGGCGCAGCGCATACGCATACTCGGCATTCAAGGTCTCGGAGATAATGCGCGCCTTGTGCTTCCTCGCCTTGAAGTGCGGGTCCGGGAAACAGATGAAGATCTTCGACAGCTGGTGTTTGTTAAAGAAGTTCGGGAAGAACTTCATCGTGTTGCTGCGGATCGCAGAGATGTTTTGGTATCCTCCGGGGACGAGAGCCGCACTGGCGTTCGGGTCAGGAGGCGCCGGGGCATCGGAGGGGGTATCAGCGGCGGCTGGGGTAGTAGGGGCAGGGGTGGAGGTCGAAGAGGTCGGTTGAGACTGTGATTGTGTCTTCTGTTGCTGTTGCTGTTGTTGGACGCGGAGCGCTTGGATACGAGTGTTCAGGTATTCGAGGACGGCGATGCGGATTTCCATCCCTATAATTAAGATTCAGTTAGATCATCCACATGACGACTCTGTGAGAGGAGAAAGTAGACAATGTGAGATATACATACCAACCATCAATGTCTCCGGCAACAACCCCGCCAGACCAACAAGCAAGCCACCAAATCCACATCCAATATCCACAACCTCCACATCCTTAAGCAGCTTTCTCGTCCCGATGAGGTTCGTCTGCGTGGCATCGGGGTTTACGAAGGCAGGGAAATGCGACGCCCAGTCCATATGCGCCGGGCTGAGTGGACTGTATAGAAGGAAAAAAAAAATGGTTAGCCTGACAACTTCCCGACCAACTCATTGACCTCATTTGCAATGTATAATAATAATAGAATAGCAACATACTAGTTCAACTGGTGGTCCGAGAACGGATTCGCATGCGCCCGCTGACGATAGAACTTCTTCTTAGGGAGCTTAACATGGGCCACGGGGGCGGACTCGTCCGGTTGCGCAACGACCGCTTCGGCGGCTTGTTTGCGATACTCGGCGCGCTTTTGGCGCTTAGCAGGAGGTTGAGACATTGTGTTTTTGAGGTTTAATTGAACGTGATGAAAAAGTGGGCAGGATTGGAGAGCCTGGTAAGAAGGTGGGGGTGCGCGGTGCGGTGCTGCGGAGGTTGCGGAAATTTCTAAGGCGGAGAAGTAAGTTAGTTCCATTAAGGTTGTTGGCTGGCGGTATCTACTGACGTCCTTATCGATCACTACCACCACCACCACTTATCATCACTACATTTACCATCGTGACAATTAACCCAACCACATCACTCTTGGAGACTACTCCACAGCAGCGCAATATACCTCACATCGACATTCAGTCTACCCACAGACATAATCACCCCACCACCAAAATGACAAGCGCAACAGCATCAACTACAACAACCCCACCCTTCCAATTCCCCCTCACCTACTCATTTCCAGCCTTCTTCACCCCCCAACCCAACAGCACGACACGCACCTCCCAACTCCAAAAATGGTCTTCCCTGATCCAATCCTGGTGCCGACACCACCGCGTCTACCGACTATCGTTAATCGAAGCCATCGAGTCCCCATTATTCCATAACACGACGCTCCGAAAGCGCATATCGATGAGCGATGCGCGGGATATTCTAGACTGGATGGCGAAAAGTGAAGAGGAAGGTGGTGGCGGGAAGAGAGCGGAGTGGATTGATGGTGCGAGTAAGAGTGTTGCGTGGATTTGGTGGAAGAGGCCTGAGGAGTGGGCGGGGTTGATTGCGGATTGGGTATGTATTCTTTTATTCCTAATCATATCATCATTTGAGATGTTGGAGGGGAGTTGGGGGTAGAGTTGGGATTGAGGGGAGATAGTTGCTAATTGCTTGTTTTTGCTGTATAGGTGGAAAACACTGGCCAAAAGAATGTGGTGCTTACGGTTTATGAGTTGTTGGAGGGGGAGGCCACGATGTCGCAAGGTAGGTTAAATGGATTTGCTCCTAATCATTGGGTGATGCTGGTATGGTATGGTGGCTAATAGTTTGGCTGGAATAGAATGGCATGGGATGGACCCCGATGTGATGCACAAGTCCCTCAATGTTCTCGTGAAACGGGGCAAGGCGCAGGTCTTCGGTAGCGAAGGCCAGGAGGGTGTCAAGTTCTTCTAGGAATCGGCTAGGTTATCTGGCTGATTTACAGCATGCGGTTGACTCGTGGGTTCGTTCGAAAGCAATGTCCATTCGCAACGCTGAGGATACGGCAACTATCTTCATGATAAAGTAAGGGATATACAAAAACCAGACAATGTCCCCGAAAGAGCTATACGAGTTTCCCGCTGTTTATAACAAGCAAATATGCCTCATCACAGCACGCCTCTAACACCATGCTCATGAGCCGGCTACTGCTCCATCTTTTCCGCCATCTCCTCGTCTAGCTCATATGCATCTGCTGCGCGCAGCGTTTGGGACATGGCGATATCAAGAAGCCAATCTACCCGGACTATCCGTGGTGTTTTGCCTCTGTTTAGGACCATCTGGCGGAACCGCGGCCACAGCTTGGTGTGGTCTGCAGAAGTACTGCTCAGAAGATATACCTCCTTTCGGCTGCGATCGTCGTCTCCCGAGCTTTCTTCCTCGCTCTCCTCGCGCTGTGATCGATATGAAACGCGACCACGGAAAAGAGAGCAATCTCCTCCATTAGCATCCACGATGGACTTGAATGCGTCAAAACCACCGCGAATGGTCTCGACGCAGTGTATTTGATACCCTCGCAGGAGCTTGTTCTTGTTCTTTTTGGCGTTCATCTTTGCTTCTTCTAATGAGAACCCATATTTCTTCTCGGAAGCGTCATCTTTTAGAGGGAAATCAGCAGGGTCCAGAAGTTCGTCTTTTTCGAGGCATTGCGTGATGAAGTCAATGCTCACAATAGCTGGACCGTATGCAAGCGCGTTGACAAACTTAGGAGTTCGCAAAATAGAGGGAGCAGCAAGATGAGAGCATCTTCGGGCGTCTTGGACAACCAAGATGCCAAGCTCACGGAGCTGACGCTGCTCACAGTCAGAGGGACACTCTCAATCATAGACATGTACAAAGAGGTGAACAAACCTTATCCGAATCTTCTTTCTTCGGGTTCCCAACCCATTTTTGATAACCCGTAATGAGAAGGTGCATTGCGACAGAGGGCTTGCCCTTCTTCTGCCTCTTTGCTTCCGTGCTGTCCTCTTCATCGCTCTTGTCCTCCGCTTCCATGGACCGCCGTTTCTTGCCATTGTTGAGTATGACTCGATCCTCGTCGGTCTTTCGTCGACCACCATAGATCACGCCACCAACACGCTTCTTTTCTTTCTCGTACAGGGCAATGTCCGGTGCAATCTCGTGCAGTCGGGCGGTAGCGGCCTCTTTCGACTTCCGGCTACTTGTCGTTGATGGAGTATCATTCTCCTTGCCTTCCGACGTAAGCCGAGCACGCGCCGGTGTTTGTAACTTCTGATTATCTGTTGTACTTGTCTTACGCGACCTTCCAACCGCTCGCGGAGTTGCTATTTGCGGCTGCGGCAGTACTTCGCTCTCGGATTCTGTCACTTTGGCCGATGGTGGTTGCATGGTATCCGATGACTTCGCAGCAACGGTATTCTGTTCCTTGGTCTGCATCGCCCGTCGAGGACTCACCTGCTCTCGGGATAAGCCTTCACTTTGGAAGAATATGCTTTCAAGGACCGTTCTGTCGAGCCTGGTCTGGCCAACAACTTCGCCTAGGTTCGTTCTCTTAGGGAAGTGAGTATAGCGCGGATCAGAAACGGGTTGCAGCTTCCATTTTGCGTAACTCTCCTCCAACCATAAGTGATTGACAACCTGCAATCCCCACTCCTTTGCCGCGGCGCATTTCTCACTATTACCATGAGCAGTCACAAGATGGGTATTTTCTTGCTTTAGCGTCTTTGTGCATTCTGCGCCTGTTGCGGTGATCAGATTCTCCAAATATGCTCTTGCTTCTCCAACATAGTTGGACAGACTGATCTTGAATCCCTTGAACCCTGGGATTCCAGACCGCGAGACAGGATAGTGTAGCAATCGCCGTAGAGGAGATGTCCAGGTGTTGTAGGTCATCAGGTGGTAAAGCCATGATAGATTTCCAACGTCCTTGTTCAGCCTCGATGCCATACGGTATGCGAAACCCTCTCTATAGCGACAGATCAAGATATCAGCCTTTGAGACATCCGTCGTGATAGAGCCGCCGCCGTTCTTGATGATTCCCTCGATGGACCCGAGAAGGCGAGGTCCAATACCGAGGTCTGTGGAGAGCATGACATTCTTGTCTTGAAATACGGTAAGCGCCGGCTGCGCGTCAGGCGATTTGACAGACGAGGGAAGGTTGGCTGGGTTCGTTGTGGATGCGCCGATGATGTCACGGTTTTCTGAGGAACGGATGGGTGCATCTGGCGCTGCACGGAGGATTTCGGGGTCGGGAAGGGTATATGGACGCTCGTCGATTCTTCGGCCAAGCTTTAGGCAGTCGTCAAACCTATGTATGGAACCCATTGTTAGATTGGTCCAGTCTCTTCGGTCACTACCGTCTTACCAGTGTGGAAGCACTATCTTGATATTCAACTTCTTTGCGGCGATTAATCGAGCCTTATCGGACTCCGCGGTCAAATCAACCAAATGCGTGACCTGCTGAGAGACCTTCGGACTGTAGATCCCACCTTTCGCCAGCACGCCACCGATGATAGCCTCCTTATCGCCTCCTGGTATATCACCGCATGTGATCACCACATCGTTCAAGAAGAGCCGCGGGTCAGGACTATATTGGCGCGGATTTGCTAGCTTTCTCTTTGCTAGGCACGCATGTACCCAGTGAGGTTTGACGACTGGTATCAGGGCGTCGCCCGCCGCGTCGAAGGCAGGAAAGTCAATCGTGCAGGAGATGAGGTGGGTGAAATCGGAGAGGGGAGGGAAGGTGGCTGGCGGCTCATAGATCACAGTTTCACCGCCATGTTCTTCGAATGTAGATGCGAGCTGTTATATTCAATAGTTCTTCCCTTTAGCCTGCGTAAAATCCCCAATATAGCATGTGCTGGGTCTGTCATACCTGATGTGCCGTGTCGGCACTAAGATCTTTAGAGCATATGATACAGACTTTGCACTGGCTGAAGAGTTGAAGCTCTCCTCCCTGCTCAGCCATTATGTGGATATTTTCCGGTCAGCACGGGTGTATGTTCAGTATGTAGTGCGCTTCGAGCGGAGGTAGTAGCATTGGGTGAAAGATACGTTTGACTTGAGAGACCAGTCGTCTTTTGCCTCTTGTGGCTTTGCGATGCGACGCGCAGACGCGCCGACACGACACCAGGTCACGTGTAGATAAGATACGTCGAAGATCGTCGATATGTGGTGTCAGGCACGTCTTATCCACGTCGACTTGGCATAGTCAGTATGTATGGTCTGTAAAATGGACTTTGTCGTAATAAGCTCCAGCTTTGGTGGGGAAATTACTATATTATAGTCTTGTGGACTTCCACCGGACGGATGAGTAGGCCGCGGCAATATGTTTCGGAACGAAGCAAGTGAATCAACGATAGGATATAGATTGGCCGTATGATGAATTAGTAGTACGCGTGCTCACATTATGGCGCGTGGTAGTTTTTAACCTTCATGTTTTCGTCACCTGATGGAATAAGTAGTAGTGTTATGATAATATCTTAGGCCAACGTAGTATTTGACAATGTCCGAAGGGCTGCAACTACTAGTATGACACAAAATATATATCTGGTTCTATGATGCGAGTTACACTCGCTACACCCCACCCGTATTTCTGGCATGATTTTTAATAAGCATCGACATATCTACAAAGTTTTACGTAGCGATAGCCGACGAACTGAAACTCACTTAAAAACAAAGAATACCACCGCATATCTAAAGGTGTGTGTGGGTTAAATAATAAGCAAAAAAGACAAAAAGATGTGACAAGAGTGGGATTCGAACCCACGCCATCTTACGATGATCAGGAAGCTGTGAAGCTAGGTATTAAGGTGGACCTTAACCTGACGCCTTGGACCAACTCGGCCATCTTGCCTGTTGATATGTTAAGAGCAGTGTACTTTGACACTATCAATGGCAAGTCTGGCCCAATGTCATGACCCGATTGCCCGAGCCGTAACTGTTTGCCTGTACTGTGACTAGCGGTATCAGCCGACCATTCACATTCCCCGCCTGACATTTCAATCCATCAAGCGATCGGCCATTTTTCCCCCGGTCGCTCCTGATCCTGAGCCTCGGCTCATCGTCAGCCCCGGCAGTTCGAACCCTCCGGTCCGGGGAATGAGTGCCCCCCCTTGCCTTTAATCCATATATACTAGAGTCGCCTCGGATCGTGCGACACCACATAAACCCATTGATAAAATTAGCAAAAGAAATGTCGCCGTCTTCACAATCCACTGGCCCTTTTCGGGTCGTTGAGCATATCGTCGAATGCCAACATATTAGGGAGTATCCTGCGGCGACGGCAAATGGCCAAGAAGATGTATTAAACTTGGTGGTAAAACAATATATCCCACTCGATAATCCCAACCCACAGCCAGGGGATGTAACGATTCTTGCTGCGCATGCGAATGGGTTTCCTAAGGTTTGAGGGCATCACATCACTGAGTTCGAATGAACGTAGCTAATCTATATACTAGGAGCTTTACGAACCTCTATGGGAGGAACTGTACGCTCGATCAAAAGCCAATGGCTTCCGAATCAGAAGTATATGGATGGCGGATGTCGCGCACCAGGGCGAGAGCAGCGTTGTAAATGAGGATCTCTTGGGCAACGACCGTATGGAATTGATCTTCATTGCTCATCACTCCTCGAATTGAGGCTGACGAGGTGCATATAGCCAGCTGGTTCGACCACCCCAGAGACCTCCTTCACCTTATCAACGTCAAGCGCAAAGAGATGCCTCGCCCCATCGTCGGGATAGGCCACAGTATGGGCGGTGCACATCTGTATGCCCCCCCCAAACCTAATCTTTCCACGAACTAAAACCTAACACCTCCCACAGCGCCCAGCTATGCCTAATGCACCCACGTCTCGTCCACAGCTTAGTCCTTCTGGACCCCGTAATACAGCGTGAATCCACCCAGCTCGACGGGCTCGAAATGGCCATGCGACATAGACAACGGATCGCCAAAACGACCCAATTATCCACCTACCGACGGGACACATGGCCATCCCGTAAAGCCGCTGCGGAGGCCTTCAAGAAAAACCCGTTCTACCTAGCCTGGGATTCTCGCGTCCTCGACCGCTGGATCGAGCACGGTCTCCGCGAGCTCCCCACGGCCATTCACCCTCTGGACGAATCCCAGCAAAAGGAGGGAAGCAAAGACCGCCCCGTTACTCTGCGAACAACCCTTCATCAAGAAGTCTTTACCTTCTCGCGTCCCAACTACGATGGTCCCCCCGGAAAAAAGGTTCCCGTGAACAAAGTGACTCACCCGGATTTAAATCCCGAACATCTAGGTTCGTGGCCGTTTTACCGGCCAGAACCGTCGCGAGTGTTCGCTATGCTCCCGCATCTCCGTCCTAGCGTCTGCTACGTTTTCGGAGGGAAATCGGATATGTGCTTGCCTGACATGATGGCGGATAAGATGGCTGCTACAGGAACGGGGCTGGGAGGTAGTGGTGGGGCCCCTGCTGGTCGGGTGCGCGATGTTTATCTTGCCGAATATGGCCACCTGCTTGCTCAGGAGGCTCCCAAAGAGTGTGCTGAGGCAGCGGGTAAATGGCTCGGTGCTGAATTAGAGCGATGGAGAACTGAGGAGCGAGAGTTCCAGGAACAGTGGAGTCGGAAGTCAAAGGTCGAGAAAGTCACAATTGATTCTCGGTGGAAGGACCATGTTCCGCGTCCAGAGCGGCCGAAGAAGCCTGCCCAGTCGAAGCTGTGAATGGCAGTTGTTGGTTTGTGAATAAAGGCTGCACACTACTCCAGCGGGTTGTATAGACTGCGTCCTCTCAGCAAGACATTAATATATTACGTATATACGTGGCCAGAGAGATACGTGCGTTTCCAATGAAATACCCAGATAGAGAGATCTATGTTTGTCTCTTGTTCTCAATTTCTTATCTATAGGATATAATGGTATACTCGTCTGAGCGGCTCAGAGCAGGTCTATAAGCAACTCAATCAATCAAAGCTGGAAGTTAGTGACCGTTCCGACATAGGAGAGCGCTCGAAGCTCCGGTCCTCGAGGCTCCTCAAAAGGTCGGGTCTAAAAACCAATGGAAAAGGGTATGTGTGAGTCCGATTAATTCGACTTCTTGGCCACTCCATTCGCGCCCTTGCCTGGGGCGCCGGTGCGGAGAACCTCGGGGATGTTCCAAATGCGAGGCCACCACAGATGGTACTCTTCCTGGCGGTTGTTCAAGCAGTGACGGAGCCAGATGCCCCAAACAAGGTACATATAGGCCCCAAGGCCAGTCATCAAATGCCTAGTAAGAAAATTAGTATTGGAAGGGCAGTCGGACGCATAGTGCCAGCGCGAAACATACCACCAACCATGGCCTTCCAGTAGAATGCCCCAGGGAAGACCCACTTGCCGGCGCCATCCGCGGATCTTCGGACAGAAGGCATTGTCCAAACCCCAGATGGCAAACCCGCCCAGGAACACGCTCAAACCGTAGATAACCATGAACCACATTGTCTTGAGAGTCTTGATGTCCCGCACGTTTTCGTAATGTTGGTGTTCCTTAGTCGGAACGGGCAGGCCCTGCTTCTCACGCGCAAGCCTGTCCTCCTCCGTCGAATGACGCCAGCGAGGACGAAGCGTCACCTCCATGGTGTACATGCTGCGGATGAGGACGATGGCTGTCAAGATGCCATATGCGTTCTGGTGGAACAGGGGATCCTGGAGGTAGTGGTAATAAAGGGTGATGAAAATTGCCAAGCTGGCAAGAAAGATGCCCAGGACGACGCGGAAGCCATTCGGTCTGGAGTATGAGAAGGATGCATAGCACATCAGACACGTGGTGTATATCATGGACAGTTCATCGACCAGCTGCATGGGATCTGTGTGTTCAATGCACGGATTAGCAATCTCGAACAACACAGGCTACCCCTCCCCCACGATGCCACCTCACTTACATTTCAACGTTGAATGGAAGAGGAAGCTTCCAGTTCCGACTAGCAGATAGCCAAGATAAGCGACCTGGAAAATCGAGTCATGTCCATTGCGACGACAACTTAGGAAACCCTTGATTCCAAGGGCCATAAACAGCAGGTTTGTCAGCGTATTGACGATCTCTGCGGAGTAGATGGTGGCATAGTAATCCTATCTCGTTCGCATGATGGTTAGCAACCTATTGTAATAGTCGAAAGAGTAACCAAGAGTGAAGTGGAACTGAGCGCCGCATATACCTCTTCGCACCAATTCAGCGTGGACGTGACGGGGCTCCAATATCCCTCCCTGGAGGGGGGATACGGAATATGGGGGAGGAAGGATGAGAGAGGCATGATGGATGACGGAGACTCAGCTCTCCGCAGGGTGGAGGGATTGGTGACGTCTCTGGCGGACCACAATGGAACGACGGGGTTACGAGCAGGAGGGCATAGCAAGGGGTACTCTTGAAGAAAAGCCAGATTCCCTGAAGAGAAAAAAGGAAAGACAGGGCAGTTAAGTTTGACAACTGAAGGTGGCCATCGAACCTACCAGTTACTCTGCCTTACCGGCTCCCCAGAACCGTGACGTCGAGTAATACGCCCGATCTGCAAGCCAGTCGCCTAATCTCCAACCGAACCGGCGTGAATGTGACGGTTAAGTACGGAGGAAGGTATGCCACCCGCTAATTACAGGGTCCCGATTGGCTCGATGGGCCTAGGCAGTTTGCCGCCGGGAACAATGGGTGGTAAGATTACAGTGTAAGTACATCCGCCGTGAGCGTGGCCAAGTGGAATGAATGGAATGGTCTCTTAACAACCTGCATTCTTCTGCATGCATTGGCCGTGGTGTCTCCCTATCATGTCTCACTCTGTCAAGTGCTAAACCGGCACCTGTTCGGAGAAAGCTCGTGGATTGGTTTATCTTAAGTTGCCCAAATGCAGCCTAGTAGTTATTCTCTTGCTACAAATTTTCCGTATCACGACATGATCAGCCCTGTGACTACTACTAGTTAGTTGTAGTTCGTTATTACTGGTAGTGAGAGCAGCCATAGGCTGGTTGTTAGATATAGTATTATATAGTAGACACAGCATGTTTTCCAGTAGTTCTTCAGTTCCTGTCAGTCACTGCACAGGTACATTAACCTTAATCTGAACCTGTACCTGTACTAGGTGTGCCTCTTCTGGCAGGTCCTTACGCCGGAGATATCGGAAGTCGAGAGGCGGCGACGGCCGCGGCAACTGTGGCTGGTGATCTGCGACCAATCGAGATGCTTTCCGCCCGGCGCCAGATGACTTCACCAATGGCCCTCCGCTTTGGGAAAGAACGAGTCTACCGCTTCGTATCTACACCGTCTGTCACTTATTTTTCCCTTTCTCTCTTTCACACTCGCTGAAAAAGCTTCCTATCGCCTATCATTTCCACAGAAATCTGATTTACGCCGCTTCGATTCTGCAATGCTATCCTGATTACCATCAATGTGACCGTCACCGCTTCAAGCGGTCTGTCTCAAATTCTTCTCCATCCATTGTCGTGCAGCGTCCCGGATGAGTTGATCTCATCACGCGTACCTCTTCAAATCACTCCTCTATCTATACATATTCTTAGCACTGGCTGCGGGATCCGAAGCCATGTCGAACAATGCGGTCTATGCTGTACCGCAGGTGAAAACCACCAAAACGTGTATGGCCACTCACTCATCTACAATTCTCTTCACTCAGTAAACCCTAACCATCAAATCAATCAAACAGCTTCCAAGACAACCTTCCACTTCACCGCAGGCCTCTTCTCGGGCCTTACCTCTTCCATCCTTCTTCAACCCGCTGATCTCCTCAAAACCCGTGTACAACAATCTCAGAACGCCTCCCTCCTTCCAACTGTCAAGGCCATCCTCTCCTCCCCGAATCCAATCCGCAATCTATGGCGTGGTACACTCCCCTCTGCCCTTCGCACGGGCTTCGGCTCAGCACTGTATTTCACGAGCCTAAACGCCCTTCGAACGGGTCTCGTTCAAACAAACGGCATTGCTCCCGTCACCAATAGCTCCTCCGCACTCCCCAAACTGTCCAACACCGCCAATCTAGCTACTGGGGCTGCCGCGCGGGTTGCTGCCGGCTTCGTCATGATGCCAGTGACTGTGATAAAAGTTCGCTACGAGTCAGACTACTACGCCTATCGGAGTCTCTTCGGCGCGGGGCGAGATATAGTCCGGACAGAGGGATTCCGGGGCCTGTTCTCCGGATTTGGAGCTACAGCGGCGCGTGATGCGCCGTATGCTGGACTATACGTTTTGTTTTACGAGCAGTTGAAACGGCGGCTAGCAGGATTATCAAGCTCATCGTCTGATCAGCAGCCACTGAAGTCGTCCTCAATTAATTTCGTCTCTGGGGGATTGGCGGCCGGGTTGGCCACTACCATTACAAATCCCTTTGATGCGGTCAAGACCCGATTGCAGTTGATGCCGGGGCGGTATGGAAACATGATGCGGGCCGTGAGGTTGATGGTGCAGGAAGATGGAGTAAGGAGTCTATTTGGGGGGTTGGGGTTGCGGATTACGAGGAAAGCGCTTAGTTCTGCGCTTGCGTGGACGGTTTACGAGGAGTTGATCCTGAGGGCCGAAGTCCAGTGGGGATCGAAGGGAGAATAGGCTGTCTGTAGATCATATTAAGGGTTCTCTGTTTTAGATTCCTTAAAAGGAAAAGGGTTAGTTAGGGCTGGAGTTTTGTTATCGTTATGGGTATAAAAAGAGCTCGGATACGGACTGCACCGGGTCGACGTTTGGTCATCATCATCATCATTGTATCATATATATAGCAACTGTTCAAATCCCAACTCATGGAACGAAAAAATTCACGACGTCATAACTTGACAAATCATCATGCCAACATCTTGTATAGGATAGCTGTGCAAATGAACAAGAGAACGAATATCGATGGACAAGGAAAGAGAAAACAAGAACCAAATCAGATCGATCAAATCATGGTATCACACTTCGTAGCGCGTCAAAAATTGCGAGATTAAGTGAAGATCCAGGCACGTGCGCCGGGGTTCTTCTTGCGGACAAGGTACATTTTGTCCTTCTTTCGGTCATTCACCTTGAGCTCGGTCAGGGTGCTTGAGTGCTGAGTGACAAGCTTGCCCTCACGCAGACGCCGCGTGTGAGCGAACAACTCCTCCTGGAAGTCCTCGGAGATCCATTGCTTGATGATGATGTAGTTGCCGTCGAGCTGTTGTGGGAAGGAAACGGTCAGTCATCGTCTAAGATATCTCAACCAAGAAGGTGTAGCAAGGGCTCAACTTACCTCATCCCAGTCCCAGGGTAGACGGTAGGCAATGAGTGTGTCGGGGAGAAGATGCTTGCGGTGGACCTGAGCCAGTGAGTTAGATGAACGACGACTTGAATAGGGTTATGGGGTGATGGTCGCATACCTTGATCCAGGTGGTCCGTTGGGGCTCAGGTTCCTTTTCCTTTTCCTTCTCCTTCTCCTTCTCCTTCTCCTTCTCAGGTTCCTTTGGCTTCTCAGGCTCCTCCTTTGGCTTTTCTGGCTCCTTAGGTTTCTCGGGCTCCTTCTGCTTCTTGATAATCTTCTCCAGCTGTTCTTCATCGTAGCCGAATTCGAGTCGTAGTCTCTCCTTGAATTCAGCGTCACGTCTCTTTCTCTCTTCGCGTTCGGCGATCATTCTCCGCTCCTCGTTTAGCTTCCACTCCTCGATAGCGGCCTGCTTCATGGCGGCTTCCTTCCGGGCGCGGTCCTGCTCAGCCAGGATCCGCCTGGCCTCTTCATCACGAAGCTCTTTTTTGATGCGCTCCTTCTCTTCATCCTCTTCCATCTTGCGCTGGATCTCTTCGAGCTGCCGCTGACGCAACTTTTGTTTGAGCTCCTCTTGCTCAGCAGCTTTACGCTGGGCCTCTTCGAATTTGATTAGTTGGTAGCGATGCTCGGCCTCACGCTGCTCTTCTTCCATGCGCTGCTTCTTCTCGTACCGTTCTAGCCGTCGCAGCCGCTCACTGATCTCGTCCTCGTATAGATCCTCCTCCCTCAGCAGCCGGAGCTCATGGTGATGATGGTGGGGAGAGCGATGCTCATGCTCCGGTGCCGGCGGAGGCGGGGGAGGCTGCGGCTGCAGCTGCTGTTGACGATGCTGGGAGGTCTCACGATGACGAGCCAGCTCCCGCTCTAAACGCGCGATCTCCTGCTGATGGCGCAAGAGCTCAAGGTCCTGACGGGCATCATTCCTCTCGAGGAATCGCGTATCGAGCATCAGCTCATAGTCCCGGGCAGGTGGGAGTGGTGATGCCTCCCGGGAGATACTACTCGGGCGAGTGCGAGCTCGACGATGATCCCGCAACCTGGTCTCATCCTCAGACTCGTAGGGATCAATGTAGTTTTGCTGCTGCTTGTGTTCCTGTTTACGGGACTTGGTGGCACTCTTGGTACGAGCGTCGTTCTTGGCATCGCTCTTCGCATCTGTCTTGGCGTCGGCTTTGGCGTCATATTTGTTATGGACGTCGACGATGACGGCGACGGGCTGGTTGTTGCGTTCGCGTTCGCGCTCGCGCTCACGAGCGTGGCGACGAGGGGCGCCGGTGGAGGCAGAGCGTTGAGGGGGGTGGTCATGGATCACGGGGCTGAGGTAGGTGTTACTGATGTGTTCGGGGCTCCAGCGGTGGCGGGAGATGGAGCGTCGACGAGTTGTGACTTTCCGGCGCGGAGTCGTCTCTACCATGGAGTAATCCGATTCGGAGAAGTCAGACTCCGAATCGGTGAGGAGGTGACGTCCTCTAGGATATGCTGAATACATGGCGGTGGATTTATCTGCTCCGCCTATATCCCCTCTTCTGTGATTATGAGCAGCTTGCGGCGTGCGTGGATATAGACGGTAGGGTCAGATGAATAGGCTGGCGGGGTGTGACGTCGATAGTGGGCAGCGAATCAGCCGTGGTGGCGGAGGCTGGGCGATGATAGCACCCCGACTTCGAGCTGAACGATATGCCGCTGAAAGTGAGGAAGATCTGACGATGGAAGTCAGAGTAGAAGAAGTAGGTGAGAAATGGACAGAGACGAAGAGGAAAGGGAAGAGAAAAGAAAAGTCAAGGCAAGTCAGTGATCAAATAGGAGCGAAAACAAGAAAAACCGGCCCCTCGTGCCTCGTAAACGCGGGCGCTTCGCTCAGCTGAAGTGGGGGATTGGCAAAGATTGGGCCGCCTTGATCAGCTGCGGGCGGCGACAATTAAGGATTCAGGTACTTCCCACTTTGTCTTCGATCATAGGCAGAGAGTCCTCGAATTTACGCGAAGCTAGGCCCTCTCATGCAGAAGCGCTGAAGCTACGGAATCAAATTAACATCTGTTTATAGAACCTTGACAGCGGCGGCTATTTAAACTGTAGTATTGTGTAGTCTAGCTATAGATTGTCGTGAATTGGTCTATCTCAATCCCTCAAAATCGAGTAACTACCAGTACGAGATGCGGTGGATGCTGGTGGTAGCTTCTAGTTCGTCCAGACAGCATAGTGTATTCCATCGTGGGAAAAGAGGTTGGGCGTCTAAAGCGCCACCCACGCCAGTCAATTCACCCACCATTTTGCGTCAACTTCAGGTTCCACTGCTTAATCTATATTTCTATTTGTTATCAATTAGACTATCTCTCGATTTATTCGATAGGAGAATTCCGTCGCCTTCGCTCGCTCACCCAAGGGAAAAACCCACGGGTCTAACCGTTGGCGTACCCATGGGACCCTGGGTACCTGACGTCCAACCCAGTCTTAGCGGTCTAGTCTTGCTGGTACCGCGGCAGTGGAGATTATCTATCGACTAGTCATCTTCTGACCCGTAAAGTCAAAAGTAGGGTTCAGAGCCACCCGCTCAGCAGGCATCAAGGATGACCAGGCAGTAGTGAATAATGGCACCTGACCTGAAATCAGTGGTTAGTTGGCATTTCGGAGATGGATGACTTCTGTTGTGTACCCTACATTACTAGGAGGAGGTATTAAGGGTCTAGTCTAGTCGATTGCTGTTTGGCCCCCACTGACAACTAATACATCCACAGCACAGCCTTGTGGGCCGAGGCTGGCCAAAACTCACTCTCAGGTGTCTGTCTAGGCACACATAATTGAGGTTGTTTAATTACATAGTAGTTATTTAGAGCCTCTCATTCCTGTAGGGTGTCCGTTAGTTACAGACCTGAGCTAATATGTATTTGATGCTCTGGGAATATCCAGAGAGTCCTTTCATAGCTAGTAGCATACTTTTGTTGCTTTTCGTTTAATTCGTTGAATTTTGAATGAGATAGACCGACCCCCAAGGAGAATTGTAATGGTTTCATTTATAAGGAAAGATGACCCAGAATATCTCGAACGAATGCTTTTTTTCGATGAGTTATAAAATTCTGACAAAACAAGTCCTTTATCTCCGCTAGCATATATAGCGACTCATATATTCTACTATTGGTATCACAAAAGGTGGCTTTCAAAAGGAATGGATTATCAGGCTTCAGTGAGCTTGCCAAAGAGGTTGCAGGCGGAATGGTACTAGATAACTGGGATCTGATTTTATTCATTACTTTCATTTGGAGATTTAGAGGATAAAATGGATCTTCAGGTCTGATTGCAAAATTTCACTCAACTCTGCATTTTACGTGTAGGCATCAGATAGTGTCTATTATCTATCAACTATTGCAGATAGGAAGAGTGAGATCTATTACAGATATTAGGTAGCAAAGTGAGTTAGAGAATTCAAAAATAAGTAACGATCAGGACAGGACAAATAAACTGGAAACGCACACACAAAGGGAAAGAAGATGGCCCCTGCCTTAGTTATCTTTTATCTGCTGATACAATGAGATTGACTTCAGTGCAAGTTCCCTCAAGGTAGTCTTCCGGACTTGGCCCGGCTGCGAGCATCTTATCACCTTCCTTCTTGGCTTATGAAGCCAAAAGTGTTACCTATCCTTGAGATTCTTGACCAACGCCTCCTCCTTTTCCTGTCGCTGTATGTACCAAAAGATTACTGGGTATGCCAGATCAAAGCCGAGATAGAGATAGCAGCACCAGAGCATGAAAGGCTCGCCCAACCATCCAAAAGCCTCAGGCCAGTACTTGATTCGAAGGTAAAATTCCGGGATCAAAGTCAACGAGCCCGTGAATCGGAAAAACCTGACTCGAAGATTAGTCTCTTTCCAACAGTACTGTTATGCCTTCTAGACCTGGGTATACGTACCATAATTGGAGGGAGAATCCGCGTGTGGCTCCCCGAACCAAAAGCTGGCTGACATATCCAACACTTAGTATGACCTGACATACGATTGCGTTCGCGAAGCAAGCCTTCACCATGCCGAGCTCTGAGGCAAGACAAAGATGGCCGGCAATTGCCAGTAATATTCCGCCCCCATATATCCAGGGCAAGTTGCGTTGTATTATTGGGGATCGGTCCCACTCCCTGGATCCCCATTTGATTGCTGCGAAGATAACGCCAAAGTTGCTTATGACGGCGACTTGGAAGGTTAAGCTTACTAACCAGTGGTCCAGAGAGAACAAAAAGCCGAAGGTGATCTCCCATGCGATGTTGAGGCACTGACAAATGAGTGGCATGGCGAAGGACTTGTCTTTGTAGGATCGGTATATCATGCCATAGTACACATAGAGCCAGATGATGTTAGTGTAAGCGTTGAGACCATAGACTGTTGAGGCCCAGACCGCGAATTCCGGGGGAGCAGCGGAGAGATCAAAAGCTTCCATTGTGCGAAGGCTGAATAAGAAAGCAACAGGGCATGCCAAAGTAGGGATGGAGAGAAATAGGGCGGTTCTATTTCCAGAAAGGTCCCCATGGGCTTTATACCTACAGCACAAGGAACATGGAATATTCAACTCCCAAATTCCGCATGAATTGGAAGTCAAAGGCGAAGAACGTAAATTCAGCGAGCTGCACCATTGACTGTGATCAAACGCCTGACAGCCCCGACCTATGCACAGAAATATTCCGGCCTCATTGCGTTTGATTGCAAGTAGTGGGTTTCAGAGACCATACCAGAATCATTGATCTCTCAAGAAGCCATGCGTTCCAGCAGACTGACATACCGACCGGTCCGATTTTAAAGTGCCATGGTTGAGCTTCTCCAGGCGTAGAATGGGATACCCGCTTCCTTCATCAATACTCCGTACGACTGAGACATAGCACGCAATAAAGCATTTGGTCTGCTGCTGATTCTACCGTATCTGAAAGTCAGAGCGCTGGGAATAGCCAAACTTTGCATTCGTCAGTTTGAGTTCTGGGTTAGTCAGAGTGCAGCATAATGTGTTCTAAGCTCCGGGTGACCCCTGTAGTGCTCATTCGGTGCATTGTAATAACTCAATCCACCCTTCCAATGAGAAAAAAGAGATCACTCTAATCCTAACAAGTAATAGCAAGGAATGATTCTCCTACTCTTCCAAGCTCAAGCCTACATACTCCTATGACCAGCTAGGGTGGAAAACGGCAACGCAGGAAGAAGAGGGGAAAAAGAAGAAGTAAAAGATAGACTACTAGTTGGATTGATTATATCTGTCCAGACTAGAGGTTGGCAGGCTCACATTCTGCACTCCACGGTTTAAGTTTGATTGCGAGTCAGGGTGAATTGTTCACTGGTTACGACGCAGCCCAATGTACGCCACCACGGAGTTATTACTCCGAAGTATCATGTGTCCCGGTACTACCAGCTCTGTTAGCTGATTGCTGTACTGTCAAACTAAAAGACCGAAATAGTGCCGTTGTGCATAAAATATGAATCTATGAAAGGGAACCAGAGAGCAATGATTGCTTTAAAGGATATGAAGGCTGCGCGATCCAATGTCCATCTTGCCCTGATTCCCATCATCTATGGCGGATCGGGCTTACAGTTCGGAGTGGTTCAAAATGAAGAAGCCGGCATGGCCAGTTTTTCGATTGGAAAAACTATCAGGGATGAAATTCGGCATGATACTCTTCTTCACCCCCACATGCGAGCTGCTCATCAACAACCTGACTACACATTCTTCCTTTGCAACTGCCTAAACAATATAAGCAGCCCATAAAGTTCGACACAGCGCACTTCTGAATGAATGTAAAATGTTATTCTTACGGACGAACGGGTACTAGCGGTAAAACTGCAGTGAGTGTCTCGAATTCTGTCAAATTGCCATGACTGCTGCGCCAGGTGGTTCAAGCGACCAATCTTGAGCCGATAGTTTAACATCAATTTACTGTCCCTTCAGCTAGGATCGATATGCTGGAAAACTTGTCACAATTATTCTAAGCTGCATGAGTGCCGACTTAGAGGCATAACAAACGAGCTTGAATGTTTCTTACGAAATTGACCGATCCAATGCATCCTTGGACCAAAGGAAGCTTTCTCTGCGTTCCCAAGGTTGTTTTTACAAATGTTGGTTTGAGCTGCCTATGAATAAATTAGACTTATGAACAATGCACAATCAACTCCGGCCTTCCTTCGCAGTAGTCGCTGTCTCCAGGGGCTACCATGTTTGAAGAGAAATACAAAGGTGAGTTACATTCACAATTGTCGAATTGAATTCAATCTTAGCTGATAAAGGTGGATGCCTAGGATTTCTCCTATCGCTCTCATGATACCGGAGAAATACAAAAGATTTTCACATGCCCTGGTTCTTCAAATTGTACTCGTATTCAATCTTTTCTGCAACGAGTGTTTTTAAAACATCACAATTACCATAAACCCCAAAAATTACCTTAGGGAAACTTCCTCACTATTACCTTCGCACAGCTCGCACTTGATACAAGCGGAACCCTGATCCAGAGACCACAGAGCCCAGCAGCTAGTCGGTCCATTCCTACAGAAAAACGTCAGAACAATGCTTCTTATACTCGACAGCTACACTAAGAGAACAGAAGATGAATAACAAGAAGGCGACCAAGAAAATCAATCTTACCGCCCAGCAAGCTGTGGGGTAACTATCTTGACCACAGTGGATATTGTCGGTGCTCTGCATATACCAGGTCAGATTTCTTAGTAACAATCTAGACTAGTACAATCCACTTACACCAAGAGCATACTTCAAGCAATCCTCGGACGCGTAACAGTCACTGGCAGAATGGCACTTCAGGACGAGTCAGTAACAACTCACGTCTGGCTTCCCATATACAGTAGAGCAAACATCAAAGATATACCTCAATGCCGGCGCCACAGCCATGCCAATGATAAGCCCGCGAATCGAGGCTATTAGGAACCGGTGCAGGGGAAGCCAGGGCTCCTGCACCGAGACTCAAAGTTGCAGCGAGGAGAAGGAGGAACTGCATGTTGAAGGTGGGCTTAATTAAATGCCAGATTACTAATAATGTATCGGCGGTTGATGTTGAAGGATCTGATGACAGGTTGAAGCCTGAGATTACTACCTTCTCCACGCCAGAGATGAGATCTTTATATCTTCGGCGCAGGATTAGGCGTCCAAAGCCAATGCATATCGCGCATACGCCATAGATGCTGCCATCATCAAAGCATAAGAAACCTGACGAATAAGCAGCTTTGATGACTTGCATATCACGAAGATAATAGACATATCATGTTCTGAGAAGCAACATGGCCGATGGTCTGGTCATGCAAGATGCAAGGGACCCCCAGATGAGAGGTTGAAGGAGATGCCTCTCGTATTGCTGATTCTGGGCGGAGGGCCTTGCATTTCCATCTGCCATATGTTAGTGCACGTATTGGATCCAGAAGCTCCAATCCTCTGTTTGTACAAGCTGATCCGTTAGATATTCCAATGTAAGACACAATTTCAAGTTACAACGACCGCGTTAGAGGCGGCTACCACAATGATCTCTATCATTGTAGAACCCACTATAATTAGATTAACTTTTGCACGTTACACAGCGCCAACGTCACCACGAGTCGATGGCTGATTTCAGATAGGATATCAAGGCCAACACAGAGAAAAGGAACCGTCAAAGGTGTCGTTAATCACCACGTAATGCGAGCATATATCGGATGGATCAGCCAAGGGGACCATGCTGTCCTTCAACGGTCTGGAGTCCAACGTTAGTTTGTACGTAAAGTCGAGCACCAACTGAGACATATTATTCCTTATCGGGCAAGGCTTCGGCGCATCATGGAACACCTATAGGGAAACCCATCACCCAATTTGCACTTGTCACAAAAATTGCAAATGGACCCTGCACAGCTGGAATCTGGCGATACGCGACGTTGCCCTGACGCCCCGGCTGTCCACCTGTATCACAGCGGGAAGGAATAGCCGCATGGCGTGTGCACCAACACGGTATTGCCTGCTTATGCTCCTCCGCTGCTAGGAGGGGTAGGATATAGATAGATATTCGACATGCAACCAGCACGGTCGAGTAACGATGATTGCCCGAGAGATTCGTGCAGCAATAATGCAAGCCCACTCCGAGTTTCACTACACTTTCACTTCGGAGGTGCCTAGAGCAGCCTTGATATTGATCCCGCCCATGGCTAGAATTTGCCACTGTGTATCCAGAGAGAGCCTTCTAGTTGAATAGTACGATTATGAATATGCTGTGTCCCAAGTCCGGGGGACGTATTGTCCCATGAAATCCATGTTGTTCATGGTGGCTGTAGACCTTTGAGAACAGCCAAGAAAGAGATACGCAAGCTGCACAACAGAAGAAAAGGAATTATTTTCTCCGCGGGCTCAGTGCTTGCCAGGGAGAGGTTGCATGCGATTGAAATAATGGACCTGGGTGGTGAGCGTCGCGCACCACATCGATGACGGGTCGCATCCATGCCTATGAAGTGTAGCTTAGTGGGCTTGCGCATATTGTTTCGTAGATGGCTGACATGGCTTATGAGACCGGAAAATAAGGATTAGGAAGATATTTCTTTTTCTTTTCTTTTCTTTTCTTTCTTTTTTTTTTTCCTTTTCTCATATGCTACGGCATCAGATGTCCGATTCACTGATCTGAGCTGTCGATCAGAATCGCAACTGTCATTCTGCTGGCTAATGTGCAGTCGCGCGTGTGTTTCCTCGATCCTACTATTTCCGGTGAACTTGTTTAATGCCTGTCAGGTATTATAATAGTACCTCTCTTCCTTGAATTGCCCAAAAGAGGTTTTGCGTCTGGTGACTCGGGGGTCCTGAGGCACGATCTCCTGGAGTATAAACCCCCCCTCTTTCCTCTCCTCCCCCGCCTATTCCTGTTCACACCCATTCTTTTCCATCAGCGACAGATTGCCAGCGATATCTTTCTGGGTTACATTGGCGCACTGTAGATTTGTTTCCTCATGCTTGACCCTTCCGTGGCCCTCTATAACCTGTGGTCCTATGCGGTTTCTGGCCTTGCCGGTGCAGCCGGACTTCTTCTCTTCCAGCGTTGCGGTTCCGACCCTTTGCAATGATACTAAGCATATAAAATCACTACAATGTGCGATGAAGTTCAAAAGTTGTAGGACTTGCTATTGTGCTTCACATAAATGGCCTGTAGATTGTAGAATATTAGTCGGGCAAAGTAAACCGAAAGTAGAAATCCAAGACAGACAAATTAATCGTACAATGTCGAAGGTAACCCGAGAAATCCCAGAGAAACGTCTCAAAGTATTGATCCAATGCACTCATGTGAATTATTTTTCGAAATAGCCTCATATTGCTCCAAAGTAGACCAGAACAGCTAGTATCCTTTACTTCTGATCCTTATATTGAACCGTATAATTGACCGACTTCACGATGCCATTTTGTTCCCCACTCTCATTCCTAACTATTGCCTGCGCACTCTCTGTATCACCATCTTGATCCCTCCCTGCGTTTGTCAGCTGAGTGTGGAGCGTAGTCAGGTAGTCCCAATTGCGGATCTTCCTAGCTGGCTTCTTGAGCTGATAGCTGTTTTCACTGGACTGCTGGTTTCCGCTGGTGTTTCTGCTGCCGATGCTGCTAAAAAGGCGCGGGAAGGTCTGGAGGAAGAGAGGACGCATGACTGGAAGGCAGGCACATATGATACCGACATTGATTTCGACCATGCTACGCCGAGATGTTAGCTTCGTCAGACGTTGAGCAAGAAAGCAAGCATACCACCAGGTCGCAAGGGTAACTTTGTACCAGGTAAAGTCACTGCTATGAATGAACGGCATCATGGTGATGATTCGAACACATGAAACAATACAAGCACTGGGAAAGTTTAGTGAGTAGTGGTATGAACGTGTGCACATGAAGCTTACAATGAACCGAGAATGAACAGCATCAACAGCATTGTCTTCTGCCTCCATGATACTTGCAGAGACCAGCAAAGACGAATTGGCAGTATTAAAATGATCACATCAGAAAACACATTAAATGCGGCATTTGCGTAAACAAAAGAGAATTGGTCCACGCATTTCGCTCCAGCCGATTTGCTCACGTCCCACATAGCAGCAACTGGTTGACAGCCCAGTGTGAAGACAAGGATACTTGTGAGACTGTATGCCGCAACGAAAGCCATGATAGCGTAGGTGATTTGACGGAATCGTTTCTCGGGACTGAGGCGGAGGTAGAACAGGAGGATGGATGTCTTGACAAACCAGACACCAAGAGAGTATACGTCTTCTTCTGCGAGATCGTACTTCTGAAGTAAGTAAGGGTAGAAATGCGAACGCAGGAGTTAATCAAATACTTACCTTCTTGAATGCTGTCAACTGATCAAGATATAAGTCCCAGATGTGTACTCCATATCCGTTTTTGACATCTGTTCTCGTCAATCTCAGCCAAGGCGAAACCAGATTTCGTAGACATACTGATGATACTGAGAATGGCAAAGATCCATGCACAAAGTTGGCCCATAACGCAGCACGCTGGAAGGTCAGTGGCAATGCCAATTGCCGTTGTCTGATCTACTTACCATCGTCAAGATGTAGATTCTTCAAAATAAATGCGCGTGTGTAAAGCCGAACAATCAAGACCAGTGTCGCCGCGGCACACAAGCCAATGCTGACCGAATAAATCTGATATTCTGAGCCGGGAGGATTCACGAAATTTGGGGTAACTCCAGGTGGAGGAGAGCCTGCGGGAGTTCTGCCTGTGTCTGCCATTGTTGTTTGATGGTTAGAACATTGACCTCTGGCTAGTTTGGAACTAACTCAGTGTTTGAAGTCATTATATACCTTGAGGATGGTACTTTGTTTCCCACCGAAGAATGGATTTTCTTGTGTGCAACCAGTACTAACATCACCCCTGCATATAGAGAAAGTTACCACTAAAAATCATCGCCAAGCTGAACCCGTGTGTGGCTTGATCAATGCGCCTATAAGGCTACTGACTCATATAATTTAATCAATTATCTCGTCACTTCGGATATACGTCCGTAAAGTTTGTTCGAAGAGATGAAGCTATGGGCTCAGATGGCTTGAAGGTAAAGTAACTGACAGCTCAATTCTCCGTTCAGGCCTTTTGATCATTGGTGAATTTGTGAAGATCATAAGCGACATGGTGGAGTATATTGCGATGATCTCGGACGCTGGCCAAACTTAGTTTGCGGAACTGACGGCTCGAGGGTTCTCAAGAGAAATGGGGGCATTTCGGGGATAGCTATCAGTAATCAGGGGCCCGAGCTGGGATGATGATCATTAGACCATTACATGGAGGCTGATCGGTATTCCCAACTGAGAACCGAGGTTACCGGTCGACTTGTTAGGCCGGCCAGCCTAGTCACAGAAATCTAATGTCGCCTTATAAATTGATAGAACGGGGTAACTCTGCACTGACCTGTACTTGATTCTACTGAGTGTATGCGTTCGACAACAAGTGTTTAATTACCGAACGCAACCGCCCGGAAGACTTTTCCTAGCCTCTGAGAGGCTGAAATGGTGTGTTACTATAGCATTGTCGGTCGTCGCCTTCCTGAATATTCAGAAAAAAAGGGACAGAAGAAAGACTGAGCCGTAGCAATGCATAATAGTCTGCTTTCACCACTTAGTGCCGGAAACTTAGGGACATATGGAGGATATCTGGAATGACAGCACGAAAACTCCGTAACTGGACTGTGCTTTGGGTGGACCCACACAACATATTCGATGGAGGTCACTGTTAACCTGAACTTGGTTTTTCCTGATTGCAATGGCTTGGGGAACCGCAGGGGCAAAAGTCCATGCAGGCACTGCCTCCATCCCGCTGCAAGGGAATACTCTAAACGTGCACAACTTCTTGCAAGGGGTACTTCCATACATACATACCTACGTCACAAACTCTCGATCGAGCAATATCTCAAGGGAATGATGAGCTTGCATGGCGAACCTTCTTGCCTTCATTGAGTGATCATCAGAGAGAAGAATATGACCTGTCAACGAGACGAGGGGAACAGCTCAAAAGCTCCATAGCCCAATCGGAAATAGCGGATCATATTCGCCTAAAGCTCATGCACCCGTGGCTCAATATTGGCTACTAGAAGCTGATGCAATCCAATTCGACACGACATCCCTTGGAAGAATACAATTGATTGCCCAGATTCACCTTTGATAAGTCTGGCATTGATTAGTGGCCGTCGGGCAAGAATGCTTCTAGTACATCACCTCACAATAGAATGTTTCACCTGCAAGTTTCATGTGTAACCTAAAACTTTTAGTAACCACTATCTTGAGGAAGCGAGGGATTTCCACACCGGTTTAGTGGGAATATATGATAGCCATGCCGAGGACTGTGTGTCTCACTCACATGCAGTGAGTGAGTGGGTACGGCAGTACTACTCTTGCACTCCGACCCATTCATGAGCTATGTACTGGCACACATGGACCCTTTATATAGTCAACCTCGCAGCCTGGGCAGCCGTAGGTGTCCCGGCAAGGGTGCCCTAGCTGCGTGGATCTCGAGTGACGCGTAAATCAGCCAAGCTACGGGTTGACCACTGCTCGACTAAGTCTGTGTGGAAGCCTATGCTATAAGAAAGCTCTCAGATCCTCTAGATGTGTCCGAGTATACAGTTCATCTACACTTTTACCTCACCTTCAGCACCCTTGACACTGCGTATTACTCCTGTAAAATGGGAACGATTGCCCACAAGGATGAAGCTCTCCAGCAGAGTCTGGATCAACTCGTATCTGCTACGAATCAATACCAGAAGAGCTTCTCGGATGCAGATCGATACAACGTATTGATGAATGCAACGCAATTGATCCAGACCTTACGTGGTCCGGCAGATATGCTTTATGCGCAGTTCGAAAATGTAGGTCATCCTGCTCTACGATGATATAGACTCTGACAATGGTTTTTGTTAGGCTGCCAACACAGGAGCCATAAGAACACTCCTGGAGGCTGGTGTTTTTGAAGCGATCCCCACCGGGGGCAAGAGTATCTCAGCTGCTGAGATATCGGAGAAGACGGGGATGGATAAACAATTGGTTGGTATGTTCTAGATGGCATATCTGCTTCTACTTGTTGAACCTTTTAACAAGCGAATGAATAGTTCGACACATGCGCGCTGCCACTCCAGTTGGTCCCTTTCGTGAGGTTGGAGAAGAGCAATACGCTCATACACCCTTCTCGGAAATCTATCTTGTTCCGCAAATGCGGGCAGTCTACACCTCAATGTGCGAGATGTACCATTAGCAAACGATGAATTTAGAGCTAAGATACTTTGCAGGATGCACGATTTCGTCCCCCCTATGATCCGGAACTGCGATTTTCTCCGTCAAAAGAACTGGAAGAACGAAATCACTCTTCGCAGCAACCCCTACTCATTGGTTCACGACTGCGAGGGCAAGACCGCGTTTGAGCATCTGTCCGCAAATCCCAGCAACTTCCGCCGCTTCAACGAATCTATGAAGGCAGCGGATTCAACCCTAGTCACAATGGGTCTGTATCCATTTACTCAGGAGCTAGGTCCCCTGGCGAGCGATGATACAGTAACTCTGGTTGACATCGGCGGTGGTCGAGGCCACGTTATTCGGCAAATCAAGGAGACTGAGCCCGAACTCAAGGGCCGATTTATTCTTCAAGACCAGGCGAGCGTAATAAAAGATAACGGTGACGAGATTCAAAGGCATGGGATCGAGGCCATGGGGCATGACTTTTTCAAACCACAGCCGATCAAGGGTGCGTTTCTGCGTGTCTTTTGACGTAAAGAGAGTTTAACTGACCGATATTGATTAGGTGCTTTGGCTTACTATATTCGGCGCTGTCTTCACAACTGGCCCAACGACGAAAGTCAGAAGATCTTATCTAACTTGGCTGGAGCCATGGATAAAGAGAAGTCTCGCGTGCTGATTACTGAGCATATTGTGCCTGATGTCGGAGGAACGATGTTCCATGCCTGGATGGATCAGACGATGATGACCTTTGGTGGCCTCGAACGGACGAAGAAGGATTGGGCTCATCTCTTGGATATTTCGGGGTTGGAGTTGGTAAAGGTGTGGCGTGCTCCTGGAGTGCCTGTTGGGGTAGTGGAGGCTAGATTGAAGTGAATATTGTTATAGAACAGAGTAGGCACATATAAGGCGCTAGAATTTAGAGGCAAGTTTGGCTATTCGAGAATGCTGATTGATCTGTTCTAGACTACCTGTAAGAAATGGGGGCAGAAGGTCCCTACTAATATTAACCAGGTCAGAATGAGAGCAAGAGCGGACTTAGCTCAGCAAAGCCTTACGTCAGACCACTTATATTCCGTGACTAGTTTCTCCTGGTAGAGTCTGAAGCTGCTTAGAATACGCTGGCGCTGTGGAAATGTGTTGCTTATCATGAACGCCTTTTCCTTGGCTTGGGGGCCGTTTTACCTTGCGTCTCCTACGCACAGTAATCCTTATCCGGTAAGATATTTGCGAGGGTATCAACATCAATACGCCCGAAGTTGATTATTCAGAATCTTGATACTTGTCTATATTTATAGTATTTGTACAGTGTTTTGCCTCGTCTTCCAGTAAGCCGAAGTCAATAAGAACATCCAAGACACATCTCCATACTCTTAGTACGGAGCAACCGCTCGTCAATAGCCGACAGACTTCAATCTACCCTCATGAGCTAGAAGTAGCCGTGGCGGTGGCCTCACACGCATATGTGGAAACGAGAGTAGACGTGATAGCATAGGTGGTAGTTGCAGGGGTTGGGTTCACGACTTGAAACCAATTCGCCGCCACGGGAGTACCCAAGCCCGTTACTTCCTCGAACTCATCAATGTTGAACCCAAGACGGGCCGCATCTGTTGCAGGCAGCAAGCTCTCGAGGCAGTCGGGCAGGGAGTAGTCTTCTGGCTGGCTGTACAGCAGCAGGATGTAATCGTGGGCAGGTCCTTCCAGCGGTGTCGGGTAGACATACTCCGCGTTTGGGGCGCTCTTGTTGCTGATTTCCAAGACACCAGACGAGTAGGCTAAGTAGGGCTGGTACCAGTGTAGGGCGGCTGTTGAGACACCATCCTCATTGATGGTTGGGTCGATCATGATGATGACGTACTCGTCATCAGTGGAGGTGGTGTCCTCCAGGTACAAGGTGGGAATGTTGATGGTCCCTGTGGAAGCGTTGTGAGCACGGAATGCAAAGGTTTCATGTGTGTCAGAAGCAATTTTTCTTACAGTTCTGGTTGATTAAGGCCCCCGAAGTGAGAGTTAGATGGCTCCCATCTTTGGTGAAAACCACGCCAACATCCGCATCGACGGACGGAGTAAAGGAGGAGGGAGTCGCCGCGGCCGCGAGGCCGACAGCAAGAGTGGAAGCCAAGATCTGGAGAGAACGCATTTCTGTGGTGCTAATTCTTTCTGTAGAGGAGTGTTGGTTAGGATTGTGGTGCGAATTTCTCAATCTTGGCTCCATCCAGATTGTTCTTATAGTCCCTTGCCAAATGCTTGTTTCACTGCCTTGAATTGAACGGGCCGATTAGAATCGGTTTGTGTAAAGGTGCTTCCGAAATTGAGGTTAGTATTCACGGAGAAGCATGGCTGATACATCTACATCCTGAAGTGTTGATTGGCAAGACAGTGATCAGAAGCTTGTAGACGAGGAGGACCAGGATCTCGTATTCGGCTGCACCGCCCCAAGTCTACCAAGGAGGAACAGGTGTGGTAATGCTAGAAAAGGCATCCTCTTCATAGACTAGAAGCAAAAATTCCCGAAATGTATTACGTGAGTAGCAAATCTGAGATAATCCGAGCCTTTGAGGCGTTGCAGGATCGGATGGTGATGAATCTGTTGGGCGTTATAGGTGTTGCATATCTGCCAGGCACACCACGTGGACGCATTCCTTCCGAGTTCCAGTGGGTCTTGATCGTTTGGAATGCAATGGGCAGTTCGAGAGTGATCCTGCAAGATCCTTTTGGGCGTGGCAACGCTAGCGCTTACTCTATGAATGATTATGGCTCCTGTTATGAACTCTGATCCCCTTTCCTCCGGGATGAAACAACCAATGAGTTTCTAGTCGTCAGAAGGGGCCTGATTGCCTTTCAAATATCAGGAGACACTGTACCAAATTACATCATTGCTATCCCTGGAGGATGTAGAGGGTCACAAAGATAGTGCGAGTACGTGACCTTTGATATACTTACCACAGACAATCCCTACTTTATTTACTTTGAAGAGCACAAAGACAAGGGTAATGTACCCATGACGACTAGGAGATACTACACGAAGCGATGTGTATCGAGCAGACGTCTAGACATACTGCACATTTCATGCGTTGATTTTCAATCAGAATATAGCGCAAACCTTCGTACACTAGACTCGGGGAAACCGGAATGAGAAGCTGTGCAACTATCATCCTCCGAACCTTATGTCCCTCATATCCGTTGTCACGCAGAGGCAAAAGCCTCCATTGTAATGCGAGGTGACTAAAATCCTGGAGGTTAAGTGAGTCATGGTCAAAAGCCTGGGCAAAAGGAGAATAACTCCCCACCTACACTGATTATGGCTCTCCCGATTGTGTGACACATCAGCTTATCTTCAGATAACTGAGCACATATAGTATCTCTGTGCCACGACTCTGCACTCGAGGTTCTTGGGTCTTCGCCTTGTATAACGTTGACTGGTAATAATGGCGACAATATTGTGTTACGTAGTACTTCCATAGTGAGGCTTCTTCGTGGCGCCCGTAGGCATACGATCTATAGCATAGGTGGACCACCAATCATAGTTTGCAATATTGGCAATATGTTGGCTAACGGTGGTGGGATTATAAGAGGGCACAGTCTCATTCTCGTGGAAGGCACTGTTACCTATAGTTTCACAGCGTCGTTCATGTCTAAGGCGGGCCATAATCTAGATCGCCTATGAAAACCGAGCTACCACTCTGTGAGAGTATAACAAGAATATCCTTTGTTTGTTTGCTATAATGCAGCTAGCTGGTGATACATACTGAAATAACTCTAAACACCGCTAAGAAAATCCAATCAACGCCGAGCGCTCAGCGCATTCAGCAGGACGTGTCATGACCACTGATAGCGAAGGCGGCCTTCACAGTACCATGATGCAAGGGAGCAGCAGAGCGTAATACAGCACATGAGACTGCCCCTTAGGATCCCTATCCTAGCGTAAATCTCTCATGCAGCGTTCTGTGAATGCCGTCCCATTCTCTGATGTCATCAGAGGCGGGCCTTATGCCCGACATGACGGCACCTTCTATAGGTATATTATAACTAACTCTTGTACTCATGTTCCAGTTCTTTTCGACTGATGAGACAGCCCCTCACGCCTTTCCGCCGGACTTCAGGATCTGCTCCAGATTCTCCCGGCTGTTCTTATGTGTCATTTCCAGGTAGTGTAGCTTCTTTTCCAAGCCAGTAATATCCGCCTTCAGATCTCCGCTCTCGCTGGACAGGCGCTTGTCGATCGTGTTCATGGGGACAGCCACAAACCTAAGAAAATAATATCAGTTATTATGGCCGCGAGATTCTTCCGTCTTCAAAGCATCCTTAGAAGGGTGGAATAGCAGCCCGCCAGTAGACTCACATCTTGCCAACACCCTCATATACCCTTGTGTCCTTAGGAAGGGAGCCGATTTCCTTTGATGTCAGCTCCAGCATGCGGATGTCTCTCTGCTTAGTTGTGATCTGCGCCTTGGTGATGCCGATCTGTTGTTGGGAGGTGATGGCTTGGACTTCAATTTCTTGCAGAAGCTGTTTGTCCGCAATACATTAGTTATGAGGATCTGACAAATTTGCTGGGACAATGTACCTTCTGCAGAGCTTCGTTGGGGATGGACATTTTGGGTAAGGAGAGGGGAGTCCCGCTTTGGTATTGAGGGGTAATCTGGGGTCGAAAGAAGTCGCGTCGTCGGGTCGGGAAAAGCGCGTATTCAGGTTGACCCGGCAGTTATTTCTGTGGTATTTGTCGAGATGATACGTGGATTGGGTGTAAGAGTAACAGGAAAGGCTGTTTGTTGGTTATCTATCGTTCTGATCAAGCTCGACGATGAACACATCGGCCGTCCGCTGTTATTGGCTCCGAGGCCCGGGCGGTAGATGATACCGAATTTGGACATCAGTCTAGGGCTTAGGGCTTCAAGCAGAACAACTACTGGTGTACAATTCTCGTGAAAGAACAAACATGTATGGTCTTCCGATAATAAATGTTATTGAAAATCAATTAATACATCATTGAGGCTCGCATTTTGTTGTACTCAGCCTGGGTGGTTGGCTTATATTTGGCCGGGTATGCCTCACTCATGCATGACGGAATACACTCAATGATCATGTCTGGATCAGGGGACATGAAATACGGAATTGAGTAACGCTCCCGTGTCATCCGGTTAGGCCCCTCAAATCGATCTGGGAGTTGTGGCAGTCTGACGCGGTGATTGGTTGACCTAAGGCGATCTGTATTATCGATTAGGAATAAGGCCGTTTTCACACTACTACTAATGATTCGCGGGGAATGGCAAAGACAAACCATTGCTCCACATTTGCAATAAGTCCCCAATGTTCATGATGATAGCATGTTTCAATGGGGCAGCTGGGACGAATGTGCCGGGCCGAGAAATATCCTCTACTTCAAGGCCACCACAGTCATCCTGGAAGAGCATGGTTATGGAACTCCAATCTGTATGTGCCGGACATCGGGCGGTTCGCTCTGTCTCCAACTCCTCTGCCGGCACAGGTAGATAGTGCAGCAACCGGAGCTGGTTGTTGTGGCCCGAATGCTTTCTTCGTCAGGTAACAGCCATCTTCCAAGTCAAGGCCGGCAGCTAAAGCATGTAGTATCTCGCTTCCAACCTTATTGCACTTCCAGTAAAACTGAACCATAAAATTCCGGTAACCAGGAAGAGTCTCTTCCGGTAACCACTGGTTGGGCTGAACGGAATTCTCTTCGCTGCCAATATCGTAGATTTCCTGTGCTCAAACGTCATTCCGAATCTCAATATAAGACTCGATGGCGACAATTATGAAGAATTTATCTGTCTAATAGCTCACTGGGGCGACATGAAATCGAACAAACCTTGACATCGGGTACCTCTCTCAGCTTCTTCCGCGCGTCCTCGTCATCCCCTGTGCTCATGACTTGAGAAACCTTTTCAAGACCGGGCCATGAGTAGCCTCGATGTACAGCCCAGCCCTCCGGATGCGGGGCCCGCATCTTGTCTTCTCTTGAGAGCTCAAAAAAGCGTCTCATCCAGTCAAACGCTTCATCCAAAACCGAGCCAGGAAGCGAGTGGTTCACTATATATACGAACCCGACATCTTGGCAAGCCTTAACCAGTGCATGTGCGACCTGTTGACGAGAGGAGGCATCCGGGCTGTTGTACCACTGCGAAAAGTCCACGACGGGGATCTGCATCTGAGTAGAACTCGTAGAGCAAGACATATCGAATATATTAGATACCTAAAAGTGTCTCGAAGCTCGAAGAATAAATTTAGCTAGTTAAGAAGGAATCTGAAGCTGTCATGCGATAAATAAAATTTGCGATGACACTTTCAAGGAGCTGTTGCAAGATAGATGGCTAGTGCATTAGCTGGTCTGGCGCTTAGTTCCCAAATTGCTAGGCCGATCATATGCTTTGCGATCGTGGAAGTAAAAGATTCCACGTGAACGTCACTTTCAAGAAAAGGAATGAGCTGGTATAGCCAGCAGGTTTGGTATGTCTGAGTGTTTCATGAAGATCTAGAAAGACCTGAGGTAAGCTTACTATTCACGTGGTGTAGTTGATTTGTTACTCCATGTGTGAAGTGACATCATCTGGTGACGAAGTACTAGTAGCAGACCCTGAGATCGGAGCTGGAGCAGTATTTATCCACTCGGTGATAAAGCCTATGGAGACCGGCGGAGTGCCGGGTGATTGCCTGGCTACGGTGCAGATTTTCAATCAATGCGAGCCAAAAATAGGTGGACAAGTCCCATCCTCGCACGGGTGGCTGGTTATTGAGGGGCCACGGGCGACACTCCGTTGCTGTGGCAGGGGATCGCAGTGGACCCGGCGCTGCCTGAACAACCTAAAGATGCAGCATCCATCACCCACACTTTCCGGTGTCCAAACCGGCTTGCTCGAGTGAGGCGAACCCGGCAGAAATTACTACAAGAAGAAGTTTTCCAGGAACACGTAAGTGTGCTTTTATCCGCCCAGGGTCATGTTCGTTGAGCTACTGTGTACTTGCAAGCGCTATCGACCACTACTAACATCTACTTCTACCGCTTTTAGTAATCTGTTGATCGCCGCCGCAAAGCCGTCGCATAAAACCGGTCCTCAACAGATCGTACGATTAGACTGGTCACAGTCTCCCGCTGCGGTAGTGACATATTCCGACGTATATCTTCGATATTCTGTCCTGTCATATCTGAAGGGCGCGCTATAGCCCTAGCCTTGACAATGAAGCTCTTCGGGTGGATCTCGGCAGCATTCCTCGCTTCGACTGTTCTTTCGATAGAAACGACACCAGCTCCATCAATTGACACTATACCATTCTATCCACCCCGCAATGCGGACTCGGGACGGAGGGCCTTTGAAGTACTACAACTATTAAGGAAACGGGGCGATAACTGTCCTTCTGGATATGATTCTTGCACAAACCTAGGCTATTCGGATATATGCTGTGCCGACGGTAGCAGGTGCACCCGCGACGCCGCTGACAACGTCGCCTGTTGCCCGACTGGAGCAAGCTGTACGGGCACGCTCTCAGAAACCGGAAACGCGGGGGGAGGTGCAACTAGCAGCTTCCGATTCCCCCAGACAGCGACGGCTACACAGACTACGGATGGGACGAGCGTGACTCTCACGGGCTCTACAATTGCCGGGGCATATCCCTTTGTCAATATTCCGACATCATTTGCCAACGCGCGTGTTTGCACATCATATTACTCTCTATGTCAGAGCGAGTATACTGGTTGTCTTTCGCAGCTCGGAGGAGGCTATGCTGTGACTGTGGCTGCAGAAGGGGGAGGTGTCACTCGCGCTGGTGGAGGAGCTTCTGCAGCTATATCAACATGCTCTAGTCTGAGTATGGAGGCATGTCACGGCCTCAGCATTGGTTACTGCGGCAGTTACAGTACTGATGTCTACGAGAACCGGGGAACGATGCCCAGTCGGAGTTCCAGTCTTGAGGACCTTTTCTTTGGCATGTTCATTGGACTTGCCGGGATGTTCCTATGAAGCTACGACCAAGCTTGATTTTCATGTGGATATGCATGTATGAGATATGGACATACGCTCGCTCAAATGACGTGAACAATTTTTTCGAAGTTAACAATGACCACTGCGACACTCAAGCGACAACTACCTCGGTTGAGAATGCCCATCCTTTGGGTAGCTGAAAAAAATGACGGAATGTATCTATGAAGTGATTGATGATGGGCGATAGTCAGGCAGCTATCAGTATAATGAGTCTCATGATTTTGTGGCGTTCTGTATATAACAAGAGCATCTAGATTAGCAATAACAATGAAGGAAATTGAATGATCGGATTATGATGGCTTCCCTATTTGGAAGTTTGTACAGTGAGCTTGTTGCTCAGAAATACACAAGAGAGATGCAGGTTGACGACCAGGGTGCTGCATCCATGGCGCCTCACCACCACATCATTATTAGGGTTCACCATGTAGCAGAGTATTTATGATGTGAATGTCGGGCCACGGACAATGCGCACTTCTAGTCACCCGTGCCAAATCACTGCCTAAGCATGGGGCCCCTCCGTTGGGTGACACGTCGGTGTAGTCACCACACAGTATTCGCCTGATTTGTGCCGACGGATGGAGGCCCATGCAGTCAGTACCTGACGGACGCAACTCCGTCGAATCAGAGACTGGGTCTGCTAGACCGACTCGCCATGGAACAAAAGATAATCTGGCGGTGGAGCCGACAGCACAGTAGGCCGGGTCTGTCCAAGTTCCGGACTTTTCGCCCACGGACACTATTGGGTGCAGACAATGACGCTGTCAGGAACTGAGGGGAGAATTGGTGATGAGAGGGGCAGCAACGGCATCATCGGCCACTTCTCTGCCATTGGATCACAGCGGGGCAGCAACATGCAGAGTCAGGAAAAGTGGGCATCCCAGCCTCCGAAATTTCCTTTTTTAAATTATGATCTAAGTTTATCTTCATCACTGATTCACTGGGCCTCGCAGTGATTGGTGGTGGTCGTCGCAGGAAATGCGGTGGTTGGGAAGTCGACCGGACGGAGGCTGGGATCAAGAAGAGCGGACGGGCTGCTCGTGGGATGGCACCCTGCTCCGACTTCTCTCCTCCAACCCTCCATACATTTTCTCCTCAACTGATATGCATTCTTTCGATCTCTGCTCTGCAAGCTACTTGTGACGGTCTCTTGCATTCCATCTATTTGCTTGGCTTCCTTTTGTTCGCTGTCTCTCCTTCTATAACTCCTTGTCATACCAAGACCTAGTATATCGAATCATCCATCGGAACCCAAAATTTGTCCCTAGCAGCGATCGCAATCCAAGACTGCTTTTGGTCGCATCGTGGGCTGACCTCGTGGTCGTGGAAATTCCTACATTCTTCCCTCGCCATGCATGCGTCTCGCATAATCCCGTCGACTTTATCTATACTGGCCCTACTAAGTCAGTTTCAACTCTCGATAGCCTCGCCATTGGAACCCGAGGAGAGTCTCGAGGAGGCCACTTTAGAAAAGCGCTGCTCAAATCCTTGCGGTTACTATAGTCAGCTTTGCTGCAGCTCAAGCGAAACATGCAGCACCAATAGTGATGGCGAAGCTGAGTGTGTCGCTTCCGGAAGCTGGGAGTACTACACCACCACGTATGTCGTGACCGAAACAGAGCGTGCGACTTTTACTTCAACATGGAGCTCCTACGTTTCGGCAACAACGAGCACTGGTAGCTGCAATGCCGAGTATGGCGAAACGGTCTGCGGCAGCGATTGTTGCGGTCCTGCATATGTCTGCTCCGACAATCAATGTATCCTGGGAAGCACGTCAATCTGGGCAACTGCTACTGCCACACCTCCCGTGCGCGGAACAACGCTATCGACTGTAACCCAAACGGCTACGACTACTGAGCCTTTCACTGCCCCTGTTAGCACAAGCGGCACGCCATTGGTTGTGAAGGGCTCTGGCGGGGGACTCAGCGGCGGAGCCATCGCGGGAATTGTTATCGGAACAATTGCTGGCGTGTTCCTCCTGTTGCTTCTCTGCGCTTGTATGTGCTGCCGTGGAGCACTCGATTCCGTCCTTGCTTGTCTTGGTCTCGGTGGTGGCAGGAAGCGGAAGGAAACTACTTACGTCGAAGAACGTCGTCGTCACCACCATAGTTCTTCCGGAGCCAGACCTGAGCAGCGCACCTGGTTCGGCAGTCGACCGGCTCCCTCAACAGCAGGTGGCGGTAAAAAGAAGGAGTCTGGAATGGGTGCGTTGGCGACAATTGGGATCGTCCTGGGTGCGATTGCGCTGTGTCTAGGGTTGAAGAGGCGCAGAGACCATCGCGACGCAGACGAGAAGACCGATTACACGTACCCGAGCACCTACTACAGTTACTACTCCTCTGACTACTACACCAATGATGGTAAGTGATCTCTTGTTGCTCTTTTGATCAAACAAAATCGATGATGCTAATAGTTTTGCAGGAAGCGTTGTGACAGATGATCGGCGGACGAGAGACACCAGAAGAACTAGACGATCGCGCACGCGCTCACGAAGATGATGATTTTATGATTTCAATTAACGAAAAAGAACGACTTACCGAAAGACAACGAATTACTGAATGTTAAATCCGTTGTCAGACTTTATTTGAACGATTTTGCATGAACTGGCGTTATCCAGGGTTTATGATTGACGTGTGATGGTTTCTTCTTTCGTGTTCGAAAGATCTGCAATGTACGATGATGAGACATGTATCCATGTTTTAATGCCCTTGACTGTATCTGCTCTTATCCCTTTTCTTTGTCTCTTCGCCTTTGTTCTCCGTCCCTGCTTCTGTCTCTTTCCCATCTCTTAATTGAAAGACGCGGAAGGATATTGTGCTGTAGATAAGATTCTCAATATAAATTGACAAAGAACAGTATTGTACATATTAATAAACATTATTGCCTACCTACATCGTACATCAAGTATCAGAAAGTTAGAAGTAAAGAGCATCTCGGCCCAGAAACGGTGAGGGCTGAAAACAGGAGTTCTACATATCCAGAGCTGCAAATGCCCCCTCAATCACGTTCCTTGAAGGCCGACGCGGGGATAGCTACAGGTGTATGAAGGACTAGAGCAAAAGTCGCAACTTTCGAGAGATCCAGTGTCAGCGCACCCCTTAATCAAGAGCTGATTCTTGATAATCATGCACCTGCCGGAGCAACTCGTGCGTTCTTCCAATAACTGCAGCTGCAAGGCGGCCATCAACGGCCAGCATGCCAACCCAAGACAGAGGTGGAAGGAGTTGTCATCATACTTAGATTCGGCTCCACCGATCTGGTAATAAGGGCAAACTGAAGGGATAGAAAATGTGAATCGATTCGTGTTACCGATCCACGCGATCAAGTTGTTCCGATCGAAGCGGTTCGAGTCCGACAGGGTCCAGAGAGTGAAGCTCGGCACCTTGTCGACGGCACAAACTGCCCGGGCGGAACCTGCGACTCCCCGCCTCCCGTAGTCCCAAGCCATCCATCCATCATTTCACGCTCGCCTGTCCTTCAATCCCGCTGTCATTCCCACGCCCTCGTCACAACCCCCCCACAACTCTCAACTCTTGTATTCGAAAACCCTTATCCATGAGGCTACTATCGAGTATACGATCCTGACAATACCTACTCAGCATCATAGTTCATTTTGCCCTCGTCCGGCTTTTCCCCGATCATCCAGGGCTGTCAAGTCTTCCCTCCTGAGGATTACGAGTCCCGTTGAGCTCCGATTCTTCGCTGGCCCGCCATGCTTCAAACGCAGACTCAGCACGTCTTTTCCCACCAGCACCAGTATCCGCAGGCTGATCCATCCTGGCTGCAGCAACAGCAGCAGCAGCATCATCAAACCCACCCGCACCAGGCTCAGCAACCGCATTCTTCGTTGGTCGCCCAACAGCATGCCCAAGTCCAGGCGGCTGCAGCCGCCGCTGCAGCTGCTCAACAACAACACTATACTCGCATAGCCATGGCTGGGAACGCCGGTGCCGGTAATTCCGCTCAAGGGGCTGGTGCAGGGGGCATTGGTGGGGATGGTGCTTTGCCCGGTGCGGTGTCCGTGATGGATGGTGGCATCAGTGATGAGAATCGGAAAGTTTTCATCTGGGTCGCAGAACTCCTCGATCCGAGTCGCAGAGAAGCAGCTCTCATGGAGCTTAGCAAGAAGAGAGAGCAAGTGCCGGAACTTGCGTTGGTTATCTGGCACTCTTTCGGTACGGAAACCCCCCTTTGATCGGCTTTGTTGGTGGCGACTAACGGGCGTTTTTTCAGGCGTCATGACCGCTTTACTCCAGGAAATCATCTCTGTATACCCGTTGTTGAACCCTTCGCAACTGACTGCGGCTGCATCAAATCGAGTTTGCAATGCGCTTGCTCTCTTGCAGTGTGTGGCTTCCCACAACGAGACTCGCACCTTATTTCTAAATGGTACGCAGCCGTCACCTAGGAGCCATCCACCCCACCCTTCGTTTCCAAGTAGTGTGTGCTTTGACTAACAAAATCTCTTTCGCAACAGCTCACATTCCTCTGTTTCTCTATCCTTTCCTCAACACAACGTCAAAGTCGCGGCCCTTCGAGTATCTCCGCCTCACCTCGCTCGGCGTAATCGGAGCGTTGGTCAAGAATGACTCATCCGATGTCATCAACTTCCTCCTTACCACAGAGATCATCCCTCTTTGCCTACGAATTATGGAGACCGGCTCAGAACTTAGCAAGACCGTTGCAATTTTCATCGTGCAGAAGATTCTCCTCGACGACATCGGCCTCGCGTATATTTGCGCAACGTATGAGAGGTTCTATGCAGTTGGAACCGTTCTGAGTAATATGGTTACTCAACTTGTTGAGCAACAGACAGTACGGCTTCTCAAGCATGTAGTGCGCTGCTTCCTTCGGTGAGTCGTGCCACGATTTTCCTTGTATCGCGTAACTCGGTTTGGTTCTTCAAATGCTGACTTCTGTAGCTTGAGTGATAACAGCAGGGCGCGAGAGGCGTTGCGTCAATGCCTTCCCGAACCTTTGCGCGATGCGACATTCTCCTCCGTACTCCGCGACGACGCCGCCACTAAGCGCTGCTTGGCACAGCTTCTCATCAACCTTTCGGATAACGTCTCCGATGGCGCACCTGGTGTTGCGATGTAAAAAGTTCAAAAGCATTTGTTTTCCTTCTGGTTTACTTGATATATTTGACAACCTTACGACATGCATGGGGCGGGCTTTAGGCGAAACACGGAATACAAGGCGCAAACTGTGTGGAATGGCAATGCAATGACGCGATCTCAGGAAAGTTGCACAAAATCAACAGAGAGAAAAAGAGAAGACATGGCGGGTATGGGAGCACTGGGCTTGGGGGTTTCTGTCTTGTTATGGTTTGAAAGGTTCTGTTGTTTTGCTGGTTATCTATTCTTTCTTCCCTGTCCCTGGCTTTTACTGTGGCTTTCTTTCTGCTTTCTATTTACCCCTATTTTTCATTCGTCCAACACTTCGTTCCCCTTCGGCCATAGTGGTATGGCTGTGCGGTGGCGTGGATACGGCTGGCGCTATTTTTCTGTGTGCATTTTGCTTGTCCTCTATGTTCCCCATTCCCCATCCTCCATCTGAGTGAGATAGACCCTCTTTGAGCGAGATACCAAGATCTAGTTTCATGTTTCGTTGGATGGTGCTGATTCTGCTTGTTGCTTAAGTTTCATTTGCTGGTGACCTGATTACATGCAGAGGCAAATTATCATTATCATAAGACATTCTCTCCTTGACTTCATAATATGAGCCTGTATCATCATCTAAAATAGTCTCCACGAGGCCTTGGTAAAATGTGAGAAATCGGATCGCATCGAAAGCGCAAGGCTTATCGGCACGGGATCGACCCAATCGGCGGATGGAAGTCACCTGACCGGGGTCTCGACGCGCCGCCCGGCGATTCTGTGAGCTCATCTCTTCTGCCCAGCCCGACACGCCCGCCCTGGCGAACGATTTCCTGTCTTCACGCCGCTGTCGATCACGTCGATACCTACTCATTCTGCCATTTGGTAGAGGCACCTGTGCTCGTTCTTCTGTTGCATATACGCTGCGATAATCATCCTTCACAGAACTCCCGCCCCCGCCGCAGATCCGCCGCAGTGGTCGAATCTTGTCCTGCGCCGCGGCGCCTTTAATGGTCTATATCCGCCTTCATGGTATCGCGAAAGCGCACCCGCTCCGAGGTGGACGCTGCCCCAGAGCAGCCACCTGAGGAGCCGGGTTTACTCCAGAAGCTTCGAAACTGCTGGGAGTTTGCAAGCCTAATGCAATACATTGCCATATTTGGGAAAGTTATGAAGATTGACGAGGATTTTGGGATTGAGGTTCGCAGTGCAAATCCAACACCTCCAGTTTTCTTTACGTTTGGGCGCGTTCGACCAATGCTAATAATTTACTCCGATATTCTGCTTATAGGATCTGGAAACTGAGTGCCTAAAGCCTACCCCTTCCGAGAAATTACTGGAGATTGGTCTCTGTCTCTTGAAATGGGTGTCGTCGCATCGGGGCCTCACGTACGTGAACCGTTAGTCTGGCCATAACTGTAGCTATGCTAATAGGATGCTCCTGCTGATAGTTTCGATAACTTCGATGAGTACACGCGACGTCAGTACAATGCGAAAGCACCACACATTCCTAACCCTTTCGGGTACGAAGAGGTTCCGAAGAGGTTCTTGGACTTTGATGTTTTCTTGAAATTGCGCGTCTTGCACCAGCTGTCTATTTGGACCTTTTGGAATCCCGATCGCATCCGCGAGAAGATGCCGGAGCAAAGGGAATCGGATCAGACGGAGTGGGTGGGTTTTACGTGACACACCCCTGGATTCCTATTATCTTTACTGACCTTTTGCTAGCGTATCGAAGAAGTAGGCTACGATCGTGAAGGCCGTTACTACTATATTCTCGATGATAACAGGCTCTATCGCCGCACCGACCCCCCTATTCCGCCGCCAAAACCGGCCAAGTCGAAGTCGAGGAGAAAGAGCGCCCGTGCCATGAGAGCCTCCAAACGAAGACGAGTTACAGGCGCCGATCCCATTGAAGAGTCTGATGAGGAAGATAATGTTGTGAACGGCGACGCCTCAGAGGATCCTCTGCAAGCGATGACGTGGGAATGCATCGCCATTACACTAGACGATTACAAGCAGTTCCTCGAGTCCATAAGGAAGACAAGGGACCCCGATGAAAAGATCCTGAGGGATAGGATTGATGAACAAGTCATGCCCATTATTGAGAAGGAAGAGGAGGCACAAGAGAGACAGAAACAGAAGCGCGAGAAGGAGCTTTTCAACATGCAGTTGCTCGCTGGGGCTAAACGATCCAGTCGGATTGCCGGAAAGGCTGAGAAAGAGCGACAGGAGCGTGAGGCCGCTGAAGCAGCACGTAAACGAGAAACCGAACTAGCCGCAGCCCGCAAAGAGGAAGAAAGAGTGAAGAAGCTGGAGGCGGAAAGACGTTCGCGCATCATGACCCGGGAACAGCGTACTAAAGATCGCGAGAGGAAGCGGATACTACACGAAAGCGAGCTTCAGCGCATCAAAGAAGAGCAGGAGAAGGTTGCACGGGGTGAGAGCAGAGCCTCTGAGAGACATCTTCAAGCGGAAATGGAGAAGTACCGCAAGAATTTGGAAGACCTTTCGCAGGAGGATCAATGGATCTTCGACTGCTCAGGCTGCGGTGTTCATGGTCAGAATTTGGTAGGGCATGATCGTATCTTTAGATTCCTATGGCAAGTGTACTGATTTTCACTAGGATGATGGCTCTCACAGTGTTGCATGCGAATCCTGCAACGTATGGCAGCACAGCAAGTGTCTCGGTATCCCCAAGAGTGAAGCCGAACGAGAGGATTTCCACTTCGTTTGCAATGACTGTAAACGGCGCGAAGAGGAAGCGAAGTTGCCCAAACTTCCACCGTTGAAATTCCGCGTCGGCTCGTCGACCTCGCCGTCCTCAGCTGCGCCAGACGGAGATACCAAGATTAAAGTCCCAGATCCGGAACAAAGTCCCATATCGTCCATCAAAACCGCTCAGCATACCTTCCAGTTGCCTCTTACTGGGTCCCCTCAAAAGCAACCTCCTTCCATGCCTTCCGTTCCCTTACAAAACCCCCCTCAAGCCGTCTCCTTCCCTCCTCTGTCCCCCGAGCGCAGGCCTCAGTCCGCCCACACCACGTCATTCAGCCCTCCTCGAGCTCCATTCTCTCCATCAAAGGGCTTGAATGGACATACTCCGTCATCCAAGGATCAGATTCCGAAACTGCCATCCATCCATCAAGCAATGCATTTACCACCCCATTCTCGTGAGTCCTTCAGCGGCGGGTCGTTTCCGGCGCGGCGACCGTCGTCCTCTCACTCTACTCAGAGTCCCACTCTGCCTTCACCCATTCAAAACCGGCCATCTATGTCCCCAACGCAGGGAAACCGAGATGTTGGTCCTCTTGCGGGGTTTCCACCTGTAGCTTCGACAGATCACTCAGCCCCATGGACGCCGTATGGTCAACATCAAACCCCCCGTCCAAATACGGGCAATCATTCTTCCTTCTCTTCCTTGCATAACGGGCGTCCATCTTTCATGGCCACACCAACTGCAACTCGCTCCTCTCCTCCACAAAGTTCCCATGGTGTGCCTCTTTCGGGAATCAGTCCGACCAAGCAGTCACCCCGTCCTATGACATCTGGCAGCGTCACTGGAGCTCCAGTCCTTCCTCCGATTCAGAAGCTCGAGCCGAGTCCTAAACTAATGGGCCGAAGCTCACCTGATGCACCCATTCCGCCGCCGGTCAAATGCATGACACCGGAGCAAGAGGAGCGCAGGCAAAGGGAAAACGCCATGCTGCAGGCCCAATTGCACGGGACCAATGGCCCGCATTCAGTGATGTCGTCGCCATCACTCAATCGTATCCCACCTTTAGGGCCTTCTGCGGTTGCTCAACAGCCTGCGCCATCTCCTCAGTCAGGCTCAAAGTGAAGTCGCTTGGTACTTTCTGCTTATGCATGCTGGCACAAGGGCAGCTGCACAACAAATAGTATACCCCTCTCGTTGTTCGAAATTGAACCCATACATTCACTCGTCGTTTTGTCCTTGGCTCGATTATTGGTCACCTCAAACACCGAATCTATCAATTGTGGTTCGGCAGGTTGATCTTTCAGCGCAGTAAAGCTTAAGCGGCCAAATTCTTTGGAGGCGCCAAGCCATGCGCGCAGGTCTTGTGTACCTTCCTTTCACCTTCTGTCTCCTCGCAGCGTTTGAGTCCGGGGAAACCAGCTGGTGGTCCTGGGTTTTCCGCTGCTGTTTTCTTCGTAAACTCTGTTCTTCCATACATTGCTCTTCGAAGTGCGCACGATGTGGAGTGTGTGCTGGTCTAGCAATCCACACTGGGGATTTTTGCTTTTTCCTTTTATGCTACCTATTTTGCTTGGTTGGTATGGTTGGTCTATGCTTCTCTCGTGTCTTAACTTCTATTTTGATATACTGGAATGGTGGCGTTGCGGGATACTGAGCTAATAGAGGGATGGGGTTGACAAATGGATGTGAAGTAGACATTGACTAGATGTAATAAAAGCGAGGCAATTACATTCTGATGGTTTTAATTATGGACCGAGATCGATCCTGTAGATGATCACCGTCATTTCTGTTGTCGCTGCCCCTTATGAATCGTACATATCCCGACTTCGTCGTGCAATTGCTACTACTTTCAAGTCAAACACTACTCGACCACTGATGTGAGAAGTACATTCACGCAAAATAAAATTATAAACAGCCCACGCCAATCATTACCGACAGTGATCATCAAGCCCCTCCCCAAATTCCCAGGCACATATGCCAACACTACACCGACTTCAAACACCCACTCCTACAACAAAATCCACCAGAACACCCAACCCCCAAGGACAGAAACAAATATGAACATAAGCATTACGCCGCAACCGCAACGGCAAACAAGTCACCAAACCAAGCAAGCGCCATGCATGCATCCCACAGCCTCATCGCCCTGCGCCAATACGCCTAAGCAATCTAGTACTCACACTACTCCTCCATTGACCCGAAGTGGATCATCACCTCTAATTTAACTAACCAGGCCCCAATATATGTAATGTCAGCAAGATGTCTCAGATCCCGTTCTGTCCCCTTCCACCCCGTGCGTATGTGCGTGCATGCATACACAGAAACAAACTACATGTCACTTTCGGATCTGTCACCTGTCAAACTCGATTATCTATTTATCTGATGCGATCATACCCCTATAACTTATAGATTGTATTGTGATCCCGACTGACTTGAAACAGGATTAATGTATATGGTAGTATCGTGGCGTAGTATGGTTGCACTGCATGTGAGATTGAGTGGTGTGTGGGTACTTAGTAGTGGGTAAATCTGAAGCAGGGTCGCATTGGGGAAGGGGGGGAAAGGGCCGCGTGGTTTAATTTCGCTTTGATTTCGTTTAAACTATTTATATCATGTATACTAGTATACTAGTAGTAGGCTGTGAGGCTATGAGGCTATTAGTAAACGGTTTGGTATATTGTGTCGCCTCTCGGGATGGGGTTGCTGCGGCAGATGGATGAAATGGATAAATGAGGTTTTAAAGTCGGTTAAAATTGATGGGTTAGGATCCGATGTCAACTTACTAACTACTTAGTCCGTGTAAGTATATAGAGTGGAGTAGGTGGTGGGAGTGGGCTGGCTGGCTTGCTGGCTGATCGGGTATGAACGGGGGTTTTTCTGGGTGATAGTCCTGATTGCCCATACTTAGGATGGAGGGAGTATATATGTGCGTAGTATCTACTACAAAGTTGGTGTATCTCAAACATGTGGCTTTCAAGCTGGTCAAACACACTATTCAAACATACTACAGCAGCAGAGTAAAAAGTAAGACACTATCCCACTCATACAACGAGATTGTTAGGGAGGGATTTTCCACACAATGGTGACTTTGTCGGCTCAGTTCCCTGTCTTGCCCTAGCTAGTTACTATTTAGTAGTTCAGAACTAATGACTTAGTTCTCACTTGCTAACCAGGATCCCAGTTCACTAAAACCACATGAGCTAGGATCATTTAGGGAGTTCATTCCCAACATCCCCTACTCATGCAGTAGTTCACCTCACAGTAAATACCTCCCTAATCCTCCTAATCTATCGTTCTCCTGAAAACGTTCGCTAGACTAGTTAGTTAGTCAGTTAGTTTGAAAATCACAACCGAAAAGAAATGAAAAGTTCTCGACACGGCGGAATGAACCGATCATACTAGACTAGTCTCCCTTTAGGGGAAAGTCGCGGCTTGAAATGGATCGTTTGGATATATTGATTGATTGATCGATTGATAGCTTGGTTGAAGTGGACTGAACTGGACTGTCTTGGAGACACATACTAAATCAACAAACTACACGCACTTGTAGTTGGATGACTTGGCTCCACTACTACCCGGAGATTGTGAGAACAGTAAGCATTTGTAGCTTCCTTGGTATCTCCGTCCTCCGATCGGATCCGGATCCGTGTCCGGACGGTAGTGGGGAGGGGGACGAGCTTGCCCGCACGGTCTAGACGGTGGCCTTGTCCGTGTCCTTTTCTCCGTGTGTATGTGTGTGAGTTATATGATGGGCGAGGGTACCATGGGTTGGGATAGTATGTTTTGTCTGGTCTGAGAGCCGCATGCTTCCAGAGGTACATCCTTATCTTGGGTTTTTTGGTATGTAGCCGATCCCAAGGTATGTAGCGGACAGGCACCGAGGCATAATGAGATACATTTTTCTCAGGAAAAGCAAAAAGAAGTATGCAAATACGCGGAGTACTGTGTGACTTGACTTGACCAGTCGAATTTCGCCCGAGCCCGGAATATCTCCGCAAACGCTCAGGTGCAAACATTTATAGACGCATCTCAGAGAAACAAGCACTGCGTAGGGATAAATAATCTCTACCTACGATGGCAAGGCAACATAGCAGATCAGAAGACCGATTGACCGATGGCCATGATAATTTGCCCGTCAATCTTGGCGATACATACACGAACACGGATTGATCACCCACGTACTTGTGCCCCGAATGCCTCAAAAATGGAACTAAACACACATAAATCCGCATAGCTATACACCTACATATGGGAACACAAAGTGTGTGATCATCGATGGAGAATCAGCTAGTCATACTGAGAATGCTACCTGCATGGAAGGATTCCGGCACCTTCTGGCCCAAATACTGGAACCCGATTTTTGCCGTCCACTCAAGTCTCATTATCGGATGTGCGCGAAACCATAATTAGGTTTCCTGGGCTGCGCAGGTGCGCCCTGCTACTCCACTGAAACCGTTCCGGCTGATCTTCTGGTTTGGAGATAGCAACTATACTCGGTTCAGCCTGGAAAGACGTGCCGGTGCCCTGTTGCGTCCATACATAACACGCACAGGACCGGGAATGGTTAGACAGATGTCACTACTGTTGGCAACTTTGGAGAAGGCAAACACAAAAGTGACGGGAGTTTGTTACAAAGCGGGAAATGCTGTAAGCGGCAGGCCATTTGTGAGGTACCTCGCTTGTACTTTTATTGGTGACCGTCCGCTTAGAATAGGTGGAATGGGTACCTCCTGGCTACTCGGGCTGGGTTGGCATGGCATTCGTACTAGTAGTGGGATTCGCTGTAAGGAGTACCAAAAGAGGCAGAAGAGGGGAGTCAAGGGCGATGTTAGGTTCGAGCGCCCATGTTGCAAACACACGTTGTCTGCGAGATGTCAGATGTGTAGGTTGACCTCGGGCATGTTCAGTTCGTTATTCCCCCATACCTTATCTCCTCGATTGGTTCCAGTGGCTTTCCTTCTGTTGGTTCCTGTTCCGGTCATTGGAAGCGAAATGTGTCATGTCTCACCGACTGCATGACACGACGATCCCGTGGTGTGGGAACTTCCAGTTGGAAATTTGTAAGGCTGAACTGTCTGTCCGCTTATCTACATACTCACTGCTACTAACTAGTTCACCTGTCAAAATTTTAGATCGTCGACATGGTGACCATGACAAATTCGGTGCGGCTGCCTGACAAGGCTGGGCTTTACGCATCTCGCGTGGGAGGCTCATTGGATGATGTGTGAATGATTTCCCGACAATGCCTCAGATCAGATCGTCTGAACAGGCTAATATGAACGGCTGCCAGGCGTTGGAGATGTTGGAGCTGTGTTTCTGATTGGTATCAGAAAATAATACTAGTACTAGTGGTACTATCTTAGGCAGTTGCTTAAGTGCATTACTGGCATAGACCCCATTGGATCCCTAGATCTCTCTTGCGCCTTGACACTGAGCCGTAATGGGTGGTTACGAGAGGCAACGAGAGGCATGACTATGCCTATCGGATTGCCCGGCGGGAGGAAGTGGGTTGACCTGAGAACTCTGTAAGAGTCTCTCGTGTTGGACTTACGCTTAATGTCGATACTAGGTAAGGAAGAGTAATCATTTCCCGTTCTTCTAATGAACTTAATGAGACCTATCGTCCAAAGCGTAGAGGGAGGCCATAGCTTACGTAGTAATGTCCCCTGAGTGTGGGTAAACGTGATTTTCTGTATGCAGTAAGTACTAAGTACTTGCTCCACAAGCCTAGGGTGACTTAGTCTTACGTACCAGCTACTTTGGAGTTACCCTCGGTTGGCTGGCGGGAGAGGCCTGCGGTGGCGTGACGCCGGCCATTCACCTTACAAAAGGGAACAGGCCAATGACTTTGCGATTTGGTGTGATAAAATGACAGGCGGAACATTGCTCGTGCTTGCCCATCGAGCAATTACTTGATGAGAATTTAAGTCGATGATTTTCTTCCCGTCAACCAATGGCGGGCATGTGGGAGGGCAGATCAGGCTGCCTCCCAGGGGCACTGCGGCGGGTGGTTCCCCGCTGGGGGCTGCGCGGAGGCTAAGCTACCGTAATTAGCGGGGATGTCAATGGGTCCGTGGACGACGTCAAGAAGTTAGTGGTTAGTTACTGGTTACTTTACTTGCTTTACTTGCTTCGTACCACTGAAAGCGGCACCGATACCACGCTAGTCCGGATGAGCTCGGTCTAGACTGGGCGCCGCAGCAGTGACCCTCTTCTCCAAATCCAACCTCCAATCTATGTAATGGCCAGTGTTGTTGCGGTTTTCTTGGGGTCATCCATCCGACTTTGCTCTTGGCAGTCTACTGTTAGTGTCACCTAAAAACCCCTCGTCAGGTTTTGCAGATCGTCGACATTTCGACATGTTTAATGAGGATGTTCCAAATCCCTTGCCTACTCTAGTGGCTTACGGAGGTTGGCATTTGCTTGTGCGTATTGTCTCCTCCAGTCGAATCCTAACCTTAATTCCTTTGCCGGAATACTTGCAGTTTCCATTGTATCATGTCAAGGTTAGCGTTATAGCCGCGGCGCAAGTCAGCACTGTATCATTTCCTGCTTCTTAGTTCGCTCTTCAGACATCTCATGCGATATTATATTTTTGTTCGCATGCACAGCTTCTAGCTCTCCGTCGTACGAACTATCCCCGTAAATCTCCCACCATCGATTCTGGGGACACAGTTTGTGATGAAAGTGTTGGACTGTGCGGGACTGAGCTTTCGTCCCCAGAAGTGAGGGGGCAA